AAGTTATAATAGCCTTAGTACTAACTGCCGCGTAAGAGGTTATAAGTAGATATATCTACGTTCCTATAGAGATATAGACCTTCGTACTAACCCGAACGAAGTATGTTAATAAGGAAGCCCGTATTCTAGCCTTAAATACCGATATTAGCGGAAGGATTTAAGAGAAACATTTAGGAGCCTATATATATTACGATAGATCCCTTAGATACGTATTAAAGAGGCAGGGACATGTAATTACTAGTAAGTAAAGACGCGTATAGTAGCAGTCCGGACGGTAGAGGAGGAAACGTTAGGTAGACCTCGGCCTATCTAAGTTCCGCTAAAGGAAGCTTAGAGAGTACCGAAGGCCTATCCCTAGCGCTACTCCTATCTACTTTTACTAGATCTCCGGGAGCGATAGGGAAAGCGTTAGATTAATATACTACCTCGTAATATACTAGACGATCTAGCGGGCGGATCGTAGAAGCGTAGCGAGCGGTAGTAAAGACAGCGTATCGCGGAAAGATAAGATTATAATAGCGATCGATAGTATAATATATAGTAATCTAGAATACAACCGAAAAGAGAACAGTAGCTACTATCTAGCGACTATTAACGTCGGCTAGCTTTACGAAATCGCTTAGCCTACTACTTCTCTCGCTAGTCTCTATAGCTACTCTATTAAGATCTCTAGAGGTACGGGTAGAACCTAGATACCCTAGGTTCCGCTCTAGCCTATTCTATTAAGAGGTATACTACTAGAACAGGCAATATTAGAGCGATAGATACGAGCGGAAGTTAGATATACTATATATTACTTATGTCTGCCTAGTATAGATTAATATTACTACATTTATATTAGAGCGGAAATTAGATACTTAAAACGTATCGAGAGGACCTTCTACCGTACCCGTAGCCTTCTATTACGATATTCTAGACTCGGGATAGAAATTTAAAGGCTCGAAGGACAAGCTAATAGGTAACCCGTCGTCCTCGCGAGTCGGAAATTAGAAGGAATTTATATATCCTTCTAAGGATAGCGATTAATTATAGCGGTCAACTTGTTAAGGTCTTTCGCTACGACCCTAGGGGAAAGATAATCTAGGAGGACTTTAGGAAGAACGAATAATACGGAGATAAGCTAGGACGAACAGATATAGAACATACGCGGTAGGCGGAACTTATTATATAGGCGCGAATTAGATATACTAAGTTCTACCCGCGAATGTTCGTATAAGCTTTCTAGGCTTGTCTCTACTACTAGGACTAGCGGTAAAGCCTAAAGCCCTCGTACTGTCGCCTAAGAAGAGCTAAGACACGGTTTATAAAAAGTAGTAAGGTAGCCTTAAGCGTAGTAAACAATCTACGTACGGGAAGGGATCTTTAGTAGAGCGGCTTATAGACTGTACTATTACCTAGCTAGACTTAACTAACAAGTTAATAACCTAAATTTACTCTCCGAATCGGACGTAGGGATCGTAATTTAGCTATCGAGGCTTATAGTAATTATGCCCTAATTGTACCGTTTAAAATTATTTCTATTCGGGAAGTAACCGCTACTCTAAAAGTTATCCTCGTTATGTCGTAAGCCGCTAGAGGTAGGGATCTTGTCGCTATTACGGGATCGGGCGCGATAGGAAGAGGAGGGAGATAGTATTATACTTATACTACGTCGAGAGGGAGTAGCCTAAGGAGGGACGGAAGAGCGAGACGAAGAGTCGTATCTACTTTCTCGCTATAGGGCGCTTTATAGAGGAGAATCCTAATTACGACGAGATAGTCCTACGGAAGGTATAGATAATAGGGAGAGAGCGGCGAGGCTTCTTTGTTATCCTTATAGCCGTCTAGCTAGTCTGTTATCTACGTATTATCGGGCCCTAAATTAATATCGCGGGCGGTAGTACGTAATTACGTAGTTTATTCCGGTAGCCGGCTTTTATATTCGAAGAGTCCGCCGTTAATACCGTAGAGATTAGGGTACTAGCCTTAATCGAGCTACCCGATCGGAAAATCTTAGAGCCTCCCCTAGGTCTCGTAGGCCTATAGTAGGATCTTATAGATATCGACGATAGTCTCCGCCTTATATAGATCCTAGACCCTTATAGGACCGAAGAAGGTATAATCGTCGATATCGTCTATTGCCTTAGTATAGCGTCGCTTATAGTTCGGTAAGGTAACGTAGAGGTCGTCGATACCGTATTATTAGATCGGAGCTTTTAATATAAGAGAAGGCCTCTTTCGATAACGACACGCTAGGGCCGCTAGATAAAGAGTCCGCTATCCTTTCTAAAGCGTAGACTGTTAGTTAACTAATCCTACGGCGTATTAGGATTAGCGGGTTAGACGACGCGAGAGGAGTGTTAAGTCTATAACTTAATAATCTTACAATATATAAGGATCACTTATATAAGGCTTAATCGGTATTAGGCTCGTTAGTAGAGAGGTCTAGTAGAGGAAGAGTAAAGCGATAGAGTAGTATAGTAACTTAAGGGATTGTATTCTAAGTAGTAAGATACTATAGTAAGTTAAATATATCGAAAGCTAGAGGCATTCTTAGTGTTCCTATATAGATTTCTAGTTCGACTAACTTGTCCTACCTACTAGCTAGAAACTAGCTATCCGACTAGAGCTCTAGTCGAACGGTCGAACTTGTTACGTAGTCCTCCTTATAGAGTTCGACTACCGGCTCCTCCCGTTAGTCGAATACGTAATACGTGACGTGCCTCGCTGTACGCGTAGGGTCTCTCTTCTATTTTACTAGCTAGGAATTCTCGAAGTAGCCTCGCTACTATTTCGATCCGTAATAGCTTCTAGATATATATAGTCTATTACTATTTTAAAATCTTACTACTTCTATTATATCTACGAGTATATCTTCATTGCAAGTTTATTAGCTAATTAGATGCCGGACGGAACAAGTGAGACCGGACCGGTCGGACGTGTGGTGAAGAACGATATCTCTCTGTCGATATTTTCTCTAGCTATGTAAACAGATGTACGACGACATCCATGTCGCATCTGCCAAAACTTTCTTTTCCCTTCCCCTCTCATCAGATCGTGACATATTCGTCGTACCATTGCGGGCCTCTATGTGCCCTCCCTCATTTTCAGACCCGATGGATTCTCATGTGCCTCTTCCGAGCATCCTCCCGGTTGAAGCCCTTGTCGTTATACTTGCACGCCGGATGCGGGCAGGCAAAGGGACGAGAGGAAGAAGGGGTCGGCGATGCAGATGATGTCCTCGGATTGCAATAATGGGCCGTCGAGGGGGTACCAGGTGTGTTGCTTGTCATGCGGCAGGAGTGATGGGTCGAAATGGCCATCGAAGAGATCTTGGTACTCTGTTGATGCGGCGAGAAGATCATCGAAGCCGCAGCACCAAGCTCGTCCATGCTCTCCATCGATATCACAACTCAAACCACGCGTGAAGAAGGGGACGGGAAAATGTCGACGAAACAACAACAACAACAGAGCAACGCCTTCCTTATCATCATCACTTGAGCGGCCTCTTTTTTGAGGCTCAGAGGAACACCTGGCAGCGTCGCCGCCATGTCGGTGGTGGAGGACCGTTTCCACGTGAGTGTGGTCACGTGATATAGCCGGCGCTGTCGCTGAACTGCTGCGGATGCACAGTGGATGCGTCCGCGCTGACTGCATGAACCTAGTGCGTGCCAGCAAAACAATCCATGGCACAGAATGGTAAGAGAACCTGCCAATATCCTCTTCCAACATCTTCAACCCAACAACTTCGGACGGACTCCCAGACGAAATGCCGCTCATTCTTCCAACTGCGATTCCAAAAAGATGCGAATCGAATCAAATCAAACGAACTGACAAATTTCGTCCGTCGCAGATTGTTCTTCCCTCTCCACAGAACCCGGAAGTGTGTGGCGACGACCATGGGGTCGTTCCTTGGTGTGTGGTGAGCAGCGCTGATGTTGCTTGAGGTCCTTTGGGGAAGAAGAAGAAGAAGAATGCATGACCTCGATTGAGGATCTTTGGCCGTGGGGAGTGCTTTTTGTCGCTCAGGTATGTGGAATCGCAACGTTGGTATAGCAAGAGCGGGTGTTGGTGCATTGGAGATACCTTGCTGTGGCTGCAGTCGGGGCGCTCATGTCCTTACTTGGAGAATTGGAGAGGGTCGTGTCTTCGGGATGCTCTGTAGATCCTGAGTCCAGACCCTCCAGTTGTGAAGATGTAACTGACGAAACCATGGACAAGCAATCATCGTCAGTCATTGCATCGTCCCGGAAAGATCGATTCTCATGTTTTGTAAAAGAGCGAATCTTACAGTATTCTTGACAAACTCGACTCCTTCGTGACCGAGAGCAAGATCGAGCTCATGAGTGTTATCCAGAAATGGCCGAGATTTCCAGAACAACATCCAGTCTATCAGCAACAACAAACTCCTCGCCTTCGTGGCCATCATCCTCTGACATGTCAGTCCGCTCATTCTCGCCCCCGAGGTATCTAGTCTAGTCATTAATGCTCATCAAGCTCCAAAGAAAAAGCTTCTCTCACATGGTTCATATGTCCTACTAATGATGGCGGCGGCCTCATATCATCTCTGTTTTCTCCTCGATGTTAAATATCATGGCGTCGTTCCATGGTATTTCCAATGCTCCTTGATAATGGCGACTACATACACTTCTGCCCATGCCATGCCATGCCATGCCTTTTGAGACAAGACGTCGCAGGATCGCGGTCGCCCGGAGTACCTACCTTGGTAGTGCAATATTGGTAGATCAAACAGAAGGAGCAGAATTACTGCACAAGGGCACAGTCCCTTTAAGCATGCAGTAGGCAGCACCGAATCGAATGGGTTGAACGAGTCCCCATGACAGCGGCGGGGAGCATGAACTCGCACTGGAAGAAAGAAATTCGCATCCGGAGAAGTTTGCCGCGACGCTTGAGAAGAAGAAGAAGGGCTTCGTGTTGGATTCGCGCCATCTCCTGAAAAATTGCTATGTTCATTGATCGAGGACGCCTACCCAATGCTTTCCCGCATAAGCCAGCCGATGCTAATTCACATCCGTGCCCTCCCTGGTAGGTTCATCGTCCCTGTATCTCTCTGCTCTCTTCGCGGCCCCGTCATCGCTCGCTACTTCTACTTCATCATCCTCTTCGTCACTGCCAAGGTCGAACATCTCGGCTTCGTCCTCGGATCCTTCTGCAAACGCATCATAGAGCTCCCCGGCCCTCTTCTTTCTCCGTCCTGCTCCACCGTTGGCATACCCGTTCCCATTAGCCAAAGGAGCAGATTCATCGTTATCGTCGTCATGATCGACCATCTCGAACCCGTAGTCGTCGCGGTTCATCCATCGCTTCTTGCGGCGCATGTACCATGCCCATACCCCCAACCCGACCAGGAAGAGCCCAATAATGGCGATTGCGCCGTATATCCAGACCTGTGTGCGTTTGCTGACGCCAAATGTTGGGAAGGGGTGTGGGAGGAAGTTTCCGAATCCGGATGTCGAAGTCGCCGACGGCTCGTTGACTTTTTCATCCTCGGTTGGTGTTCCAGTTGGCACGGCGCTGGTAGGAGCTGGAACCTTGGAAGGCCTGACTGGGCGAGTTGGGAGGTCGGTGTGGGTGGGCTCGGGGTTGCCTTCACCTGTAGGCGTAGCGAGACTAGTAGTGTGAGCGGTTGTTGTAACGGTCTGGATCATGTCGTGATCGTCATCATCATGCTCTGTCGGGATTGGCAGGAGTTGTTGCTTGTCTCCGTCAATCGATTCTCCCCAGATCTTGAAATGCCAATCTGTGAAGACACCAGTGTGCTCGTTGACATTCGTGTCCTTCACAATGACAGTCCATTTACCGATGCCAGTCTCTCCCCAATGCGCAACGCTCATGAAGGTCCAATCGACGTAGCCTGCGTTCGCGTTGTCGTTGCGTCTGGCAGTAGCGATGTGACTGACCATGCCAGACGGGCTCTGAAGATCGACGGATAGATCACCGCGGCGGGTGTGTTCGACGTTCATGGTCACGGTCACATGCTCGACTCGCGCCACGTTCGCGTCTTTGAGCATCTGTTCAGTGACGTCAAAGCTTGAAGCAATTCCGGTCTCGCCTTGAGGGATGGCATGTTTGACATGAAGCCAGGGACTGAAGAACCATGCCTGCGGCTTCACGTTCTTCCATGTCTTGGCCGCCTCGACAAGAGCCCAAGCGTCTGCCTTGCCATAGCCAAATTGGTGACTGAACTCTTTGCCCATGGCCGTATTCATCTGATACTCCGCAGGCTCGGTTAGCTTTACGGCAGTGATGACGGTAAGCCACTGAATATCTCTCCAAGTCAAATTCGAATTGACCTCCAGCATGAGCGAATAAATACCAGCAACAAGAGGTCCGGCTGCCGATGTACCTCCATGGTTGATATAGCAGGTATTTGCGCCGACGTCGGTGGTATGGATCGCATCTCCAGATCCGGAGGAGTAGGTCACAACCAGTTGCGCAGAACACTTCTCGCTGTAATATGGATGCTTGCCCTTGCGGTCGATTCCGCCCACCGAGACGGAGTAGATGCTATTGGTATAACCATCAAAGTTGCAGTTGTCGTCATTCGCAGCCCCATTACCAATGGCGAACACGAAAATACTTCCAAGTCCACCTCTCCCTTTCTGGATTCCGTTGACCATCGCCCTCCGAATGATGATGCCGGGTTCTTCCATGGCTTGGCCGTTGTCGGGGGGACCCCAGGAGCAAGAGTATATGTGATTTTTCTGATATTCGTAGTTCATGGCGGTCGCCTCGTCTGCGTCGGAAATGACCTTGCTGAGGATTCTGCAGCCCGAAACCTTTCCGTCATAGGCAACGCCAACACCGCACACGTTGTTCCGCACTGCACTAATCTCACCAGCACAGCGAGTACCATGTTTGTCGTCGGACAATCTGGGCTTCGGATCTGGGCCAGGGTCATTAAAGTCCCAGCTTCCTTCTGCGAAGTAGTTTTCCCTGAGATCATCGCTGTCCATGTCCACACCGTCGTCCACAATACAGACAGTGCTGCCCTTGCCCGTGATTCCCTGCTGCCATACGCCAGTCACGTTGATATCATGCCCAACCTCCACCATGTTGTGCAAATGCCACTGCTCCTGAAAGATGGGGTCTGAAATACTGAGATTCTGCGCAATCTGCAAGCCTTCCTGAATAGCTTTTGCATCGCCGTGAGGAACGCCAGTCCCAAAGTTCTGTCGCTCTTCAATATACGAGGGAGGAACGCGCTTCTCTAGCGGGAAGCGCTTGTGCAACTCTTGCTTCTTTGACAAGAGCACATTGTCGAGAATATGCGGCTGTTCGGCGCCTGGCTCCCGTTTCCTTCGCCTTTGCTTGAGACTCTGCTTCTCTGTTCGAATATGGTCGTATTCATGTTGTCTTTGGTGTGCGCGGAAGATATAGTGGTCCTCTAACTCACCGAGACGACCATCGTAATCAAGACCGAGGTGTCTGGAGACCTCCTCGGGGTTGACGCCTCTTCTCAGGTGAACGGCGTAATAATCGTGGGCGTCGTAATCTCGTTTCTGCACAGCAATGGCATCTCGCGCGGAGAAGAGTAGGATGGGCAGCCAATTCCACCACTTCATGGCTGCGGGTCGATTCAGAAGGGGCCGCCGACCAGGTCGTCGAGGGAGAGATGCGGTTGTGGGGACAGTCGCGTGCGCATCACCTGGGAGAGGAACCGTACATTATATCATCAGAGTGCTATGCTGTGCTATGCTGTGCTGTGCTGTGGCCTCCTGCGGTGTCTCGGGGTATTGTTTGGTATACGTGGTGAGATGGGAAAGTTCGGGGCGTAGTTCGAGAGTCTTGTGATGCTTGGCAAGACCTCCAGCTGGCTCGAGTTTCGACGTGGACGGCGGACCCCTTCCACTAGCCTGAAAGGGCCCGAATAGCCTTCTCGGCTGATCTTCCATCCCGAGATCCCGGCTAGATCCGTCCTACCTGCCCGCCGCAGCTTGATGGGTCGGTCAATCAATCTTCATCAATCTCCATCGAAGCTCATCAAACTCCATCAAGCTCCATCAAATCCTTGACCGAGAGCGTCTGTGGTTCCGAGGCTAGGTGAGCCCATTCAATAATGGACACTTCAATGTTCGACACGCAAACTCTCACATGTCGACGCCCATCCACCGATTCTGCCCTGATGATCCTGCAGCATGGCCACCAGTATCCGGACATCGGAAAGGCTTTGCCCGGAGGCCTAAATGGGGCCTTGCGTGCAGCACCTCATGCAGCTTCCAGGTTGCCAGCCACTCTTGAGCCCGCAGACCAGCATTCATCATCACCGTCACCTCGACTTCCTCGCCTACATGTATACTACTCCCTAGCCACCTTTCGTGCTTCTGCAGCGTCCGAGCGTTGTGCTTTCTGCTTCTCCGTCCTCCTGCAGCTCTCTGCGGCACTCTGCGGCACTCTTCTTCGTGCCGCATGCACGAATCGCTTTCGGTAGCTCGCCAGCTCCATATAGCTATCAGCTCCCGCACATCACAGCACACCACAGCACAGCACATCGTCTGTACCGGCCCGGCGCTTAACAATCCTTCCATTGCTCCAGTCGAATGGCGCACGATCGGAGACAGTCTGGGTTGTGGAACCGCAATCCAGAGACGGGCGTCTACGAGCAAGTTCCCATACCCACAGCCCAGATCCAACCCAAAGGACCATACCAGTACTACGAACCTCCTCCACGCGGCTACGAAGTCCCGCGACGCTCATTCTCCGATCGATCTGCCAACCCGAAGCCGAATCCGAACGATGAACCCCTTGTGCCAGCCACGAACGGCGCCATTGTACACAGCGAGTCGAGGAAGCAGCGTGGCATTGACGCTGCGAAAGAAGCTACCCAGAAGCTTCCGGATCCAATAAGAGACGATCTCAACCAACATCCGGATTCGACATCTGATCATCTGCCCAAAACGAAACGCGTCACCGAGGCCAGGCTGCAAGGCTCTGCCACGCGACAGCCGCCATTCAGAGGAGATTCGGACTATGTGCCCAGCAACATCCGTGCAAAGGCATGGAGTCCCGATGTCGTCTCTCCTGGCACGCGTACGCAAGCTCAGCCAAGCTATTTCCCACCCCAGAAGTCACGACAGACGAGCAACGCGAGCAGCATTTCGGAAAGCGTAAGGAGGGGATCAGTACCCGACCGTAGCCCTTTGCAGAGCTTGGAGTCATGGAGCAAAGAAGAGAAACGTGCCAGGGTGGAGCAGGCTGAACACAAGGCACGCCAGAGGAGCCTGGCCGGCGCCGAAACTCCAAAGGGCGAAGGCCAGGTCTTGCGCTCTGGGACTTTGCGGAGTGAGAAGGAGCGTGTTGTTAGCGACAGCGCAACAAGGCTACCCAGCCAGAGAAATGCTCGGAGGGAGGAAAGGCGCCAGGTGTCAGATCCAGTGTCTCCGGACCCGCTGAGTACTGCCGAGAAGTTCCACACTGCTACGGCCGCTCTACGCGATGGGAGTGCGCAACAGAATGGGCCTCCTAAGCAAGCAGAAGTGCAACCCGGTCTAGGCCACTCCGCCTCGACTCGTACTTCCCAAGCGTCGCGTGACGTGCGCGCAAATGACGCGGTACAGCGCTCTCGCTCAGATGCTGCTCCACGAGGCTCGACTGGTCCTGAGAGATCGAAGTCGGCTAAGTACCGCGCAAGAGATGCGGGCTTCGCGGGAGCTGCGGCAGCCTACAACACTGGCCCTTCTTTTGCAGATCACGATGCCTCCGCTGCTGCGGAACGTGGCAGGGTTGCATATGAGCGCCGAAAGGCCTCGATGCCATACAACGCGCCCGAGTCGCGCGTCAGCCCCACCTCTCCCGAAGGCGACAGAGGCAGCGCTGGCGTGGGGAGCACTGGAAGCAGAAGAGTACAAAAGCGTACACAGCCGTCCGATGAATACACTGCCCGAAACCAACTCCAGACCGATCGAGCCGGTGGCACAGGTTCAAGATCAGACCGCAAAGCAGCAAATGCGTTTCAGCAGCCGGATCCAATTCCGCCACGATCAGTCCATAACCCATCTAATGACCTCGTCAAATACTCCATACCACCTCAGACGGCTGGTGGACAGCAAGCGAGGGAGCAAGTACAATTTGGCGCTGAAAATCCGCACGTCGCTGAAACGGGGACGCATCATCGTTTCAACGATCTCTTCCATCGCTCGGGCCATGAACCTCGTGCTTATCAACCAGCCTCAAAACCGCTTGAGGACTGGCGAAGCGCAAGAACCGCAAGACTGACTGCACAGGACCTCGATTTTGACCATGGCGTCGCAGCTGCTCCACGCAGCGACCAGCACGATGCGTGGTGGGACAAGAGCCATCGTCGCACTAGCTCAGGTGGCTCTAGAACTGCTACGAGCATGCCGCAGTACGACGGTCCATATGAGGAACAGGCCAACGGGTTCCAGCCAAGACTGTTCTTGAAGTGTGGACCTCTTTTGCGGTACACTGGCATTCGCAGAGAGGCTGCTTCACAGTCACGAAGCGGACGATCTGACTCTTTCGTGGAGAAGGAGATTTGGCGTGGAAGTGTCATGATCGTGACGGAGGACGACCAGTCCGACTTGCATTCAAGCCCAGTGCTCAGGCTGTTTGCTCAGCCAATGGACCTGCAACAACCACCTTCGTGGGAAATGCTGCAGACTGGGCAGGAGATGCCACCTGAGTACGAAGATCCCATTGCTGGCCAAGTCAAAGTTTCTCGTACAGGCAGAGCCTTGTACGTACGTCCTGTGCACGATCTACCCGGAGACGTCGATCTCAGTCGCCGAGAGAATAACAATGGACTTTACGCGGCCACGCGCACGCCAGTTTTGGGTCCACAGACCAGCGTTGGGCCTGATGGCCGTCAAAGCCAGCACATCACGTTTCAAGACAAATCTCGTATCAAAAAGCGCGACGGCGAACGAGCTGGACGATATCGCGAAGTCAAAGCCGTGCGCCTGCATACTGAGCGACGTTTCACCTTCTGGCGCTTCAATATCGAGGTCGAGCTTTCCAGCAAGCAGTACAGAGTCGCATACCGCATCAACAATGGTCCGGCCATCGGCTTCTGGGTACCGGCAAGGGGTGAGACGATGAACATCATGTTCCACTCTTGCAATGGCTTCTCTCTTTCGGTCGATCCTACGAACTTCAGCGGTCCTGACCCGCTCTGGCGCGATGTGCTGAACCGACACCAAAGCCGCCCATTTCACGTTATGATTGGAGGTGGTGACCAGATCTACAATGACGCCGCGATGAGGGACACGCAGCTGTTTAGAGAATGGCTGCAAACCAAGAATCCGGAGCACAAACATAGCGCCGACTTCTCTCTCGAACTACAGGACGAACTTGAAGAGTTCTACTTTCACAGATACGCAATGTGGTTCTCGCAAGGCTTGTTCGGAATGGCGAATTCTCAGATTCCCATGGTCAATCTCTGGGACGATCATGACATTATCGATGGATACGGCAGCTACCCGCACCACTTCATGAGCACCAGGGTTTTCACAGGGCTGGGAGCAGTTGCATTCAAATACTACATGCTATTCCAGCACCAGAGTTTGGCAGCCGAGACGGAGAAAGAAGAGCCGAGTTGGTTGCTCGGCAAGAGCCCAGGGCCATACATCAATGAGTTGAGCAGGAGTGTCTTCATGTCTTTAGGCAACAAGGTTGCTTTCTTGGGGCTGGACTGCCGAACAGAACGTATGCGTGACGAGGTCCTCAGTCAAGCGACTTATGATGAGGTTTTTGAGCGATGCCGAGCGGAGATTTTCAAGGGCCAGACCAAGCATTTGATGGTTTTGCTGGGCGTGCCTATCGCGTACCCACGTTTGAACTTCTTGGAGAACATCTTGACGAGCAGGTTTATGGACCCGATCAAAGCAATTGGCAGGACCGGCGCGCTTGGCGGATTTGTCAATAAATTTGACGGCGGCGTTGAGATTCTGGATGATCTCGATGATCACTGGACCGCAAAGCACCACAAAGCGGAAAGAAATTGGTTCATTCAAGAACTACAAGAGCTAGCCGCGGAGAAGAGCGTCCGTGTGACGATACTGGGCGGTGATGTCCACCTTGGAGCGATTGGTCAGTTCTACAGCAACAAGCGACTTGGTTTGGCCAAAGACCAAGACCATCGGTACATGCCCAACGTCATATCATCGGCCATTGTCAATACACCTCCACCAGTGATGATGGCAGATGTCATCAACAAGCGAAACAAGGTACACCATCTGGACGATGAGACCGACGAGGACATGATACCCATGTTCGGCCATGATGTCGACGGGAGCCGCAGAAACAATAGCCATCTGCTGCCCAGGCGTAACTTTTGCATCATCAGCGAGTACTTTCCAGGCTCTACGAGGCCTAACACTCCTGTGCAGGAGAGGATCGAGCCTGGCACACCAGCATCGGCGACATTTGGGGATGAAATGCTGGAACAGCGCGAGCCAAGAGATCGCCGCTTCCCACCTGGTAGCATGAAGAGGACTATGAGTCTTACTCGAGCACCGGCAAATCTCGTCAGGAGGCTATCGGGTAGTTCTAAGAGCCGCAACCCACCAGTTTCACTGCCACTAGAGCATGCACAGCCTTATGATGCTCATCATGCTGGTCAACAACCAGTTCCCAGTGCAATGAAGAGAGCCAACAGCTTGGGTGGGCCTAGGTCAGACTTTCGGCCCAGTGAAGATGCAGTATCTCGGCCTACCTTCCATCGCCGCCCAACAGATTTTTCCATCAAGGAGGCTAGAAAGGCTGCCAAGGCTGCCGAGCTTGGAGGAAATCTGGATGGTCGTCAACCGGGACATGTTGACCTTGAAGGCGGCTTGGACGTTTCGCTCTGCATGGAAGTTGACCAACATGATCCTTCAGGGCGGACAGTGCCGTACCGTCTGCTCGTGCCAGCGCTGTGGTACGAAGGTTCAGGCAATCCAAACCCGGAGAGATTTAAGAGCCAGCGGGGAAGCCTAATGAGAAGACTAAGATGGAATCGCAAGAGGGAGGCCCACACTGATGGGGAAGACGAAGATGGTGTCTGGAGCGGCAGCGAAGGCTCCCGGACACCAAGTCCTGATAGCGCGACTAAGATGAACACGGAGATGAATGCTGCTCCAAACGCCATGGGTCTGACTGGTACTGGCAGGGGCGCATATCGGCCGAACACGAAAGTCGAAGCGCCTCCTGGCGCTCCCCAACGAGCCAGTATGGATGTCAACGGCACGAATGGGTATGCTGTTGGTGCAAGGAATGCCACGCCTCGAACGATGAGCGGTGGGAGCGGCTATGGAGCGAATGCCGCACCCCCGCATCACCATCCGGTCAATGCGTACAATAGAGGATATAACATGTCCTCGCCGCCTATTGGAGACTTTAGTGCACACCCAACACCGCACACCACACAAGCGGTGCCAGGGTCAGCCAGCGAACGCTACCCACAGTCTGGATATCGCCGCACCAGTGCGCCTTTGCCCTCCACGCAATCGCGCAGTATGCCCCCGCAGAACGCTCGAACCGGTAATGGAACGTATGACGGGTATGATAGCGAAGGCAGCTTGACGTCGTCCGAGTTCTACGACGATGACGAACTCGACGAGAGGAGAGCGAATGTCCCAGTGAGAAGAGGCAATAAGGTTGAAGAATTCTTTGGTTTTGGCAAAGGCCCCGGATCGCAGAGACGTCCGGTGCAGCAGGAACGCCCGGCGCAGGTTGGCGAGACAGGGGAGATGGGCAGGTCGAAGAGTGTGAGTAAGGGAGGAGGATGGAAGATTTGGAAGTGATGACGCTGCAGTGAGGGACGGGGGACGAGGGTCGATTCGGTTGGGCAAGCAAGGCGATGGTTGTTGGTATGGTATATCAGAGCTGTGAATATGTATGTATGTATTACGAAGCTGACGATATCATCGAGTGAGCGTTTTTTTTTTTTGAGCGGATTAGCGTTCGAGCATATTGGATATACAGATTTTAATGGGCGAAGTGAATGAGTACAGCTTCTTGGCAGATTTGATGATCATTCTCGACGGGCTGCTAGTACCGTCAGTCAATACGCTCGCTCTTCGACTACTACGTACGCTCTTGCCCTACTTTCCGACGGCATTCTCGGCAAGACAGTACCGTGGACATGTAGTAAGCTCCTACTCTACCGAAATGCCGTAATACGTCTAAGGTGAGAAATCTCCGAGCGTAAGGTGATAAGTCCCAGCATGATTTCCTACACTTCTCTACCTCATATCTAACCTAGCGTCTGTATTCCCTGCTATAATGGCGTCCTATTAACAAACCGGAAGATCATCGTCGACGGCTACTACTACCTACTTACTACTGATCACGCGCCATCCGAATCGCTGTTGGCATGCATTCTGTTCTGCTAGGGGCAATTTTCGGGAAGACAATGGATAACATTATTCCGGTGTTGGATTGGGAAGACGCTGAACACTGTTACCTACCCAAGGTAGTGACTCGCCAGCTCGACGCCAAGATTCACAAGCCAGCCAGCCATTCGAAGCTTCCGGCCCCGTCGTCAGCAAGCCGCGACTTCGCTCTGTCGTCATATTTGTTTGGTACGAGCGCTTTCCGGGCAGCAAGGTGCGTATCATTCATACGTCGACAGCTTGGATGGAAAAGGCACGAAGAATTGTAACATAGTGCAGCACCCCTTTGTATCAACCAAAGACCATCCTGTTCATACGCTATACAAGAAATCCATCAAGAGATTAAGAAGCTCTTACATTGCCCATCATCCTATCCCATCATCTGTGGGAGGATCTAAAGCTTCGACTTCGCTCCCTCAACCAATTCCGCACCGGCGCCAGAGATAGCCGGCTTGCCAGTCTCCTTCACCTTCACTTGGAAAATGACGAGATTACCTTCCTTCCACATCTCGGTAACAAGAGTCTGTCCCGGAAGAACAACACCCGCAAACCGCACTTTGATGTTCTTGAATTGTCCATACTTCTTCAGGATAGCCTTGCCGGCAATACCGAACGAGCAGAGACCGTGCAAGATGGGGACATCGAAACCTCCAACCTTGGCAAAATCAGGGTCAACGTGGAGAGGATTCCTGTCACCGGAAAGTCGGTAGATGGCGGCGAGTTCTTCGCTTGTCTTCTCCTCCACGACGGCGTCGGGGGAGCGTTTAGGTGGGTTGTGGACTCTGCTGGCGGCACCACGGTCCTTGCCGTTCTTGGAACCGCCGAAACCGCCAGATCCTCGCACAAAGGCAGTTGATTCGTTGTAGAAGATCTCCTTTCCAGAGTTCTTGTCCTTGGTGATGCTACCCTGGACAACGACGGCAGACTTGCCCTTATCCTGGACCTCGACAAGGTTGGGGTAGGCGACAAGAGTGGCCTCCGTGGGAATAGGGAAAGAGCGGATTTCGAGGTACTGCTCGCCATGCAGGACCATGTTGGGCGAGAAGTTGGGCACAATGTCGGACAAGGAGTAAGGAGCCTCGGCGTTGAAAGGTGGGATGACACCAAATGTTGGGATGGCTTGGAAGTCGTCGTGGCCTTCAAAGACGAAGGGAAGATCGCTGCGCTTGGCACCAATACCTAAGTTGTAGAGGATGACATCGCGCTCCTCGTACTTGAACTCGGTCCCTTCGGCCTTGGCCTTCTTCGCGGATTCGATCTTCGATACGTAGTCATCATCGGATGAGCTGTCATCAGAGCCGCTGGCACGGTTGCTGAAGTTGCCCATGATCTTGTCGTTTGCGAAGGAAACATCGTGCGGGTTGTCGGCGCGACCATCCTCGAAATTGACAACCTTGTCCCAAGCAGCCTTGACTTGCTCTGGAGTCAATTCGCGATCGACCGGAAATTGAGCGCCGCCAGCTCTCTGCCATCTTGTCTCACCAGCCCAACCAGAGCCGCTCTCGAAGACACGACCGGTTGGCTCAGCTGGCATCTTGTCCGAAGCCATGATTAGGACAAGTGGGACAACGTAGTCTGGCTTGAAAGCCTGGACCATCTCCTCGGGCATGATTGTGCGAGTCATGTTGGTGCCCGCGTTTGGTGCAACGGTGTTGACGAAGATATTGTACTTCTTGCCTTCACGAGCGAGGGCGCGGGAGAACCCAAGAATACCGCACTTGGCAGCAGCGTAGTTCGCTTGACCAAAGTTTCCGTCTGTAAAACAGAGTCAGTTACAAGCTTCAGACTATTATTTGTGAGACTCACAGATTCCAGAAGTCGAGGTGGTGTTGATGACACGACCGTACTTCTGCTTCAGGAAGTAGGGCCATGCAGCCTTAGTGGTCTTGTAAGTACCACGGAGATGGACGTCCAGAACCTGCATGAACATCTTGTCATCCATATTGTGGAAGGACTTGTCACGAAGGATTCCGGCGTTGTTAATGAGAATGTCGACTCGGCCAAAGTTGTCGATGGCGGCCTTGATGACCTTGTCGCCATCCTCAGCACTGCAGCGAACACCGGCTGCCTTACCACCAAGCTTCTGAATTTCCTGAACGACCGGCTCCGGGTCTGCAAGATCGTTTACCACCACGGATGCACCGTACTTGGAGAGGGTCAGGCAGTAGCTTCGACCAAGACCAGCTCCACCACCGGTGACCACCGCGACCTTGCCCTTGAAATCAAGCTCTTGTGCTTTTGGATTCGCTGGAAGTTTCTGAGCATCCTCGAGAAGAGCCATGAAGTCATTTGGTCCAGTTGGATACTGCGGCTGTGAGAAGTCTTCGATATCCTTCCACTTTTGCAGGAGAGCTCCAGGTGTGAAGCTGTCGTCTGCTCGGAGGAGAGCACCCTTTGATCGCTCCCACCTATACTTTGCAATGTGACCACCGCCAAGCTCGAAGATACCACCAGTCTCGTCCGTGTTGGAGGAGTGAGTAAGAACGGCCACAAGAGGCACGATCCATTCAGGCTTCAGGTTGTCCAAAACCTCCTTTGGCATGACAGTCGCGGTCATTCGCGAAGCAGCAATAGGCGCGATAACGTTGCAAAGAATGTTGTACTTGACACCCTCCTTTGCCAGGGCCTCTGTGAATCCAACCTGGGACAGCTTGGCTGCCGAGTAGTTGCATTGTCCAAAGCTTCCAAACAGACCGGCTGCAGACGCAGTGCTGATCAATCGTCCATACTTTTGCTTGCGGAAATATGGCCACGCAGCCTTTGCGCACTTGTATGCTCCGATAACGTGCACCTTCATGATCAGATCCCAGTCCTCATCCTTCATGTTCTTGAAACTGATATCCCGGAGGATACCAGCGTTGTTTATCAGGACATCGATGCGGCCGTAGTTGTCAATCGCAGTCTGGACGATCTTGTCTCCGTCCTCAACGCTATCGTAATTGGCAACAGCGTTTCCGCCCTTGCTCTTGATCTCGTCGACGACCTTCTGCGCGGCCTATAGAAATCACATTCAAGGTCAGTCTCGTGGTGCTGGCATCCATCGTTTCGAGTCTCCGCTCGACTTACGGACTGGCTGCCACCCTCGCCCTTGAAGCTGCCTCCGAGGTCATTGACGACGACATTTGCTCCTCTGCTGGCGTAGAAGAGAGAGTATGCTCGTCCGAGACCACCTCCGGCTCCGGTAACCACGACGGTCTGGCCGTCCCATCTTAATTGTTCGCCCATCTTGGAATGTGTAGAGGAGGGCGAGGAGATGGAGAGAGAGAGGGTTGGGGTGTTTGTGAGGGAGAGGAAGAGTGTATTGTAGCTGGAGAAGACCACCTAGCCTGTGTGAGCGAGCCCATGACCTTTGCTTCTCGGTTGCTGTGTCTCTTGGAGAGACCGAGCCGAGGTAAGACGTCAGCACTCAGCAGGGCACCACACTGCTCCCGTCGCGCTGTGTTCCACTAAAGCACCGTGGCTTCTCTCGAGTCCATGGGTGGATGATGCCTGTTAATGGGTACATCTCTGTGCTCCGTGCTCCAGAGTCTCTGTGTTTGCTCGTGGATGAACCGCTGTCGACGGGAAAGGCTCAAGCCGGAAGCTTCTTTTCCCTCTTCACCATCCTCGGATCGCAGACATCATATCGATGCTGTCTATCAGCATTGTCACGTTTGCCGGTCCACTACGATGCTCCTCTTCTCGATTTTGCAGTGTGTCCTGTTCGACCTTGCCCCATTGCCGCCGTGGATTTCGGCGTTCATGTGAAGCCACCTCGCACCCACGTCTGCTCACGCGGTCAGGAGCCGATTGGACAGGCGAGTATTAGGCTCATCGTTCTTCCTCCCGCGGCGTTATCACATGCAAATCGCCCTCCGCCTCCGGCTACGTCAAGAGACATACTGAGCCTTCCTTACTGCTGGCGCCATGCCCGAGATCATTGATGACAAGTCGCAGCACTGTGTCCCTTTCATCCTTGAACGCCTACGGCTATACCGGGAGCAGTATGAGAGTAGACACCAAACCCCGCCCCCCTTCTTCCTTGGATTGAACGGCGTGCAGGGCGCAGGCAAGACAACATTGGTAGGTGAACTGGGTACACTTTGTGTTTCTTCTGTGATGGAACTCCTTTCCACATACCCGCTGCGCGCAGACTGATCGCGAGATCAGGTCCAAACCCTCTCCCAGACACTCTCTTCCCCCCCTCACAATCTTCCCGTCGTTGTCCTCTCAATCGACGACCTCTACCTTCCTCACGATCAGCAGACCGCGCTTGCCACATCGCATCCCGATAATCCGCTCGTACAACACCGAGGTGTGCCTTCTACACATGACGTGGAAACTGGAATACAGCTCTTCGACGCGCTGCAGAACCGTAAGACGGACATCAGGATACCTAGCTACGACAAGAGCCAGTTCAATGGAGCAGGCGATCGCAAACCCGAAGGCGAATGGGAAACGGTCAACAAGGCTGGCGAGAAACCGGTCGAGGTAATCATATTCGAAGGCTGGTGTGTCGGATTCAGAGCGTTGAGCGAGGCTGATGTAGAGAAGAAATGGAAAGAGGCTAGAGAGCAGGCTGAGAAGAACGATGGTAGCTATATGGGGAGATTGGGGAAGCTTAAACTGCAGGACGTGCTCTTCATCAATGAGAGGTTGAGGGAATATGATGCGCTGACAGATCGATTTGGTGCCTTCATGCACATGTGAGTGGTCTGCGCTCAATCCCAACGATTCCGAGTATGCTGACAGTCTTACGGTGATGCTGAAGACACCATGTATGTCTATCACTGGCGAGAGGAGCAAGAGGCGGCTATGAGGGCGTCCAAGGGAACTGGCATGACCCAGGAGCAAGTCGTGAATTTCGTGAACGGCTGTGAGTATTTCATACTGCTGAGATATGCTTCCAGCGAGCTGACTCGAATACAGATTATCCATGTTATGAGTTATATACTGATGTGCTACGGAATGGTATATTCGGGGAGGAAAAAGGCAAGCAGCTTCGCTTGGTCGTTGGCAAGGACCGAAAGGTGAAGGAAGTGCACAAAATATAGCTGTAGCATGCTCTTCGATCCATGAATATATCAAGTTCGAATCTAAGATGTATCTTTGTTTCTCACTCGGAGCATTCTTTGTGCCTGAGGCCGATGTCGGATGACGTGCTTGGGCAGAATCTGAAGCCCGAGGCCGATTGTTCCCGGTCAATCAGCGCCAGCCAGACTCTCACGCACACCTCGACCTGCCGGCTCTGCACTCGACCTGCCTGCAAATATAACGCCCACTGGGGAGAGTACGCAGAGTCACCACTGCTTCTCACTACACCTGACCACCACGAACTCCTCCACCACACAGACTTCGCCCACCATTCTCCCCAAGTAGCACCTGCCGATAGAGGTCGAGAGTCCTCTTCAAAAACTACTACCAATCCCCCCTCACCATGGCCGCCAATGGCATCCCCAACAGCCTCGAAAAGATGAAGCACCTCGACATTGACGGGCACGAGCTCCCGCCCTCGCCCGCTCCGTCGAGCCCTTCCAATGGCCGGCGCAAGTACGCCCTCGCCACTGAGCTCGTCTACACCGAGAGCAGCGACCAGTACAACGCCAGCAGCGTCCCCATTTACCAGTCTGCCACCTTCAAGGGTGGCCCTGGTCAAGAGTACGACTATACTCGCAGCGGCAATCCCACCAGAACCCACCTCGAGCGTCACATGGCCAAGATCATGAATGTGAACAGAGCGCTGGTCGCGGGGTCGGGTATGGGTGCACTGGATGTCATTACGAGGCTGCTGAAGCCTGGAGACGAAGTTGTCACGGGAGATGATCTGTATGGCGGCACCAACCGGTTGCTCACGTACTTGAAAGAGAACAATGGAATCACCGTACACCACGTTGACACCACCAACTTGGATGTCGTCAAAACGGCAATCACGGAGAAAACAACCATGGTGCTGCTTGAGACTCCCACCAATCCTTTGATCAAGATCGTGGACATCAGTGGTATTTCAACCATCGCTCACAACGTCAACGAGAAGACCATTGTGGCAGTGGACAATACCATGCTTTCGCCATACCTCCAGAACCCGACAGACCTGGGTGCGGATGTTGTATACGAGTCCGGCACCAAGTATCTCAGTGGCCATCATGATGTCATGGCCGGAGTCATTGGGACCAACGATACCGCTCTCGCCGACAGGTTCTACTTCATGATCAACTCAACCGGCTGCGGGCTTGCGCCATTCGACAGCTGGCTTCTGCTCCGTGGAGTCAAGACTCTCGCTGTCCGCATGGAGAAGCAGCAAGCCAACGCAGATGCCATTGCACACTTTTTGGAGTCCCACGGTTTCAAGGTTCGCTACCCAGGCCTCAAATCACACCCACAATACGCGTTGCATTGGTCTCAAGCTCGTGGCGCGGGTGCCGTGTTGTCTTTCGAGACCGGGTCCATTCCACTCTCGGAACGAATTGTCGAGTCCACGAAGCTCTTCGGCATTTCAGTCTCTTTTGGTTGTGTCAACAGCTTGATCTCCATGCCTTGCCGCATGAGTCACGCCAGTATTGATCCGGCCACTCGCAAGGAGAGAGCGCTTCCTGAAGACATTATCAGGCTGTGCATCGGCATCGAGGATCTTGACGACTTGAAGGACGACCTCTCGCAGGCGCTTGTTAGGGCTGGTGCGGTGAGGCTGACGGAGCATGGCTTCCACGCTTTGAGTCCAGGTGAAGTACTGGGCGAGACGGGCCGTACGACACAAGTCGTTGACGAACCGTAACCTCGATACTGTCGTTAACGAACCGTAATCTCGATTTTGATAGCCATTGGCAGTCGACAAAAGCAACTTGCGATATCCATGACTTGCTCCAAGAGCTCCCATATCTCATCATCACTTGACACAGTTTGGTCGACTTCCTTTACTTTCGAGCACGGCGTTGTGCCATGCGCAGATCTGATTCCAGGATATGCATGTGGGGCCAAGTATTGTGTGATGGCGTCCTGAGGCTGATGGTGGCCGGACCTCCGACTTCCAAGCAACTAAAAGCGTAAGCATGAAGAGCTTCGGTCAGCACGACTTGCACGAGTCTCCTGACGCCGCGATAGGGAAGAATGCCATGTTCAAAACTCAACAGAGCAAGCGGTGAACGCAATCGCAATTGAGTGAGCTTTTTCCCCTTCAGCCCTTACCTCGTCCTTGATTCGGTTTTCGCCGTGAGCTGACGAGCGTGAAGAAGCAAAAAGAATAGAAAAAGCCGCCGGTGAAGCAGAAAGCCATTTCTGTACAACGCCCACGGACCTCCTCGGCGTTTGGTGGTGAGTAGATTCGGTCTCAGCCAATCATGTGGCCTCCGCGTTGGGACATCGGTGCTTGAATCCCTCCTTGGGGCGTTCTCGGGCTCCGGGATCCTTCTCAGCTTCTATACAGCGTCAGCGTGTGTCCGAGGTGTCCGAGCCCGGTCGGCTTGTTTCATTGTCTCTTGATGGAGGATGGTGTGTGGTTGGCATTGGGTGTGCTTACATATTAACGATGAAGGGTGGTGTGCCGGCCTTCCTCACGACTTGGAGTGTTTCTGCTTGTCTTTGAGAACTAAGAGCTGAGACTGACTTGACATCGTCGAAGATCTCTCTAGAGGAAGGCTATCATTGAGTTCTTGTATCCTTTGAACACGCTTTAAAATGCCCGAGAAGCACAAGAGACAGCCTAGGCTGAAGGATAGCTGTGATCGTTGTTCGATTGCAAAGGTCAGGTGTAACAAGGAGTAAGAGCTGCAATCATTGACACGCAAAGCGTAGCTGACAAAGTATTGATAGCAAACCCTCATGTTCAAGATGTCACCAGAAAGGCCTATCGTGTGGCTACAGCTTCTCTCGTCGAGCTGGACGACGAACCACCACCGCTAGCGTCGATCTAGGATCCGACTCCTCTTCTTCGATGGACATCGACGAGACACCATCACTAACTTCATCGCCTGATCTATCTTCCAACGGATCCGAAAAGGACGAGCTATTCGACGCATGGTCTTTCCCAACCTCACATGTTGCACCATCAACCTATTCCGACGTCTTCGAAGATGACCTCTTCCGCATGGCGAACGGATCCTTTGGCCAAGCATTCCCTTCCATACCACCACCACCACTCTCAGAACCTTCCACTGCAATGGATTCAGTACCTGACTGTCCTCCCTTCAACAACAACAACAACAACAACAACAACAACAACAACAACACCGACACAATCATCCCACCCGAGCCTTCCGCCCCAGCGCCACTCATGTCCCGCACCTCCTCAACGGGCACCACCGCATCAACAACGACCAGCATCGTCTCCTCCCACGCCGCCGACGCTCTCCGCGACGAACTCGCCAATCTCAGCGTCTTCGCCGCCAGCATGTCCCGGAAATTCGACGCCATCGTTCGCTCAAGAATGCAATACCGAGACGTATACAGCGAATTCGGCGTTCCTCTGGAAGAATTTGAGGCGACGACGGAAGGGGGAGGAGGAGGAGGAGGAGTCGCGACGCCTGATTTGAGTGAGTTGGGCATGTCGTATTGTATTTCGGAATTGAGGCGGAGGTTGAAGTGGTTGGAGCAGGACGTGGAGAATATGATTGTGGCTGGGGGATAGTCAGAGAGAGAGGTGGAAGGCGAGGAGTGGGAAGGCGTATCTTTTTTTTGACTGGCTTGTCCGTGTTGGACATGGAGACCGAAGGCACTATTTCACGTTTGCGTGCGCTATCTCCTGATTCCAGCTCTCAAGAAGGAAGGCTTGACGAATACACGCAAAAGAGTTGCCGTCAATGCCGAAGCGATGTCGTTTAGGAGGTCGTTTGGGAGCGAATGGTATAAGAGATGAGACGACAGCTTCAAAAGCTTACAGAAGCCTGTTGCCTCGGGCCACAAGATATGAAGGACGACCGCCCCAGGAATTACTCTAACAATCTACTCACTCAGAGTCTCAGACACTTCACACATAACTGACCAAATCTACGCCAACTTTGGCTGCTTCACATTCGCCCGATGCGTCTTCGACGCCTCCGAAAACGTAACCCCCTGCTTGATATCCCTGGCCATATTCTCATCAGCTTCCACCTGCGAGGAGATCAAATCAATCACTTCCTCCGCCAAGTCCTGGGGCAAGCAGACCACACCGTTCAGATCCGCAATCAGAATGTCGCCCGGGTTGATCGTCGAGTCTTGCTCTTCGCTGTTGAAGCGAACGGGAGCGTTGACTTCGCTCACCCGGGCGACTTCTTGCGGAGCTGTAGTCCCGACGTCGCGGGCGAAGACCTAACCCGATCTCAGTTATTATCTGTCTCTCTATCTCTCTCTCTCTCTCTCTCGAGATGGATGCTTTGTCGATAGAGGGGGCGAACTCACCGGATACTCCAAATCCCGATGTTCCTGCAAATCCCTCAACCTCCCATCGATAATCGTCCCCACAGCGCCCGAAAACTGCGCTCTCGTGCTCATCAACCCCCCATAACACGCGTTGATCATCTTCGGCGGCGCGGAGATAAAAACCACAGCGCCTTGCGGAATCCCATCAATCTACATTTTTGGTGAAACAACTTTTGTTTAGCTCACTCCTGATTACATCCACTTTTCAAAGGGATCAATCAAAAACTCACATAATGCCCCCCTCCTCGACTCTGCTTCGGCTCCCTCTCATAGTGGTTCCTCACGTATTTCACCGTATAGGCAGGCCCGATGATTTTGGTAGATCCTTCTTGCCTCTTGGGTGACCACATCGTCAGCCCGGGCAGGAAGCCTCCGTGGGGCACTTTGAGTTTCGTGAGAGCGTCGGCGACATCACAGCTAGACATTGAATCAATACAAGAATATGCAAGACGGGGAAGCAAGTGAGGAGTGGTGATGGTACCTGGTGAATGCTTCGAGTGCTTTGACGATATTCTTGACACTCATCTTGCCTGGACAATTTGGTGGGGGATTGATTGGAAAGAAAGAAAGCTGGGACGAGTGTCAGCTTGATCAACACCATGCGATCGTCCGATACATTCACAGCATTGAAAGACTTACCTCGATGAAGAATAACGTCGTGCAAGATAAAGTCAAGCCGTGAGATCAGAAGGAAGCAGCGAAGTCGGCGTTTTCGGCACATCGGCAACGGGACAGCATGTGAAACCCTATCCCAAGAAGACGCTCACCTATATCAGACAAAGCGAGAGAAAAGCAGGAAGTGGAACCCCAACTAGCTCAAAACATATTCTGCCGGTCAAAATGCCACGCTGTCTAAACTCGACGACTGTCCTAGTGTTCCATCATCATCAGCCCTCATCACTCAACAGCAAAACAACCTGGAACCGCCCTCGTCACCTCTCTGCCCTACATGTATCTATCTAAGAATTCAAGTAATTCCTGATAGCGCTCTGCAGCTTCGCATGTCCCTCCCCGAGCATATGCGACAGATTCTCGATATCATCTCCAGCGGTGATGCCGAACTTTCTGACAAAGTCCTTGGCGGCACTCTCAAGATCACCATACTCTCCGCCTGCCACCTCCTCATCCTCAGGTCTGCCGAAGTATGCATTGGAAGAGATGGAGGTAGCGCCTTCGAAGCCTTGCAGACGTGACTTGGCTTCAGACTGAGCGTTAGAGTCGAAGGTGCCGCGGCCGAAGAACTCGTCAGAAGAGATGCCCTTTTGCGTGCCGAATTTCTGGCGGGCAAAGCGTTCGGAATCATCTGTCTCATGTCAGTATTCACAAAGCAGAGGCGAAGAGCACTAAAGGCGAATCACCTTCAACGGGAGCAGCTCTGCTCGTGGATCCAAAACCCACAGCCTTTGGTGCGGCAGCCGGCTGCTTGGCACCACCAATTTGACCGAATCCAAGTCTCCGGACGCCCATGCCCAAACGCTCCATCTCGCTGTCGCTCCTTTCCCTTGGCTTGGCAGTTGTACCAAAGCCACCTGCCCGACCTGGGCTCAGCGGCGTAGGTTGGTGGATGGTAGAAGCAGAGCTGTTTGGCTGAGAAGCCTCAATCTTCTGTTCCGAAGGAGTCTCCTCATCCGGGTCGTACCCCAAGCGCGTTTTTCGCTCTTCCTCTTCGCGCGCTTTTTTCTCGGCCTCGTCAAAGTCCAGCGCACTGGCATCCACCTTCTTCGCACCCAGCTTCGTCTTCTTTGCGCCGAGAATATTGGCCTTAGGCTTGGAGGGAACAGCCGTCCTGCGTACGGCCGTCGAAGAAACTGATCGAGCGACTGCGGGTGTTTCAGTCCCATCACTCGGCTTCAGAGGCGATTTGGGCCGTGCAGTGCCGTTTCCATTGACGTTTGCGTTGAGGAAGGGAGAACCAGTGCGCGCTGGCGTGCCAGTACGCGAAGGCGGGTTGCTTGGTCTCTTGATAGCTGGCTTGTCCCAGGAAGAGAAGAAGTCATCTGAAGGCTCCGCCGGAGTGCTGGTTCCCGACTCGGGCTTGCCATCAGTGGCATCCTCTACAACCACTTCGTTGGGGCTCCTAGAATTCATGTGTCAACATCTCCTCTGTCTCACACCCCGTGTTCGTTGTATCTCACTTTTTGATGTCCGCCTCGACTCGCCTCGCCAGCTCATCCTTGTACTTGTTCGCCGCATTGCTCGTGTACTTCGTCTTCGGGTCTTTGCTCGCCAGCGCAGCGCTGCCTCCATGTGACTGGAAATACTTGGTAGCGCTTTCGTTGCCGCCGACCTTCATTCGGCGCAGTTGGTCCCATTGCCATTCTGCAGATCACAATCATCAGCACAGCCAATTCCCCCCCTGCACTTGAGATGGGGGCTTCAACTCACGATCCAGGTTCGTACTTCGGACAAAAGAAATGTGCACGCCCAGGTTCCGATGATTGGCAGAGCAGTCTAAGCAGAGATAGATTCCAAAGGGCACGGATGACCAGGTCGGATTCTTTGCGCCGCAGTCGAAGCAGATCTTGTTAGCTTCCTTGCGCTTCAGCCTCTCGAAGATGCGGTGCGATTCGGTCTTGGGCGCGAGGGCCGCCATCTTGACGGACAAGTATGCGTCACCCGGATGTGTAGCGGGATGACTTGCTGTGGAGAGCAGTGGAAGTGCAAAGGTTACGAGCGGGCGATGTCAAGAAATTGGACAACGTGTCTGAAGTGTGAGACGAGGAAAGAGAGCCGCGGAAGGCAGGTGTCCCTGAGTTCAATTCAGGCCGAAATCCCTTCTTTGTCAGGCATCAATAAGCCCGCACTCGACCATCTCTGTTCTACCTACACCGCTGGATAGAACATGCATGACTTGAAATCCCCGAACGGCTCGAGATAGTATAGACCGTCAGCAGTCGTGTACACGCGCAAAGAAAATGTGGCCGTCTGGTTCATGTTAAAAGATATGGTGCTCTACCTAATGCTTTTCTACAAATCCCGACCCTCAGCTCCCAAGAGATATGGCTTCCCCTTCCGTGCTGCTATTTCAGCTGCAGCCCTCAAATGGCTCAAACCATCTCTCTGACCGGGGGCTGCGTGTTTTGTGTTCTTAATCTGTTCTAAAGCAACAATTGCCAAGCTCTACGGATGCAGTCGCTTACTGCGCAGAGCTTCTGGTCGTCCTCTTGTTAACCTCCTCCTTGGCACTCTCAGCTCCACTTGCGACCGCATCGGCGACCTGCTCCTTCGTCTTTTGAGCCTGGTCCTTGGCCTGCTGAGCCTTGGCCTTGACCTGTTCTTGACTGGGAGCGTTCTGTGCAGCCGCGGCGCCACCACCAAAGAGAAGGACGAGGAGGGTGACGAGACCGACGCCAATGACACCGGCGACCTCAGGGACAAACTTGATGGCGTCGATCGGGTTCTTTTGGGCGAGCTCGATGAAAAGGGCGGTCTTCTCCTTAACGTAGAGAAGCGGGTCATCCATGAAGACAAGGTCCAATGGAGACTTAGGGTCGTCCTTCTTAGCGGGAGCTGGGTTCTCAGCCTTCTCGACTTCCTCCTCCTTTGGCTTCTTGACGTCGAAAGTCTCCTTGCGGAAAGCGGCGGCGTCCTCGACAGAGTGACCAATGTAGATGTTGTCGAAGAGGATGTCCTCGTTCATGGTCCAAAGCTCGAATCCGATCTGCGGATCAATCGTCAGTACGAGTGTTGCAAACAAGAAGCACGCGGTCGGGAACTTACAGCGCCAATCGGCTCGAAGTTAGACGGGGTCTTGTCCTCGAAGTAGTCTGGGTTGGCAATCTTGCGAGGGGCCCACTCGCCCTTGTAGGCTGGGTTGTCAATGAGAGGAGCGGACCACTTGCCCTTGTAGGCTGGGTTCTTAATCTTTGGCTTCTCCCATGGGCCACAACCAGACACCTCGTCACACTTGGGGTTTGGAACCTGAGGAGCGATCCAGTCACCGTCTTCCTCGTCATCCCAGTCCTCTGGCTTCACGGCTTCTGGGTCAGGAACGGTCTTTGCCTCGTTCTCGAGCCAGTCCTCGGGCTTCTCAGCAGACTCGTCAACAATCTCGTATGGCGCATCCTCGTCCCAGTCTTCGGGCTTCTTCGCCTCTGGGTCGCGGATTTTGGGCTCGTCAACCCAGGTGTCTGGCTTCTTGTCCTTGGGGTCATCAATCTCCTTGGGGGGAGCGACAGCTGGGGTGAAGTCCTCAAGGAGAGAGCCGTTCTTCGCAGACTTGTCGTTGATCAGAACCTCGAAGGTCTGGTCTGGGCGAACGATAAGAGTGTACAGGTTGGTGAGCTTGTTGATCTCGGCAGATGGAGCGGCGTTCATGTGCTTCTCCTCGTACTCGCCGGTCTTCGGGTTCTTGTGACGGAAAATGAAGTGGACCTTGTTGGTGGCTCCGCACTTGTCGGGACCAAACATGATCATGTAAGGAGAGGCGTTGGAGAACTCCTCGGACTTCAAGGCCTTGTTGTTCTGGAGAAGCTTCATGTAGGCTCCACCACATTCGAGGAACTTCTGAAGCTTGACCTCATATTGTACAACGAGGGTCTTGCCCTTGTTGTCGATTGGCTTGTCGAAATGGGCTGAAATGGCGTGGTGAGCAGCCTTATCCTTGAGGACGAGACCCTTGTCGCCTTCGATGCCCTTGTAAACAGTGGGCTCTTCGACCTCCCACTTGCCAACGAACTGCCATTCCTCTTCGGTGTTCTCCTTCTTTGCATTGGAGTGCTTCCATCGGCTGTCCCACCCGTCGGTAAACTGCTCGAGGAAGGGCGCCTTCAAAGAGGTGGGCTGATGTGGCCGTCAGCTTGAGCTCTGTGGTCGATGCTCGTACTTCTGGCTCGACTTACTGTAAATGTCGGAAGCTCGACGGATGTGCTCGTTGATGAGGGCTCGGCCTCAGTGTCGTCTGCGGTAGCGAAAGCTGCATAGCAGCCAAGGGCAAGAATCGCGGAGGCACGCATGGTGGGCGATGCGATGCTCGCAGCAATGAAAGAACAAGAGAGGTGTTGTTGTCAAGGCAAGGTCTGGAGGGTGATGCAGGTATTAGAAGATTAAAAGTGGTGGCCGGTGTTGTATTTGCAACGTTGCAAGAAGAACGACGACCTGAAGCTAATGTCCGTGCGGCTGTCCGTGCACCAACGAGCTCCCCACACCTCCCTGAATCGGTTAGAGCCGACTCTCACATTCACCTACCCAGTACCCACCCTCAAGGTATTAATTTATGAGCACCAAAGTCGGCCGTTGCAGACGCCAAGTTCCCTCTCCTAACCCCAGACAACCACCACAACCTCAGGCAACTACAACCTCAGATCAATTCAGAACCACCAAATTCGGGGGTTACAGACCTCTGGTGACCATACCCTTGACAGCCGGCACGAATCCCAAATCGCCCAGCACAACCCTGACGGTCGCCCACCGTCCGCCCACGCATGAAGCGAAGGTTTGGCAATACATGTAGACAAGGATATGATTGGTAGACCAGCAACGTATTTTCATTTTACGACTGAGGTGTCGCGCTCGAAGCCACGACTACAGCATGTGGTAAATGTGTTCAAGCGCTACATCAATCCCGAACGCCGCACTGCAAGCCAGGGCTGTGCGACTATATGTTGGTGCGGCTGGACATCTAAAAAATGATTCCGTTCACGAGGAAGGCGCATCCTTCGAACCTTTTTTGCTGCAGCAGACGCTTGCAACCCGGAGCCATTGCAGAATAGCAACAATTGCGTCGATGGCTGGCTAAAGGAAATGTCCACAACACCTGCCCTACTCAGCACCTCATTGAAGCAAGTTCCCCGCATCAAAGGAGAGGCAAATGGCCGAAGTGATACACTGCGATCGCACCGTCTGTGGTACTATGAACATCGAATTTGCATTATCCCTTTCAAGTATGACACTACGACATAAAACACTTTCGCTTGCTGCTCTGCTCTGGTGGTATCAAACTCAAACTACGGCCAAGATCGGAGAAAATCAAAAAGCAACCGACAAAGTAAATGGTATCATTACGCGGCGAGGAGTCGCATAGCTCAAGGCGTCCGTCACGTCTCGAGCCGCATCGCGGAGTTGTTGAGAAATATCTCGTGGTCGAGAGGTGCGCTGAACGCTTGCAAGTGTATGAGGTGTTCCGTGTTGCCAGAAATGACAGCAGGAGCGATGCGATTGACCGTTCTGATCACTGTCGTGCGGCATCCATGTTGCCAGTAAGTTCGGCAACACGTGCCTTGATGCGGGCAACGCGCGATTCAATAGCTACGAGAATGTCAGCTCAGGTCACATATACAGTTCCATGGGTGGGCACTCACTCTCTTCTCCGCTTGTCTCTCCATCATCTGTTCGAAGGCTCTGGCTTGCTTTGCTTTGCGTGCTCTGGTCTTCGCTGGGTCTTCCAACGTCCTCGCGACGCTGAGCCGCCCGCTTGTGTGCGTTCTCGCGAATAGTAGCCCAGCGGTCTTGCACGACCTCAGTATCCTGGTTGTCTTCCATGGTTACTTCAGACTCGACGTCAGAGGCAGGAGCATCGAAAGGCAGCATAGTCGCATCCTCCGTCGCTTGCGGATGCAGCCTAGCTGCGGCAAGAGTGTTGAAATGGTGCTGATTTAGCTGTGGAGATGGTTCCTCAGAGGTATCGTGAGGCATCGCCGACGGCATGTCGTCCATCGGGCCCTGATCAAAGCGAGAGAACTCTCGCTCGGCCGCTTCATGCTCGTGAGTACTACTGCGAGACAGCTCCGCGGGCGAATGATCATGAGCGAAGTTTTGAGCAGTGACAGTGGGCTCCTGGGCAGGCATTTCTGGCTCAGGCTGGCTAGCGACGGCAGTAGTGCTTGTCATGGGCGTGGCGGTGGGTTTCTTACGCATTAGGGAAAGGCGACGGCCAATACCGATCTCGGCCGGACGAGCCAGGCCGTTGCTCCCAGGTCTTGGCATGTCCAAAGAATCACCACGGGTGCTTTCTTTCTTCTTGCCGAAGAGTTTACGAATGCCACCGCCACTTTGGCCAGCAGGCTTCTTAGACTTGCTGCTCTCCTCGGGGCTAGTCGCTGCTTGAGATTGCATGGCTCGCGCAGCTGCAAGGGCCGCTGCGTTTGGCTTCGGCGTCGTCGGTGACGCGTTCGAGTAGTCATTTTCCGGAGCTCTGAAAGCCGGGTGTTCGTCTTGACGAGGGACAGGTTTCCGTCCCATCTTTGGCCCCTTTGGAGATGCGCCAATTTCCTTGTCGAGAGCAGTCAATGACTCCGGTGCCGTGCGTCGTACCTCGGGGGATGGCGCAGCCTCATCATCTTCGTTCTGTGTAGATGGAACATCTGGAAAAGCAGCAACCGTGTCCTGAATGCTCGAAACTCGGAAAGACTCAGGCACAAGGGACTCGTTTGACGCAGGCTTTTCGTCATCCTTCGATACTGGTGGCAATTCGCGGTCGTTGTGCTCAGATGGGAAAGCTGGTGCTGCGGGTGATGTTGGTGGGACAGGCGTCGCCATCCCACTGTCTCCAGCGGGATTGAGTGACGAGATGCGGCGGAGGTCCTCTCGAGACATTCCCTTTCCGGCAAAAGAATCGCCGAGATACTGAGCCCGAATCGTGCTCTTGTCGTAAGAGCTGGCCCACTTCATGGCAGGCCCTGCCTCACTCTGCAAGCCGAGAGTCAGCATGCTGTTAGTCTTGCTGGCTTGACCATCGTCGTGTCTGCCGCGCCGAGCGGCATCAGGTTCGGGAGTCTCCTGCTTCCTTGATGTCAAAGCCCTTGCCGCAGCCTTTATCTTTGCTTGTTGGTCCGTCGTGATGCTGGTCTTGCTTGGAGTAGCCGAAAGGGCGCGTTGAGGCTGCTCTCGAGAAGGCTGCTTGCTAGTGGAACGCTTGCGTCCCAGTCTACCACGCTTGGTAAAGCTGAATATGCTTTTCTTGGGAGCAATGTAAACGCCTTCAGTCGGATCTGGAGCAGCGCCTTTGACCTGCTCCTCCATGATGAGCCAGCGGCCGCCCATGATACTCGTCTCGATGAGCGCACATCTTCCAAACACAGCTTTGCGAGCAGAAGGCTCCTCGCCGGCCAAACTCGTCATCCATACCCACCAGAAAGCATCGTCCAAGGAAATGTTGGTGATCGCTGCGAGCTCGCCGGGTGCGAGGTTCTCATCGTCGCCTGCAAGCGGGCTAGGAGACGTCGAGCCGCTGCTAATGGGAGGAAGAACATGCGCAGATGGGTATAGCAATGCGGGAGATTTGGCAGAGCCATCATCAGCGAATCCAGAAGATAGAAAGTCGGCCCATGAAGGGGTCGTGGGTCGTCCAGCATCAGCGTTCCTCGATTGCGGTTGTTCCCGCAGCCCCTGACCGACAGTCTTGGTGGATCCGTTTGTGGGTGACCTCTGCGTCAATGCCTTTTCGTCAATGTCAGCGAAACCCAGATTCTGGAAAGCCGTCCAGGACTCTTCAGGCTTTCGGGCTGCCTGTCTTGAGCGAGCCGCAATGGATTGGTTCGCCGAAGACACGGCGTACAGGACACGCTTGCATTCATCCGTCAAAGCGTCGATGGGATCCTCGTATTCGGAATACTCGCGCAGCACCCGATCGCGGTCCCGATATTCGAAATGCTTCGCTCTACGAAGGAGCGCGAATGGCGTAGGAGAGACTTGATCGACAAGCATGACCACGCGCGGCGTGGCCCGCTGAAGTAGCGTTGGCGTTTCAGGGGGGTATTCAGTCGAGGCTACTAGGGCCTGCAAGGATCGAGGTATGCGCTCGATGACGTTCATGGAGGGATCCGTGTCAGGAGATTGAGAGCGCAAGTACGCAAAGAACAGATGGCTGGCGGCATCTGCTGCAGCGGCCCAGGACTTGTAGCCTCCTTCAAAGCCATTGCCGCTGTCGGTATGCTCGAAGGCCCACCAACCAGCCAGTCGGGAGACCTTGCGTCCCGTCAATCCATTCATCTTGCCATGCGCGGCGACCGCAGCAATCAGGTCGAAGAAGTCGAAGATAACGCTCCTGCGAGCCTCGGAATCGGCCCCAATGGGTATAAAAGTGTCGAAGGCATTACGAGCCAGGTTGGCCTCCTTCTCACCAATTCGAAATACCTCGTACACGGGCCAAGACACAACTCCATTGGGCATGCGACTCCAGCACCATTTCAAGATGCCGCACAACACAACAGAGTCCGTCAGGCGTAGCTCTTGCTTCAACCCGTCACCGGTGTACTGAGAAGATCGCTCGGCGTTCGACTTGTAGAAATTGCGGATAAACGCGCGCGCGCCTTGGGGATCGGAGTCAGGGCGGAAAGGGAGGAGGAGGAATGGTGCATCGAGTGCTTCAGCTGGGAGGTTGTCAGTCCATAGCCGCAGTTGGAAAGTCCAAGTGTCAGGGAGTGCCTACCTCGCGACTTCATCTCGGCCGTGCAGACGTTGACCAACTCTTTGATCTCCTCGGGCACGATCACGGTGCTTTCCCAGCGCGACTGCCATCTTGTCTGCTGTTTAGGGGCGGGAGCGGTGTCAAGGTCGCCGAGTGTCTTGCCCTTGGATGTCGGCTGCGCTCCCTTATTCTTAAACCGAGAGAACAGCGGCATCTCGGTGCTTGCGGAGTGGTGGTGTGGTTCCTGCCTCTTGCTCCCGGAATCGCGATTGTTGGTCTACCTTGCTTCGCGACTGCGAGCTCCTGAACGATCGGAGCACGCGACTGCCAGGGCCGATGAGATATAGATGCTGCGACCTCAGACTAAGTCGAGAGAATGGCGAGCCAGAAGGTGTGTGGCCCCGGCACAGAGCGATAGGTCGTTGCGATATATCGGCTGCCTGCAGTGCTTCTGACACGTCAAGTCGCGTCCCTGAGAATCGGCTGCAGGGTGTCCGCGGCGGGTGCGAATAGCGCTGACGACTCCCGACTCCACACCAGAGATTCCGAGAAGAAGAAGAGAGGGAAGGTGCAGTAGCGATGCCAGCGCTGCGGCGTGAAGGAGCGACTGCGGTCAAGAAGACATGTACAACAATGCGTGGACTGAGGGCAAATGGGAAGTCTGGGAAATGGGGGCATCTGTTCGTCGAGGGGAGAGAAACGGGGACCGTGCGCGCCTAAAACCCGACCTTAGCGCCTGTTCATCATTCGGAGGCCAGTCGGCAGGTCTAATACTACTTGCAGCGGACGATGCCCGAAACAAGCCTGCCAGAGCGCGCCGCACGCTCACGGTCGTCGCGGAACTGCTGTGCGAGCTCGTCGTCCGCGCCGCCGTCCATGTGGAAGGCCCTCTCTGTCCTGTATGTGTGTATTTATGTTTCGTATGCAGGGACATATCAAGAATCTGTGCCAATTTCCTATTATGTGGGCGACGGGTAGGCCGGGAAGGCCCGCCTCCAGGAAAGTGACGTTGTCGCACATCCAATCTCTCTCCTTTTCTTAGCCGACATATCTGCCTCGTGTTTCTACTGGAAAGCGTCGCTCGTGCACAACATGGCCATCAAGACCGTATGATGTTGGATGCATCGCGGCCATTTGACTTCCCACGAGGGCCTGATTGAAGGACTGCGCCTCCTACTCATGGCTGAAGGCCCTGCCCGCGCTTGCGAGATTCGTCAGACCATCCACGAAACGGCCGTAATCTTGGGCCTGTTCTGAGGCGCGAAGAACGGCGTACCGTGGTACCGATTTCGTGTAGCATTGACTGCAAGAGCCTCGCTTGACGGTCGCCTGGTCTAAATACGGAGCATACGTGGTCAAGATGGGATATGCTGCCCTATTAGGACGCGTGTAAGAACGAGTCACGGCCAGCTGCTAAAGCTCCAGGAAGGATGTGGAATAGAAGCGAGCTGTATCATCCACGGGAATAATGCTCCAGGATGTGCTCCAAAGCTCGCAGAAGCCTCGTGAGGAAACGAAGAACATCAATGTACACGGGAGTGCGCACAAAGGAGGACTTCACATGTCGATGATGCGGATTACGTCACTCCTTACCGCTACACTTCGACGCAGGAACCATGCGGGCTTGAACTACTGTATACCAACAGATTGGATCCTGGCAGAGTCAGTGTCGTACTCTGCTCTGTGACTCTTGCACAAACTTCAGCATAAACGAATCCACCACTAAAACTTTGCACGACGTTCATCAAAATGGTCAAAGACGACGAGACTGTCATCCAGTAGGCTGTATCCGGGGATACTTCCTCCAAGTCAATGCTGACGGACGCATTCCAGGGAGTTCAACGAGCTCATCAACATGAGTGCTGATGAGCTGCAAGACTGGCTCGGTCGCGAGGAGTCCACGGGTGCAGGCTGGGACAAAGACGACGGCTCCGGGGAGACCATCGGCCACGACAGGTAACCGAGCTTCCACGGGCATGCTCACCATCTTCGCTAAAAAGCATTCTCAGTGGTCGCAAGATTGTCGCCATCTTGCAGAAGAACCCCAAGAAGGATCCAAGCCAGTATGACGAAGAGGACATCCCGCACATGCGCAAAGTCGTCGCGTATAACAAGCGCCATCTGGCCCAGGAGGGCAAGGCGAAGCAAGACCCCAACAGCAAGAGCGCGAAGAGCCTGAAGAACTGGGTATGTCTTGCCGCGTTCGTATCCATTTAGCGGACGACTACGACTGACTGAACACCAGGGCCACGATCCTCAAAAGGCTTGAAGAGCTGCATCAGAACGGTGTGCAGCGGAATAAGAAAGAAGAAGAAGCATCCTATAGCTTCAAAATGTAAAAAGAAACAAGTTTCACTCACAACACGTTTTCTCTCCTCATACATGCATAACATGTATGCCACCTCTATACGGGACAGGCCTAACTCCGCATTTTCACATGCAAACTCCTGTCTAGTCTCCATCCGCACTCCACCTGTATAGTACCTACGTACTCTGATCTTCAGTTGACCGTATCAGACGATTCCATACACCAAAGAGAAATACTCATCCATTGATCCACGAATCGGCGGTAGAACGTTAGAGCGTAACTTGCTCGCTCGCTCGAACCCTCTCCTCCGCGACCACTGCGTTGCCCTCGACGCGTTCGCCCTCAGAAAATGATCGATCTCCAGTTCATTCTGGTCGCAGTAGACAAAAGCCGAGAAGAGCAAGAAAAAGCGGCATGTAATAAGCAGTAATCACTTGGACGGCGGTCTATCAGATTGTCCGGACAGAGACTAGAATAGCCGTGAGCCTCCTCTGGCGGAAGTGTGGCGCTAGATCTCCGCGACCAGGGAGGTGAGAGCTGCATTGCTGCAGTCAGCTATCTAGCATGATCGCGAGCGCATCGGATGCGGAAGGGCATTTGCGGACTCCGTCCTTCCACAGGCGAGCGGAGATGGAGCAGTATAGGAACCGAGTGCAATCCCTCCCATCTCGGCGTCGTGAGATGTCCTACATTTGCTGCATGGATGATCGTGACCGATGCCTGTCATCCAGCAATTTTGATTGTGCGGGTGCTGGGCGGGATGATGGGCTTCCAAGAAGCCGTGATTGGCGATCCGCTCCGCGAGGGCGTAAGCTTGCGAGGCGGGAGCGTGGTATTGCCCATTTCCGAATGCAAAAAGTCTTGGCTCAGGATTGATCGGTAGTGCTTGCATATCAGCGTGGCGGCTCAACAAGCTCTGGCTGGATGGGCGTCGCGGCGTGCAGGCAGCATGCGTTCCCGCGAAGGTTCACAGGGGATTTGCATACATATCTTCGTTGGATTCATCATTACAGTTGTGGCGTGCGCGGATGGGCTGTGGGCTTCGACGGTGAGAGCAAGCAGGTTTGCGCGTGCCTGGTGCGACTGTCAGGGCAAGGCAGGTGGTCTTGTGCTGGCGTGGTGACGGGTGAAACACTGAAACACTGAAACGGTGTTGGCGAACTAGTGAGCCGTGTCCGGGTGCGTGCCTGACTTTATTATGAACGGTCCGCGGGGGTGGAGGGGACGGGGGGGACGACAAAACATAACTTCCAGTAAGTGGTACAGCGAGAAGTAGTAGTGATGATAGGCAGAGGCATCGCGTTGCGTTGTACTGTTGTTCGCCGTTGCGCATACGCATGGGTGGGTTGGTGATGAGGCGAGAGGAGTCGTGGAGTTGGTACAGTCGTCGTCGTCAACGAGAAGAATGATGAGTTAGCGTCGACCGGGCGCAGCTCCAGCCAGTGGGATCATCGGTTGCCGCGCTGGAGCTGACGACCACCGCCGCACACCGCGAGCTTGCGAGGTCCCCGTCGAGCCCATTTATACTTTGGCTCTTCCGCCGCCCGCCGCCCACTGCACCCAGGCAACTTAATCCAGTCCAGTCCATCCATCCATCCAACATCTTTCACCACTTCCATCTCCTCTATCGACATTCACCACCACCACCTCCTCCTCCTCCTCTCCGCCCTCTCCTCCGCCGCTCCGCTACCGCCGTCACCGCCGCCGCTGATACCATTGCTGCTGTCTGCGGCAGTGACGCTCGTTACTACTGAGGCCTAGCTTCTAACCGCGCGCAGTGCACACGCCAACCACCACCCAGATCCACCTCAATTCATCTATCGCATTCGCTTGTGTAGCAACAGCGCACACCGGCTCCGCATCGCATACCCACGTCCCGCCGCGCAGAGCCACCCGACTGCCACCACTGCCATTGCCACACGACTGTACCACCACCGTGCCGGGACCTGCTCGCAACTGCAATCTAATCACTCGTCTATCCCGCAGCCCGCCAGTCTTCGCTGCAACATGTCCGTGGTGGATGGCGCCCAGATGCGGCGCGAGCTGAGCCCACCGGGACCCAAGTCCCCCGGCGCCCACTCGCGCTCCTTCTCCATCCAGAGCGATAAGAGCGGTGGATCTCAGAAGACCAAGGAAGACCAGCGCAGGGATGACTTCTGGAAGAACGGCTCCAAGTCCAATCCCAACGCCGCCTTGTCTGAAGCACAGCCCGGAGGTGCGTTTGTACTCTCCCCCGTCCATCTTGCTACACTGCTTTTCACGCTTCGTCTGTCCACGTCCACTTCCACTGCCCTTCACTCCTTGCACCCGCCGATCATACGCCGCAATGTCCGTGGCCATGGAGCTTCCCAAGGATCCTCTCGCTAACTCAACCTCTCAAGTCAACGCCGTCTACGAAGAGAGCACCCTCACTTCTCTGCGCGGCCTGCAGCACAGGGATGCGCATGGTAACGCTATCAGTACGTAAGACTTGCGCTCGATTCCAGCGCCGCATCTGACCCAGCCTCTTAGCCGACCCCGACCTCTCCAACCCTACACGACCTCGTATGGAACGTCCTTTGGACACTATTCGATCATTTGAAAAGGCCATTGATAATGGATACAAGCGCCGCTCCAGCTTCGTGCGCGCTGGTAATCAACTACAACCGCAGGCATTGTCACGATATGCTGATGTGGCTGTAACAGAGTCGTACGGCGGCCCGCAAGACAGCCAGTACGCCGGCTCGAGGAGGAACAGCGGCTATGGTGAGTTCGCCCTCCCCAGCAACAGTCGCCATCGACGACCATCTTTGGCCAACCGCATGGCACCAGGCTTCGACGGCCAGAATCGCTGGTCGACCGCACAACCCAACGGCGGCGGATACTACGGCGGTCAGCGACCCGACAGTTTCGCCCCCGGTCCTCCGAGGCGTTTCGCTCCCCCTCCACGCAACCAGTCAGATCCCATGATGTATGGCCACCAGCCACGTCCATACCCGCATGGCCATCAAGCCTCGCAAGACACGATGCACACCGGCGTGACCAATGGCTCCGACAGCACCGGACCCTGGGCGAACAGCACCGACCCCTCCAGCGAGAACAGCTCCGTGGAGAGAGGACCTTCAGCAATGAAGCCATACCCCGACCACCCAGTCAATAATGGACACGGGCCACCCAATGGCTACGGTCCGGGAGGTTATGGTCAAGGTTCCGTCGACGGGCCCATTCCAGAGGATGGCGCCTACACCGGCGGCGCTGTGCAGCCACCGCAACCCACACGTCGCCCAATCCCGCTCGGAAACTCGGGCGACCCGATCACAGAACTTCCATCCTCGAAGCGTCCAGAGCCGGAGAAGCGAAAGAGCTGGCTCGCTCGCCGCTTCAGCAAGAAGGGATAAGGGAGGAAACGTAAAGCTCCACAGCATTTGGTCACCATAGCACGGTGACTGAAGTCGTGGCATGCATGCTTGTCTTTTTGGTTGCGAGCGATCGAAAATAGCATTCCGAGCGGCGTCTCACGAAAGTCAAGTTTCGCGTTCACTTCGATTGCAAATAATGTTGTGATGAATAATGGATTGGAGAGGAATGGGAGGGAAAGAAGGAACGAAAGATGCCACACACTCTTTGAACAGCGGCGCTTTTTTGTCACCTTGGTGTTTGGAGGAGGAAACGCATACACCACACCGCACCGCACCGCACTCTCACAGGAAACGGGAACTTTTTTGAACAAGACGAACAAACGAGCAGAACGAGGAAAGCGAGGAAAGTGAGCTTTTGGAACACCACACGTACACACATCTGCTGCACTTGTCTTGAGCCACGAGGACATGCTGAAGGGAAGAAGTGCGGCAGGACAGGACTGATGAACTCTGGTTTCTCTTTTTCGATTAAATGTATACCGTTTTGGTGAGAGGGAAGGGAAAGCAGCCGTAACGAGGGAGGGAGAAGTTGTCGTTAGAGTAATTGGGACTGGGAATGTGAAACAGTCTGGTTCTCATACGTTCGTCTTCTTCATCATGCTCCGTCTCACTGCTTTTTCGGGAGTGGAAAAGACCGCCGCATGCACCGCAGCCTTCTATGCTTGTGACGGGATGGGATGGAGTGGCACGAGAAAAGGGTTTGATCCTTAAAGGACGTTGCCCCCAACGCCCAACTCTTCATCAAATGCTAACGTATACCTCTGTTTGTATGTTTAGATCCTGTCCAAATCCTCTCGAGTCCACTCCGGGAATTCAATATCCCTATGTGGAATCGACATCATGTTCCTGTCGTCGATGTACTCCTGCAGCGACAACTCTTCAAACTGCGAGCGATTGCCAATGCGCACCCCCTTGGCCTGCACATCCCGCGCGTACTCCATCGTCTGCCGAACGAACGTCTTCCGGTCACTCGTGCCATCCAGCCAGTCCACCAGGGCCATGACATCGAACGCGGCCTGCGACGTCGACGCCACCGTGTGCGGGCGGAAACCCGCCAGCGCGTCGCCTACGAGCGCAATCTTGTCGCCCCAGTACAGATTCCTGGGCGCTGCCACGTCCGTGATGGCCTGCACGAAGGGGGTCTGCGTTTTCTGGGCCATCTCCGCCATCTGCGGCGGCAGGCGCTCTGCGGCTTTGGACTTGAGCAGTTCCCAGGCGTCCCACGCGATCATGCCGGGCGGGATGGTGATGTGGCGCCGGCGGCCGTCTCTGTCCGTCATGAGCTTTTCCAGCTCCTCGCTGCCGGCGGCGAAATTGGCGTACCACACGAAATTGAGCAGGCGGTTGCCGGGCTCCGTGGAGCCGTGCTTGCCCGCGATGGTATAGGTGAGATTCTGGATGCCCGGGGCGTGGAAGAAGCAGAAACGCTCGCGGAAAACTTCCAGCGCTGACTGCGAGGCTTCGGTTTCCGGGAGGGTGCCGCGGATCACGCAGTAGCCGGCGTACTGGCGCTCGATCTGGGGCTCGAGGATTTTGCGGATGGTGGACGAGGGACCGTCGGCGGCTATGAGGAATTTTGTGGTCAGTTCGTCTTCGACCTCGGAGCCGGCTTCTGTTTTGCGCTGGAATTTGATCCGCACGCTGTCGCCTTCGTCTGAGAGCGCGGTTACGGTGCAGCCGTAGCGGTAGTTGACTTGGCCATCTGTTGCTCTTTGCTCGGGCAGCTTGCCTCCCTCCAAGTACGCGCTATCGACTCGGTCGTAATTCTAACATCCATCCAGGTCAGTCGTCCCTCCCTCCAACCTGATCGCGGAGCATAATAGACTCACGGCTCGTAAGAGGTAGTACGCCAAATCCCAACTCGTCATATTCTGACGATTGATCTCCTCGTGGATGACACGGCCTTTCTGGTCCAAATACAAGCGCTTATAACTCGGCACGGCCACCGCCTTTCCGGATCGATCATATTTCTTGAAAAAATCAATCGTGTCGCCTCCCGCCACGATGCCCGCGCCTTGGTTTTCAAGTAGAAACTTGGGCGTTCGTTCGAGCTGGAGAGGCCATCATCCATCAGCTTGGCGTTGCGAGATTTGGCATTATTGAGTAAGGTAGTGCTGCTGCTCACGATCGTGGTGTTATACCCATGGCTCTTCAACGCGACACCCGCGAAGAGCCCACCGAGGGACCCTCCAATCTGCAAGATGTCATTAGCTATGATGCATGAGTCGACTGGGTTTCCGTCCGTCGCCGTACAATGACTATATCTGGCTTCTTCGGCGATTGAATTGAACCCATCGTGCTCGGCGGTCACTGTATTCAGAATGGTTCAACGACCCCCCAAATTGTTGGTTTCCTACATCCTGCTGGAGAAGTAGATCAGGTGGAGTTGATGGATGCCAGAATGATGCGGGACGTCACTGCACTCGGCAGGACCTGCCTGAAATCCCCTCACACTACTACGGACGAGCGGATTGCGCCTCCTTTGATTTCACTGCAAGAAGACACTTCTCCCTACGTGCAAGACAGCCTTGCATTGCTGTTGATTGCCAGTTGTCTGATCCGCATGTGGCGAGTATTAAGGAAACGGAAAAACGCTTTCCTGGGGTGTTACATGGACGTCCTCAATGCACCGGGTGGGGACGTGGACTCTGGTATTGGCGAATACTTCGACGCCATCGATGAAGCCAAAGAGGCCCTTGACACCTTTTCCAACTTCGCTGGTGGCAACCACGCAGACGGGAGACTCGGAGCGCATACTTTGCAAGATGCGGCCCCAGGAGACTGGGCTGAGAAGCGTTGGAGATCGGATATGTACCGAAGGGCCTAGTAGTCAGCATGTTGATGGTGCATCAGAGTTCAGATGGCTCCTGAGCGTCTTGCTCGTCGCACTTGGGCTTCGCTGGGGTGGGTGTTCTTCTCTGTGCTCAAAGCCTCTACCACCGATCTCCTGGCCATCATGTATGGCGTTGTCGCACCTCTTTAGAGACAGCATGACACAACTCAACCCTCACACCAGCTCCCGACAAGACGTCAATCCACATCCTCTGCGTCTCGCTCAGCCGATCATTCTCGCTCTTCACCTCCGCAAACATCACTTCTCCCTTGCCGCCATCTTCATCCGATTTCCAGAGGAACAAGTCCGGCACCCCGCCACCTCGCTGCCCATATTCCTGCACCATCGTCTTCATGACCGTGCTCAGGGCCTCAGGTCGCCAACATCTCACAATCTCCAACAAGTCATCAATCGCGTAGGTCCAATCCAAACCTACAACGCATGTCTTCCTCTCGTTATGTTCGTGCCAGACTCGCTGGACAATGTCTTCCGCATCACCGTTGCTGATATCGTTCAGCCGCGCGTTGACTTCGCTTATGCGACTCGGATAGAACGCGTCGCTGTGTAAGTCGAGAGGACAGGTTTGGTAGGGTGTCTGGAACACGTTGGGAATGTACAAGAAGAGGGTGTCGTAGAACAGATAGGCGAACAAGGTGCGCAAGACTCGGCCTTCGCTGTGGTAGCCTTTCCAGCCTAGGAGACGATAATTGGACAGACACATCTCCTCGACGGAGCACTCTGCCTCGAGCGGCCGCACAGGTTCTGACTCTGCTTCGTCCTTGATCTCCTCGAGATTTGGCTGCGCAACGACCTCGGGATCGAGCCAGATCGTCTTCGCGCCACGATGGCTGAGCTTGCCGTTCTGTTCGCTGTTGCGCCTGCTGCTGGCTTCGCGTTCAATACGGATCCCTTCGAAAGTGCGGTCTTCAGCTTTGGCAAGGCGAACGTGCTCGAAGTCGTGCTGTTGCCGTTTCGGTATTTTCAGCGCCTTTTCAAGCTTCGTCGTCCGCTTCTGTAAGTCCCGATGAAAGATGAGATGTGTGAGCTGGTCTTGCAGACCTTCTTCACAGGTTGCAAGCGCCATGCGCTTCCAGTGCTTCTTCTTGGCTTCTACGTCCTTGCACTCCGAAGGCGACGGAAGATAAAGATGCATGTAGTGTTCTTCCAGCAGCGCTTTGCGTTGATACCAATCGCCACGTCGCGATGTGTGAAACAGCTTCTGTTCGAGAAGCTCGCACAGAATTGCGTGTTCGCGCTTGTGCTCCTTGTTCTTGCCCAGTACAAAGGCGCCTTTGTGGACAATCCTCGTATAGACCCAGGCAGGTGACAGACGCCGTAGATATGCTCCCTCGCCAGTGCTGTATATGCTATCCTCCTTCCTCTGCTCTTCTGCCAACAGAACCCGCCAGCGTGGCAGCACCTCTTCAAAAATGCCGATGGTCAGCCGCAAGCCTTCCTTGGTAGGAGTGCCATTGAACTCCAAAATGTTGTCAACCCTGAACTGAGTACGAACGGCAGCTTCGAACTCCAACAGCAGCGACCGAGATGCGAAGATGTTCGCCGAGCGCGAGACAATGTATTCTGGAAAGTTTCGTCGAGCAATTCGAGCCAAAATGATGGTAGTCAGAGATTTTTCTGTCCATTCAGTGGAACGGTAGAAGACAAGATGAACGCGCTCAAAGAGCTTCAAGGCTGGCAAAGAGAGTCGAATGCATGGCCCAGTCTCGGCCATGATCTTGTCAATGAAATAGGAATCGCGATTCTCGAACCTTGCGGGTGTTGTCTCTCGACTGTCCTGGTCTGCAGAAACGCAGTTGATCGATGCTGTGGACTCTTCTGTGTCCGACCGCTTCAAGCCTACGAAGCCAGAGAGGGCAGTCTGTTGTCCACTCGACTTTCTAAATGCTCGCAAAAGCTCTTTCTTGTTTTTGCCTTGCACTTTCGCATCCTTGGCCAATGCCTTCAGCTCATCTAGCAGCAAGAGTGATGACGCCTCTTCGAGATCTTTGATGCAGTCCTCAGACCGATCTGCAAAGGTGAAGTTCTCGCCAAGCGTTGTCCCTTCAGGTGGTTCTAGCTCGCCCGGATTATCCTGCTGTTGCGAGGTGTGCATGGGCAGCTCTCTCGGAGTCTGTATCTCATTGATAGCGTTCTGTAGATCCGCAATGTCGCTGTGATACCCCAATCGACTGATTCGATGCCAACTTGATGTCTTTCGCAGAAAGAGTCTGACGTATAGATATTGGCCTTCGTAGCTCAGTTCCCGCCACTGCTTGAAGACGGCGTGTTCGGCCCCGTCAAACAGATGGCTCTCATCTTCCAGCACCGTCTCCAGTGCGAGATTGAACGCATCCACATATATCGAGCTCTTCCCCTTGACCCATTTCTGGCCATCGAGACGTTCCTGAAGACCTAGTTCGGCCTGTTCGGCTGCTCGAGAAGCTTCGTACGCTTCGATTGCTTCCTTGTCCGTCTGGATCGGAGGGAGAGCACTTTCGAGATCCGTCTGGCGCGAGACTTCTTCTGAACCATACAGCTCATCTTCGCTGTCTTCCTCCGAATCTGGGATCTCGGTTCTATCTGTCAACTGTCGCAGATTGCCTTTTTGTACAAAGGAGGTGATGTTGATGTCGCGTTTTACTCGTTTCGCAGGAGGCGTGGGGAAGTCATCGCCAGCGTCGTCGAATCTGGTCGATTTCGGATGGGCAACCTTCTTGCCCAGCATCGCATTATGTTTAGAGGAGTTGCTGTCCTGCAGCATGGTATCTCGGAATGATTTTACGGCGCGTCTCCCGTAGTGCTGAACGCGATTGGGTGATCATGAGACTGTCCAACCACCAGAGCCGTTCGCGCTCTACCAATTTACAGTCGTGATCGTCTTCTGTCCCAACTCCCACTTCCCGGAGACCAAAGATACAGAGTGGATGCAGGAAGCCGGCAGAACAAGCGACGCGAACGCGAGAAGCTCACGAAGCAACGTGAACCGATGACGTCGCCCCGCGCATTCCTTTCACTTCACATCAGTGCACCTCGCAAGCGTCGCATCGCATAGAACATGGTGCGCCGAGAATACAACTCCATGATACCCACACCCCGACGACGATGCGCCTCTCCCTAACCACATCACTCCTCTTCCTCGCGACTCAAGCCCACCTCCTCCCCAAACAACCACAACAACAACCCATGGCCGACACCTCACCCTCACCCTCCTCCTCCTCCTCCATCATCCTCTCCGACATCCTCGGCACCCAGAAATCCATCAACATCTTCTCCAATCTCTGTAATTCCATCTCCACCGTTTCCTCCCGTCTGGACACCAGCTCTGCAAACACCACCCTGCTCGCACCCCTCAACGGCGCGATAGCCTCCCTTCCCCGAAAACCCTGGGAAGATCCCCACGACTATAACGCGCTGGGGAGTGCGGCGTATGCAGGGCAAGAAGGGGAGGATCGAGCGCAGAGGAATTTGAGGAGGTTTGTGGAGGCGCATGTAGTGCCTTGGAGTCCGTGGAGGGAAGGGGAGAGAGTACAGACGATGGGAGGGGGGACGGTTTGGTGGGAGGTGAAGGATGGGAGACAGGTGATTATGCCGGGGGACGTGGAGGTGGAGAGGATTGTGAGTAAGGTGTCGAACGGCGAGGTTTGGATTTTAAAGGGGGTGGTAAACTATGCTTGAGCAATCTGATATCGGGCGGCCCGATGGAGTTATGGGCAATTAGGAGGATGATTAATGCAGCAAGAAAGACGACAGGATGGAACATACGAATTTATGATATGATATACCACGCCTATGCATACGCATTTCTCCGCGAGGAGGTACTCTTTGAGATCATCCCGAGCTTGCGGTCCCAGCACTTGGTTCCCTGCAAGCGTCGCTTTCTCTGTCCTAGTTTGTTACGATAGGATCTCATTGCATCAAACTGCCAGCGACGACACATTTTCGGATACGGTTCCTGGTGCCATCTCGCGGGCAACATCACCAGGCATGTCCAGCTGCGCTTGATCAGCAGTGCGCTTGACCCCAGCCGTGAGAGCCGGCTGCTTCTGCTGTTCCGAATGCTCCGTTTTTCCCTCGTTCTCCTTGTCGCTACTCGCTTGTTGCGCTGCCTTGTTCAGCTTCTTGCGCTCGGCTTTGGTCAACTTGGGCTTCGAGAACGCGCCCATCTCTAGGCGTCGGTCCAGATCTTCCGCCAGTTGTTTCAGATCAGCGTTGCCAAGGACATTCACAATGTCGCTGTAGCTTTTGGTTGCCATCATGGCTTTATATGCGGGCTGCTTGCCCGGGATCATCTGGCCAAGGAGATATTTTGTATTTCCCCAGCGATTCTCAACTTCCATCGAGGTCTTGACGTACTCCTTGACCACTTCCTCCCAGCTGGCCTTGCCGCCTTCTGACTCGGGGCGGAAGACCGAAGGATTTGTCTCGGCTGCCGTAGCAATCATTGCGCCGTCCGCACCGTATTCCTCCATCAGCTTCAAGGCCTCGTCGCGACTCGTGACATCGCCGTTCATGAGACAAGCAACGCCGGCCTCGTGGCAGACGTTCACAACCATCTTCAACTGATCTCTGATCGCGCGTTCTCGCGGCCTCATTGGCGTTGTTCTGCAGTGAACCGTCAAGCCTGTAATCCCGGTCGCGCAAAGCTTTCGCACAAGAGCTTCGGTTTCTTCGGGAGTGGACAAGATGCGAATCTTGACACTAATGCCAATCTCATTCGGCTCACCAACGTGTTTGACCAGGGCCTCCAAGATCGAACATAACTTGTCCGGGGTCTTCAGAAGCGCCGCACCCATGCCTCCACTGGTGCTGAAGGGCTTCGGGCATCCTGCATTCACATCGATGCCAGCGACATAAGGCGCGATAAGCTTGGCTGCCTCGACCGCTAGATCCGGGTTCGCGCTGCCAATTTGATATATGAGTTTTCGTCCTTCGCGCTCCGGATGCAGCCGGTAAATGATGGATTCCCTCTGCTCGGGGGTCAAAGCGGGATTCTTTACGCCATTCGAGGCTACGCGAGAGAAATCCACCGTCTTCGTGACGGGATTCTGGTACCTTTGAGTTCCAATGAGGGCTTTGTCTATCGTCTCCGGGCCCCAGACGAGATCGGCACCGTACTTGAGTGCCAGGAGTCGCGACGGACACTCGCCACTTCTGACCATGGGCGCCAGGACGATTTTGCCCCTGTAGTCGACGCCATTTTTGGGGATTGGGACCCTCTTCGCAGCTGAAGCCATCGTGCGGATCATCTAGCGGGTCGCATGTCCATGAAGGAGAGCAGTGGGCAGAAGACTCGGTGCCTCTGTGATGATGCAGAGGAATGCAGATGTAGACATGCAATGACAAATGTCACCGCACGTGAATCGAGGCGGGAGTGACTGCCGGGACGTAGGCTGCAAAAATTCGTGACATTTCCGAAGAGGATTGCAAGGCGTGAGGTCTGGCCAGGAGATGACTTACTCCGCCGGGTCGTGCCGCTAGCGCCATCATCCAACTGTGTGCTGCCTCGCTGGGAGCAACTTCATGGGGCAGCCAACTTGTGTAATCGACCGTCTCAACTCCCGGCGAGCAGCCATCGACATGAAAACCAGATGCAACTGTTCATGGATGCCGTACGAAGACGGACCATGAATTTCACGTGCATGGAGGCACCACGGCGTGAGAAGATTCGAAATCTAGCCGCGGAGGCGGATGGAGCAGTCTGCAACGTACGACATTCCGCGATGAGCCTGACAGATGGGCTGCAGAGTGCTGCAAGCAGACGACTGATGGAAGCGTCATGTCCAGAAGAGTCGGCAGTCGCGGTGTGGGAGGAGGGGACGGAGGCGTCGCCCTGTGTTGTGTTGTAAGCTAGGATTTGCTTCCGCGGTGGTGATTGGCCGGCGACATGGAGCGAGGGAGAAGTCGGCACGATGAAGCATCCGCGAGTGATTCGCCAGTGATAATAATAATGAATGCATCATCAGCAGTTCATCAGTACTTCATCAGTACCGAAGTAGTAGAGATGACAATGCGATGCTATGCTATGTACAAGGGTGGGGCGGCGGGCGTGCGTGCGTGCGTGTGTGCGTGCCGGACCTACCTACTTCCTACGAGTGGAAAAGGCCTGGGAGTGGCAGTGGCAGTGGCAGTGGCAGTGGCAGTGGGAGTGGGAGGTTACGGAGTAGATTGTAGTCGTGAAAAGGGCAAAGTGTGAAGCTTAGCTTACTAGACACACACGCTTTCCACCACGCACGGCCCCCAGGCGCCTGCCTCCCGTCTCTCGCGCCGTCGGTGGTCTTCCTACCTTACACTACGCTCACTCGACTTTACACCCACGTATCCATACCTTACTCTCTCTCTCTCTCTCTCTCTCTCTCTCACCATCACCATCACCTTCGCCTGCGCCTTTCCATTCTCTCTCCTCCCCCTCCCCCAACTTCGCCTGTCACTCACCACAGCGACTCGGGCCGACGCATTCGGGCCCCTTCCCGCGCCAATCGTGATACGGCCGCCATATTGCGGGCTTGCTCGTCGAGCCGGTCGTTGCGAGCCGCGCTGGCGTCAGGTATCTCCTCCGCCACACCAACCCTCGACTGCCTCATCATTTGTCGTCCGCCTGCCAACGGGGCAATCGCCAACTGATGTGTATCCCTCTGGACGTCACCTTACACTGTCATGGCCCAACCAGCCATAGATGAGCAGGCCTCCGCCCCGGCATCGATGCCCTCCCAGCAGCGCGTCTCCAAAGCCGGAACGCCAGCCGCCAGAATGTCGCCAGCAAGCTCATTCCAGCCCATCAATACCTCGCGCGGCTCTCCTGGAAATGCAAGCCCGGCCGTCGCTTCCCAACAGCAGACCGGAACACCGCCGGCCAGGGTCGTGGCTCACGCTCCACAAGCAGCACCGCAAAGTTCCGCACCTGCAACTCACCCTTCAACCAACACCGACGTCGCCATGCTCGACGCCACCTACGGGACGCGCTCACGCAACCGGACCAACACACGTCCTAATTATGCCGAAGACCAGGACATGGACTTCGAGTTCTCATCCGCAGCCACGACGACATCCAAAAAGAAAGCCGCCGATGCGCCGCCTCCTCTGCAGACGACGTCCCTTCAAGCAGTCAACGTTGCGGGCCCCTCCAACAAGGAGTCCACCCCGACCAATTCTGGCGCCGGCACGGCGACTTCCAAGAAACGCAAGGCTCCAGCTGCAGCTCTGCAGCAGACAGCGGCAGCCTCATCGATTCCTCCTCCAGCCGCTGTCCGGAAATCGGGCGCGTCCGCCTCCTCGGCCATGGCACGTGAGACGAACGTCATGACCTTTTCGAAGCACCGAAATACTCTGAACAAGAAAGGCGAGCTCGTAGCTGACGACGGGACGAAATTGAGCGTAAATGGTAAGCACTACCTCCCCTGCATGCTGGATTTCGAAGTTGCAAGGCTTCCAAACGCCAGACCCCGCCCACTTCCGCTTCCGCGACAATCATCAGGTTTCTCACTCTGATCATTGGTAGATCACGTGTACCTTGTGTGCGAACCGCCAGGGGACCCGTACTATCTTTGCCGCATCATGGAGTTCCTCCGTGTCGACTCTGACAACCCAAATTCGCCAATCGACAGTCTACGAGTCAATTGGTACTATCGTCCACGTGATGTACAACGATTCAGCTCCGACACCCGACTGGTGTACGGCACGATGCACTCTGATATGTGCCCCATCACATCTCTACGAGGCAAGTGCACGATCAAGCATCGTTCCGAAGTCGAAGACTTGGAAGCCTACCGCAAAGAACGGGACTCTTTCTACTTCGTGCAGGTCTTTGATCGCTTCATCCGACGATCGTACGAGTGCATACCGGTCCAGCAGATTGTTAACGTTCCCGACAAGGTCAAGAAAGCATTAGACGAACGATGGAAATTCGTCGTTGTCGAGATCGGCCGTGTCAAGGAGCTTACCAGCGCTGCAAAGTCTTGCAAGCGTTGCGCAAAATACGCTGCCTCGAGCGATTCGGTTGATTGTGCGATTTGCAAGAATTCGTACCACATGAATTGCGTGCAGCCACCTCTCCCCAAGAAGCCATCTCGCGGTTTCGCATGGGCTTGTGGCCCTTGCAGTCGAGCATCGGAGCGTGAAATGGAGGCTCGCAACACACCCACGCGCAGTGGCGACGCCACCGAAGCCGAAGAAGAGGTCATCGAAGAAGAGCAGATTCCGACCGCATCTAATGACACGACGCGTGCGCCTAGTCCGAGCGGCGATGACATGGTCATAGATGACCATCCCGCCACTCAGGCCGAGATTGCGCTGGCGAAGATGTGGCCCATGAGGTACCTTGGAATTCACGCCAGAGTAGAGGATGCTCTACAGTACGACGATCGAGCTATTTATCCTCGAGCCAGTTCTCGGCTAGGCCCAAGACATCAAGCAAACGTGAATATGTGGCACGGTCGCCCCGTAGAGCTTGTGAAGCCTGCCGAGATCAAGAAGCGATACAACAAAGGCACTACGGGAAAGAAGGAGAACAAGCTAACGAAAGAGACGCTTGCCGCCATGGAAGCGGAGCGCGAAGAGAAGGCCAAACGCCCTAAGTGGGTTCAAGATGAGCCTCCAGGGTATGTTGCGCGTGGCGAAGATTATCCAAACGATGATCCGAGGTGCACTGCCAAACTCATGTTTGAAATGCCATCGGTTGAGAAATATCCAAAATCCGTCGCGGGCGACCCGGCGAAAGATACGCCAACACGGCAGGTCACATTCGTCGATCAGTATGTCCATCGCGCCAAGGGTCTTGCGCGGGCAGTCGGGGTGCCTCCGTTTGGCACGAACTTTCTCGACAAGGCATTGGAGATTTTTGCTGCCAACAAATACAATCCAGATGCGGCTTTGAAGCAATTACAAAAGATCGACCGGCGTGCGGATTTGCACGAACCAGTGCTAAGCAAATCGGATCTTATCAAATTCGAAGAGGGTGTTGCAAAGTACGGCTCAGAACATCGCCTGATCCGTTTGCACATGAAGACCAACCTCCCACACTCTGACATTGTGCGCTTTTACTACCTCTGGAAGAAAACCCCAAAGGGTAGGGAAATTTGGGGCAATTACGGTGGTCGGAAGAAGCGCAAAGTCGAGAGTGACGCGGGCGCTCGATTGCAAGCTGAAGTTGCGAATGATGTTGACGATTCGGCGTTCGACAACGACAAAGCAGTGCGAAAGAATCGCAGCTTCCAGTGTAAGTTCTGCAGCACTCAGTATTCGCGCCAATGGCGACGAGCTCCTGGCGTATCCCCTGGGCAAACGGCTGCAGCAGACAAGGTCGCAAGTAAGGATCAGCGTCCACTGCTTGCCTTGTGCCTAAGATGTGCTGGTCTTTGGCGAAAGTACGCAATCCAATGGGAAGAGATCGATGAGGTCGCAAAGAAGATCTCCGCGAACGGTGGACGGGCATGGAAGAAAAAAATTGACGAAGAACTCTTGCGCGAGCTGCTGGCTGCTAACGACCCAGCGAATCAGCCTCCACCGGAACCGGCGATGATCGCGGGTGCACCGGACGGCGCGGAACCGCCCAAGAAGAAGTCCAAGACTGATAAAGATGGCGGACAAGCTGCTGTTGCTGCTGCAAAGAAGGAAAAGCCACCTCCACCACCCAAAGAGCCAACTCCGCCACCACCACCCATCATCCCAGCTCAGCCGACGTGGAAAGTCTTACCTTGCGCGATTTGCAAGGATATCGGGAATACCATCTCTTGCGCTCATTGCAAGCTCACGCTACACAGGCGCTGCTTCGGCGTGGGTGAAACTGATGGTGTCAGACAGAATGGCGAGGTACACTGGGTTTGTGAGCAGTGCCAAAACGATCGTAATCCGACCGTCTCGACGGACTACTCCTGCTGCTTGTGCCTAACGGAAGAGACACTTGTGGATCTCGTAGAGCCGCCCAAGGTTTCCCACAAGAAGAAGACCGACCGCGAACGAGAGAAGGAGCGACTCGAGAAGGAGCTCTGCGACAACATGCGCGCCGAGTATCGCAACAAGCAAATTTCTCTAAATCGCCCTGTGTTTCCTCGAGAACCACTGAAGCGCACGACTGGCAACAACTGGGTACATGTATATTGTGCCCTGTGGGCACCCGAGATCCGCTTCAGTGACGCGAAGAAGCTTGAAGTCGCAGAAGGTTTCCAACAAATCCCACCGAGTCGGTTCGAGGCAGTGTGCAAGCTCTGCAAGAATAAGGATCACCGTAGTCGACTTCGGGAAAACGCTGGTGCCTGTGTCAACTGCTTCCAGTGCCAGGCAAGCTTCCACGCTTCGTGCGCATACGAGGCAGGCTACACCTTCGGATTCGATGTCCAGCCAGTCAAGGGCTCGCGCAAGGACCAGATCACAACCGCAACCTTGGGCCAGGAGACCGGTGCGCTGACCGCGGTCATCCTCTGCAAGGAGCACAATTCCAAGTCGATTATTCATCCCACCAACGAAGTGATCGATGAGAGCGGGAAGACATCTCTGCAAGTGTACGCCGAGAACTATAAACAAGCAGATCTCACCTTGACCGGCACGGTGCGAAAAGCTGCGCAAGCACAGCTGTCTAAAGACAAAGCCCAGCAACCCACAACCTCTGCGCAGAACGCAAGCAGGCGTGAGTCGGGAGCTCACAGCATTGCTGCAGCGGTCCGACGTGGCGCCCGCAACTCAACAGCCGTTGCAGAGTCAAAGGCAGACCCTGACCATGGAGAGGTGTCGGGTGCGCCGGACGCCTCGCAAGCCGAGCGACGTTGCGTGAAATGCAACATCGACGTCACGCCCAAATGGCATCCCGTATTAAAAGATCCTCCAGACGGGCGGCCAAAATCGCCGGAGAGGCTAGACGAAGCTACGGATTTGCATAGGCCTCCTGGAGCGTCGGACACTCCAGGTGCGCAGCCACCCCAAGCGAAGCCACAGAACATTCGATTCATGGCGCCAGGTGCCAGCGGCCGTGCGTGGGATGGCATGCCTGAGCGGTATGGAGCACGAAACGCCACTAATGGTGAGCGAAATCCCAGCGAGCCGGCTTTCGGTGTACCTGTTGGAACCCCTTCGCGAGATCCGAACATGCCGCCGCCGGTCGAGGCCAATGGAGAACTCCAGCCGCCGATGGAGGACGGGAATCGGCGCGATACCGACGAAGTATACCATAATCATGCTCTGCCGCGATACCAAAATCCAGCTGCTCGTCTGACGCCGGCGCCTCCGCCAGAGCCAGAAGAACCTTCAAAAGAAGAAGAGCCTCAGGGTTTCTTGTGTCACAAGTGCTTCCTGAAGAAGAAGTTGGACCCAACACCGCCGCCTGAAGATTCCACGGATAATTTGGACGCGTCGCCCTCGGCGCAGAAGGACGGCTCATCACAAGCTCCAACTGTTCGAACAATTGAGCAGCAATTTGAGGTATGGGATCGGCCACCACCTCCGCCGACGCCAGTACCACCGCCTGTGCATCAGCCGCCGATGATGAACGGGTATGGTCCTCCTCCGCATTATGGCCCAACTCCAGGTATGCCGCCGCCGCATCAAGGATACGCACCGCATCCGTTTGGCCCTCCAACAAACGGCTATCACCACCCTCCTCCGCCGCTTCATGAACGTCATAGCAGCTATCCGTTTCCGCCTCTCGCATCGCCAAACCCAGGTCCGCATTTTGCACCTCCGCCGCCGCCTCAATCGCGCGGACCGCCTCTCAATGGATATGGACCTCCTCCACCAAGCCAGCCCATGGCGAATGGCATGCCTTCTCCGCACGCATCTGGACCGGCGATGCAGTCACCAACGTACCAACATCCCCCGCAAATGCATGGCACAATGCCGCCACGGTCCGACCAGCCGTTCCCTGGCGTACAATTGCAGCCGCTCGCGCCCCCTCTACATAGCAGCCCAAGCGCGCCTTTTGGGCGGCCACGTTCAGAGCACATGAATGGTCCAACTCCTGGTCTTGCACATCAGCAGCAGCAGCCGCCGCCGCCACCGCAGCAGGGACATCCAACTCAGCCGCCAACACCTCAACCTCTGGCTGGAAGCCCACAGCCTGGTCAGGCCAGACCCGGGAGCCAGCCTCCACGGCCTACAACTCCGCGAAGTGGACAAGGGAATGGCACTCCGAATCCCAACAACATGGCGGGCGCGAGCGCGAGTCCTAATCTGATGAACCTGATACACCAATAGGATGGTGCGGGTCACTCAGCACAGGAGAGTCTGTCCGACGTTCTCACGTCCAGACAAGATCGCGACGCAGGCAACGCAAGCGTGGATTCGAAACTGGCAAACGTGACCAGCCAACAGGGTGACGCGGACAACAATATCGATCCGCAACTCCTCAGGGAGGCAGTGAGACTATGACGGAGACTTGATTACTTGCAGGGAATAGAAAATGGTGAAATGGGTTCCAAACTGGCTTGTATAAATGGACGGGATGCAAAGACAGGATGTACGAAACTCTCTCATTGCAGGCGGCTTCTTTTTGAAGTGTCTTTTGTTGTTGTATGATATCCCCAAAGTGGCCACCAAAGGCCATGAGCAGCAGCAGCAAGAAGATGTTTTTTCCATGTAGCTGTTATCTATCCCATCCTATCCTACCATCACGGGGCTGCGAATTGAATAATAGCAGGCCGCCGCATCAAGACTTGTTGAACTCATTAGATACTGGTGTCGAATCTTCCGTGGTCTCGAGAATGGGATTCGTTTCTCGTTATGTGTGAGTTGAATGCTCTCTAATTTTGAGGGAGGACGTCGTTTTCCAGCCCTGAGTGAGGAGCGGGGGCCTCTAATCGGTTGAGCCCGCTCTTATGATTTGTTTCTATTGTAATACAATCAAGTGCGAATGCATGCTTTCGAACACAACAAAACGAAAGCAGGACGCCAGTCCAGTCCAGTCCAGCCCAGCCCAGCCCAGCAGTCTATTCGTCTATATTTCTCCCACAATACCCTCCTCGTTACGCCGTGGCTGTCGATAGCAGCATCTTGTTCACGACGCCTAGCCCACTTTCACCTGATCACCCTTCTCCTGGGTCGGACTAGGTCCTTCCTTCGTGCCCGCCTTCGAAGCCTCCATCTTCTCGTGCGCGTCGTGTGTATGCGTCGGTCTTTCGAATTTCGCCTGCTGGCGATCCAGATCGAGTTCCGCATCTCTCATTTCTCTGTCCGCGTCTTCCTGTGCTTGCTTCGACAAGGCGGATTCCTGCTTCTGTTCTTCGTCCTTCTCATCGATATCCTCCTTGTCATTCACATTGGTAGTCTCCCTTCCGGAAGCCTTCTGCTGCTCCGTCTGCTCGTTCTCTTCTTGAATGAGTTCTTGCTGTTCGCGAATGACCTTTAGACGTTGCTTGTTCGTCGTGGCGCCTTCGGCATTGTGCACTTCAAGCTCGATTTCGTGGAAGAGCTCCTCGGGGATGGATGAGAGGACGGCTTGCAGGGCGGAGAGTTGGGATTCGAATTCGGTTTCCTTGCCTTGGGCGTACATGAAAGCATTGCTCAGGACGAGGAGAGTGCTGGGGACGCCGTACTTGAGACGGAGGTCAAGCCAGAGCGAGAGGTCATCGCGAAGGCGGCCAGGGCTCACGCCATGTGTTCGGAGACCTCGGGCGGCGCAGGCGGTCTGAAGCTCTGGCACAGAAAGAGAGTCGACTCCCTCAAAGCTGATCGCACGATCGTCACGCTTGATTTGCCTCATCCGGTGACGAATCTGGTATCGCAGCATGGCATCCGTGCCGAATGTGCTCAGGTTCATATATCTGCAGATCCCAACGAGTTGTGGTCTTGACAAGTTGTCCAGTGTCAAGTCATCCTTGAAGAGCTTGCAGACTTTGATAACGTCTGACTTGGTCGGCTCTTCTCCAGTGGCACGTAGCTTGCGGAAGAACTCAGTAAACTCTTCCTTCTGCGCCGTGGCAGCAGAGATGGGCAGACCCGACTCTCTCATGGTTTGCCGCAAGAATTGAGACACCTCCTTCCGCGATGATCGTAACCTGGTCGCCTTCTTCTCCTTGCTCGTTGCGTCCTCGTATGTCGATGGGAGCATATTCGGGAATAATCTGAGAGCAACGGGCAACAACAATTCTGCAAATGGCACTATCACAAAGACAGAAAAGGGTACCAAACGCCCGATATCTTGCACCGTTCTGGTCAGCTGCCTGTGCTCTCTCCGGGTGAGCTCGTATCCAGCAGCCATCTTCAAGGCCAATTTCGAAGAGATCTTCACTTCTGTCGCCAACAGCTTGGTACCATCCCAGTAGTGCTGCGCTTCGTGCTTGACCTTCTGCCAGATGTTCATCTTCTTCTTTCCCTCCTTCTTGGCCACTTCCTTCTTCTGCTCAGATTTGTCTTCTGCGGCCTTTGCTGCAGCTAATTCATTGAGCGCAGCCTGCTCAGCGGCTTGTGTGGGCGGATTCTCGGACGCTTTCGTTGACGATATACTAACGGCGGAATCTGGCTTTGAAGACTTGGTGCCGGCGTTCTCCTGATCCTTTGGAAGGGGCTTCTTAGCCTGCTCCATGTTGAAGCCCGGTGGCGGTCCATTGTCGCCACTTCTCTGAGATGTATCCGTGGATGCAGCCTTATGTGGAATTAAGATGGCGACCGCAGGCAGTTGTCTAGGGAATCGTGCGCCTCTTTGGAAGGCGACCCTGGAACCATGGCGGAGTAATAGGGGAGCGAGTTGTTGGGAGTAGCGGGTGTTCATCATGCTGCCGGCAGCAAGAGACGAGCGCCGTGAGTGAGCCTCACAGCTAAGATGCTACGGCGTGAAATAGTCGAAGTGGCGGCGGGTGGTGATGGTGATGGTGAGAGGTCGTCGGGTGTGATGCTTGAGACTTCGAGTTGGATGAGGATGAAGGACCTGAGCGACGGACACGTCGGCCCCCGATATCTCCGACGGGGGAACGCATCACAGCCAGCACACAGGCCTCCCGTCGTTCTCGTTCCCGTTGCCATCTCTGCGCCTTCGGGACATCTCACGACGCGGATTTATCATTATTGACGAGAGCACCATGAAGCTTTCAATCAACTTTTGCTAATAGACATTGACTTATCTACCTACTGGCTTACACGGCGTACTGATTAACTATTGATCACTTTTTGCCTATCTGGTCACGCGATTTGATTGATTGATTAGCCGGGCCCCGACATCCGCCGGCATTCCCCTCCTCCGAGGCTCGAGCTTGTCGTGCTCGAGCTCGCGGCGTACCAGAAACACCACGCTGATCAACCACCACCCACTTCCGCTGACCAAGTTTCCGCCTTCTTCCTTCCTGGTATAACAACCTCTCCAATCTACATCCTTCACCATGGCACTGTACGATAGGGGCTAGTCTACCCTTCCCGACGAAGACTTCCAGTCTTCGACACGCTACCGACCTCACTTCTCCCCGCCCTCTTCTCCGAACGACCGATCGCAAGCGTACGGGTCGCACCAACGTGCCTGGTTTCCACAGAGACATTTTATTATATCCTACAAAATGCCGACCCCGAGACTACGTAGAGCAGCTCGTCTCATCCTGATCGGTGCGCCTGGCGTGGGAAAAGGCACACAGACCGAGCGTCTCTTGAAGAGATTCGATCAGCTTTCAGCTATCTCATCCGGCGATCTTCTGCGAGAGAATGTCCGCCAGAGAACGCCGCTTGGTGGGTACAGTCTTGCGGCAAAGCTTGTTCTCTTATCGGAATCGAATTGCTGATGTCGCGTGACCACTTGTCTAGGCATCCAAGCCGAGTCGCTCATGAAATCCGGCGCTCTAGTCCCCGATAGCATGATTCTGCGCTTGATCCGCAACGCCCTCACGACCCGTGGCTGGCTCATACCCGTCGATGGCATCCAGCCCATAACTCTCAACTCCGTAGCAGCCTCCGTCGAGTTGAATCCCAGCACGGACAACGAAGCCCTACGCGGGAACTACGGGAGTATCAACATCCCTCCTGACCTCGACGCTGAATACCGCTATTCCGAGCACCCAGACGCCTCCTTCATCCTCGACGGCTTTCCCCGAAACGCGACGCAAGCCGAGCAATTGGAGAGAATGGTGCCCGTCAACATGGCGATTCACGTGCACACTCCTGCGGAAATCATCATCGAAAGAATAGGCAACCGATGGGTGCATCCCGCCAGCGGAAGGGTATACAACACCACATACAACGCGCCAAGATGTCCGGGGAAGGACGATGTGACAGGGGAGCCCTTGATCCAACGCGACGACGATCAGCCCGAAGTCTGGAGATCACGGTTAAAAACCTTCGAGGAGAGCAGCGCGAGTCTCCTGGAGCACTATGCGAAGAGGAACGTTCTGTGGAAAGTCGAGGGCAACAGCAGCGACGAGATCACGCCCAAGTTACTTGCGGAATTCGAGAAGCGATTCGCTATGTGATGATACTCATGAGCATGAAGAATATCCCGTACTCAACAGCATGGAGTTTCGCTCGGCACAAGCAATGCCAGTCAATACCAGCCGCGATCTATGAAAGGCCTTACTTATAATTCATGTCTTACCAGCTGCATCGAATCCCGAAGCGCTGGCGTGTGTATCTTATTCTTCAGAGATGTACAAACTTTTTGGACTTCAATCAAACTCGACCTTAGGAACTGGTGTGATATGATCCTCGCCAAACCTTACTCTAGAATTTGGAGGGATGGGTTCTAGAACCATTTTGCACTAGTGGGGCAAAGGATGAGCGAGATTGCGACCTCACTTGACCTGTTCATCTTCATCATGTCTTGTCCTCTTCGCTATAATCTCTAGTACAGGATATCGTCGTTGCAGATCCATCGCTCGAAAAAGTGAGCGCTTGCTGGCCCTGCTCTAAGCTCAACACCGTACTCTGGCGACGCCTTCAGGTTGCCTCTGCCTACTCAACGCCGTGAGAATGCAAAAGCCAAAGTGGCAAGACATGTTCTCATAACCTCCCACCTCTCGCATGAAATCTCTCGCCCGTGCTGGGGATCGGCTTTTCCGCCCGGATCAACCAGAGGAACAGATCCTCAAACGGCAAGAGGACGTAAAAGACCTTGTTACAAGCAAATGCGATACAGCAGTAACAGAAAGCCACTAGCGCATCTAAGAAGTAGTGATTCGCCGTCGCGATGATTGTAATCAGAATCATGGTCGGGTATATCGCTCCGAGTGCGACGTAGAAGCATTTCCAAAAGGTATTCTTTCGCGTTTCGTATTTTTCGAAGCGCGTGCGGGAGAGGCCGGAATGGTAGAGGAGGGTGCAGCCGATGGCAAAAGAGTACCCGAAATGCATCGAGGGCATCGCGGCGAGGGAATTCACATGCTTGCCGCTCTGCCAAAGCGAAGCGGCATCTTCCATGTGTACGGTGTCGAGGAAGCCGTACTGCTTGGGGAGAAGTCGCGGAGGCATGACAGGGAAGAAGATGAAAGTCATGAAAGCCATGAAATTGGTTAGAGTCATGGTTCTGCGGACCGCGGCGAAAGTCGAATGCGATGGCGCGGCGTAGTAGTACCAGACAATGAAGCCCATGGAAGCTGGAATGTGTACAATCGAATAGAAGCGGTCCAGGAAAGTCAGGAGATCCTGATGGCCGTTCATGAACCATTGCTGGAGTCCCCTTTCGCGGATGGGAAAGAGAAAGCTCAGCCAGCTGAACTCTTCGAATTCGAGGATGGTGAGCCCGTGGTCTTGGGATACGATCCATATGCCTTGGCCTGCGAAGATTTTATTGGAAAGGACTGTTGTCATCCGATAGAAGAGATAGTTGAGGACCCAGTAAAACATCTCGACCAGAAACGGAAACTTCTGGAACACCCGGCTGTGGATGTGGTTCTTGAAGCGGGACGAATTGGGTGTCTCTACGGTGCAGAGTCCACAACAGTCTCTGGTCTTGGGTAGCCGCTTATCTCGAGCCTGGATCTGCTGTCGATCATCGTCGTTATCGCTGTCGTAGTCCAACAGTTCCTGCTCTGAGGGCGCTTCTTTGTCGAGTATGGATCTGAGGAGTCCCCGGTTGCTGTCGAATATGCTGTAGTTCCGCCTTCTGGTCAAGATCATGCCTCCAAACAGGATGGTGACAAACATCACGGCCTCTCCCCAGCTGGGCAGTATCCATTCAGGCTTCGCTTGCCATGCTGGATATGCTTCCAGAACATCAGGATCCACCGCGAGCCGGTCGTTCAGATTGGGATCCATATTGCGCAACGCTGCTCCTGCTCTTTCTCTTTCCTCAGCCGACGTCCCAAGCGAGAGGCCTTGTTGTAGGATCTGCTTTGCTTCCCTAGGGTCCCGGATTGTCTTTGGGCAACGGACAGGGAAGTGGATCTGTGATGATGAAGAAGCTGGAGCTCTCCAAGCGTGCCAAGGTGTTGTTGTTCTCTGGGTGGAGCTCGGTCTGTTTCGGTCTGGATATGCGTGGAGCAATGGATTCCTGAGACATGTGGTCGATAGGAACGCCTGGCTCGGAATCCAAGAATCGCTGAAACGCTCGTGGATGCAGAGGGGAAGAGATGTCGATGCAATCCGAAAACAAGGCAGAAGAGAACGACAACGCCGTGATGAGAGCGAGAAAGACAACGGGGCGGAGGGAGCAGGCAGCAAGTGCGGCTCCTGAGACGAGAATGTCGGTCTTGGCCTCTACGCAATGCATTGAATGATTCGCAAATAGCCTTCTTTAGCCACACTCTAGCGCCGATGCATCCGCGGTGCTGTTGTCGCGTGCGCACTTGCCGATCCGGGCACTGCGGGGGCCTGTGTCGCGCGTGACAAGCGCGATGAAGGAGTGGGAGCAGGCGATTCGCGAGAGGTGGGAAGGGTCAAACGCTGGAGTGAAGACATCTCAAACGGTGCCAAACCGCGAGTTGGCAGGCCGTTCAAACGTTGCCCCTCCTTGCACCCGCTCAGCATGTCTCATCACACCTCCGGCCGGGATCTGGTAGCCGGGGTATATTGGCCGGAGCCAAGACCACCAACTCCGTCGCTTCCCATTGGACCAACCACTTCTTACGGTCAAGCAACAACGCTAATCATCCTTTCCATCCACGCTGCCATGCACCTGAAAGTCGCCTTTGATGCTCACGAGGCCTTCGTGGCTGCTTCTTAAAGGACCTGCATCCAAAGTTGGACACGGCAGACGCATAGACGCGCGGCACATGGCATGGTGGCACAGCACACAGTATGAGTGTGGGGCAGCATTCCTATCTGTGCTATCACTGCTATCAAAGTACTGGAGACTCCACTTCGCTGTGTTGTGCACTCACTCTCGCAGCGAGAGTCCAGCTGGTTGTACGATATCCTTGGGCTCTTCGTTACAAGGTAGGCCTTATAAGCCGTGGTGCTGCTTTCATCTTCTCCAGAAACGCAGGGTCGTATTGATAGACGCCCCTTTTGACGACTGGCTAGTCTGGAAGGCATTGCGAGTCACTTTCTCACATGTCATCTTTCGGAAGCCTCCTACGAACCTCTGGAAAAGACCCGCGCACCACATTGCTCCTCCGCCTTCTTGGTGAACTCATCTGGCTTGATCACTCTGTCCATCAGACGAGCGGCAACGGCAATTTGCGCACGCGTTGACTGAGACGGATCTCACAGAATCGCTTCATTACAGGCAGCCGTATCGGCCATCCTAAGAGCACAGCATAGCCCCAAGCGTTGTCATCTGGCAGAAATGGGGCAGCCGCTAAGCTGAGAACTTCCGAATCTTACCCAGGGACTCCGCACAGACGATTCAGAAGCTGGCGTAGTCGAAGTAAAGCTCAAAGTCACTGCGCTTCCAGGCGGCTTTGACGGCTTCGAGACATTCGAGACGCGTGTACTGGCGGCGAAGGCCGGATGATGACTGTGTACCTTTCTTGGTTTTCTCGCGAGCTTGTGCCATGTCTTACAGGATCTTCGCATCAGTTTGGGTCGTCTCATGGATTTGTTCGCCCACGAATAGTGGCTTCGTCGATCCGATGGCTTTGTATTGTTGCTCAGCGGCCAGCTTCATCCACTCAACACCGGTAGAGATACCTCGCAACTTCTTCATCGCCTCTTCCAGAAAAGTCTTGCTTTGCTGCGCAGACTCGCCGAAGCAATACGATTCTATGTGCCTCCCCAAGTTCCGTGGATCGGCTTGCTCTGCAAATTCGGCAACGAAAGGACCGCCTTGCGCTCTGCTTTGGGTCCGTGTTAGGATTCCCATCTTTCTCCAGGCTGCCTCCAGATGCCCGAAGCGCTGAGCTACTCGATAGAGATGTGCCACGACCTGAGAGACCGTGCCATGATTTGTCCAGTAGAAGCCTGCTTATTGCGTTTGGATCTTAAGGAACCGCAACCTATCGCCAGAAAGGAGTGAGATGGTCCTAAACAGCCGTACTTCGGCTGCCATGTCGCCATCTTCGTCTAGATCTGCCTCAGCACGCGAAAGGAAACTCTTGAACACTTTGTCCTGCCCGGCACATTTCGTCGTGAAAGGTGCCAACCACGACACGTGCGCTTCTGATTTTGGGTTGTTCTGGTGCTTGATTTGCAGAATTGCATGATACTCGGAGTTGACTTGCTCTACATGCCGCTGGGACGTCGCACCGAGAATTTCGTATACAGCGCAGCAGATCATGCTGCTCGTCCTCGCCCGCGATGAACGCCTGGATCTGAAGTCCAAGGAAGTCAACAACCCATGCATAAGTCATTCTTGAACTCTGGAAATCGTCGTACGAGGTCGTTGTCGGCGCGCTGCATGAGCCGCAGCGTCTCTTCCATCATGGAAGTACTGGCGACGAAGGAACCGATCTTGCCTGCACGGCACTCCAACCCGGTATCCTTGGTCTACTCACGCATTTCGTGCAAGTCTTCAAGGCAAAACCGTATGAAGAAGCGCTTTTCTTCCATCCGGGTCAGTTCCGATTTGCTTTTGCTGGAGTCTGACATATATGCAGCGAAGCGGACACGGACGCAAAGTGCTCGTTCACATAAGCAGCTAGCATGTGAACGCCAAGCTTTTGTGCGGGCCGCTAGCGGCCCTTCCCTTCAAGTCCGCTCTTTCCTTGGCACGCATTCTCATCAACATCAAAACAACTTTCAGAGCGGCTTGCTCACAACGCCAAGTCCATCACCCCGACATCATGTCGCCTCGCCGCTCTCCAGTGCCTCACCATGACAAACAGATCAGTGTTTCACGATCAGACAGAGAAGAAGGATTTCAAGCGCGCGAATAGGCTTCCGAAGAGTAGGTTATGAGCAAAGAGATCCACGCCTCGTGTTGGCCACCGGCCTACCGGGGATTCTCGATAGTCATGACTACGACAAGTGGATTCAGAAGATGCCGCAGAGACTACAAGAGCTGGGACTATGGTCATTCGTTGAATCTCGGATGAAAGGCAAACCGACGGCTGGAAGCAAGGAGGCCGACTCCCAGGCAGTGAAGTTCCTGCTCGCGCATGGCGAGCTCACAGTACTTGCTCGCTACGCCCTGCGACCGTGACTCCACTTCTTCGACAGCTTGCGCGAGGCCTGGAGCCGCTTCGGCTGATGGACTTGCCGAGGGAGCTGAGAGACTGGATCCTCGAGCACATGTGGTCGACTCAGTCAGTATTTGACTGGTCCCGGCATCCTCTGCCCAGCGATAGCAATTAAAGGAAAGCTAGGATACACGTACTGAAGACTTCTGCCTTGGATGTAACCAAGGCGTCGGAGAGCGCGAGTCCCTGCATCCACGCGGCGTCCATCGCAACTGGCTATGCAAATATCTCATCTGCTGCATGGTTGATCTCTCAGCTCTGCCGCTTCTTCCTTACGCGGAGAAATCCCCAATTAACACCCTGCTTTCGTGTCTACCAGACGACCTTAGCTTGTTTTCGTTCCTTTGGTCTCAATGCCACAGATGCTCTCTTGTTTCCATTGCTACTATCTATACGTTTCTCCGCACGTATTTTCTCGGTGCGTAAGTGAAAGCACTACCAAATAGCTGCAGTTTGCATATGAATGCCAAGCGGAGAATCGTGCAAGCGGGACGCTCCTTAGTGTTATGGTGAACGATTCAAATCTGAAACTCCGTATCACGACAGCGTTCTGCCCACCTCAAACACCACCAACACTTGAAAGCTATGCAGCACGACACCAACGGAACATGACAAGACCAACTCTCCCGAGGCCACTAAAGGCGAGCCCCAACATTTTGGATTCATCGACCTGCCGCGAGAAGTGCGCGATTGGATCTGAGAGCTCTGCGTGGTAGATCCTCCTCAGGAGAAAAGTCGCTACAGCTCTGCCTACGACATCAGCTCTCGTACCCAAAGATCAGCATCGAGAGGCTGTGCCCGCCATCATTATCTTCCATAGCAGGAGTTCATCCTCTAATGCACGTCTCCCGAAAACCTCGACGGGAAATTGAGCCTTTCTTTTGGAGCGGCGACGAGGTGAAGATCACGATCAGCGGTGAAGGCCGCGATGCTCTCGAAATGATGGATACCTAGCCGACATTCTTTGGGGTGGCTCGTTTGCGACACCTGCGAGATCTCCAAGTCACCCTCAATGCATTCGGATGCCATTCCCTATGTTCGGATCACGTACCCGCAATGACACGGACTTCATCTACACCTAGGCCGGCATCTGCGAGGCTGGATCGAGGGTATGAGTGGGTTGTACACGATCAAGAGGGCGTTCCCCCACCACACGATGGGATATCTGGCTCTTTCTCCGATGGTGTTGAAGCAGCCACCATGGCACAGAACGCAGGGCGTCCGGGAGATATTTTCTGCCGCTTGCAGCTGGTGCGACCTCGTACGATTGACATCATCTTTCTCTATTCTCTGGCCCGACGGCGACAAAGAGTTGTTGGAGTTCGGTCTACGCGAAGATACAGGCGGCAGAAGGGGTAGTTCTTCTCAGCTCGGGCTTTGCATGCTCCTTGATTGGCAGCATTTCAGGGTTAGCTTTGCCAACCGTTGTCTGGAGCGTCGCGTCCCGCTAGCAATCGCGTTCTTGCTGGAGGCAGAGAGAAGACTGTAGACATGAAGCAGATGCCTCATCTCGCCGTGCAGTGAGTGCTGGGTCGGAGATCGTATGTCGCGGGATGGAGGATGGTCATCATTATTCGCGAAGGAGGAAATTTCCTTCCCCTCCCAGGCTCCCAAGCTAATGCCGTGCTTGCAGTTGTTTTGAGTTCGCTCAACGTCAATGCGCGCTCTTGCTCCGCCCTGCCCAATGCATCGCGGTGAATATCGTGCCATAGTAGTGGGTGTGTTTCTCGTACTTTCTGAGACGTCGCAGGGCCGGAGGTGGATTTGGCGGCCTCGCCAGCAGAAGTGCTTTATTTTTATAAGAGAGGAGAGGGCGACAAGACGATCGGCACCTGGAAAGGACCAGCATTGCCTGCAGAGGTATCCCAGCACCTCCCTCCAATCAGCGCTCGCGGCCACCAGCTCCTTCCTCACTTCCCCACCTGCTGCTTATCAGCGCGCCGTCACTCTCATTCTCTGCGCGTCGATTCCCTCGCCGTCGTTTGCTGCGAAGGAACCCGGAATGTCCTCAACCGTTGTCACCGGCGGCAGCGTACACCGTGCTGCACACACACAGCGTGCACGGCATGCTCGAGCGAAGCAGCCCTCCCCTCGTGCCCGCGAGCGCGGCGACGGATAAAGTTGGTCGCTTGCAGCCGCAGAGGACCGGCAGATTTCCGTTGGCGTGGTTGGCTGTTCAGCATGCGACACGAAAACGGTCTAGCTCAGGCATGGTCCGTGCCCGGCTGGAGACTGCGAGACTGGCGTCGCTGGGCGTTACCATTTCCCATTTCCTCCTCCTCTCCCTCGACACTGACACCAGACACACCTCTAACTCGCAGGCTTTCCTTTCCCACCATCGACAATACCATACCTTTCGACACACGACATCGGCTTCCACGATTGCCACGAGCCCCGTCTTTGCCTTCCCTCGTCCGCTTTCGGTCTCTCGACCGCCGACCTTCTCCCCCGAAAACTTCGCGCCCTCCTTCATGACCCATCGGCACCCATCTCTGTACGGTGTAGAGGCATACAGCAGGCGCTCAGAGCCCATATCGGCACCTCCACCACCGAGAATCGCTGCCGGCGACCGCTGTTCCCCTTCTTTACGCCATCCTTTGTCCTTCCAAGGGGAGTGAGAAAAACGCGCACAAGTCGACCGCTAGACGGCGCAGCGAGCGCTCTGTCGTGCACAAGCGTTCGGCACGCTCAGACCGTGGCCTTCCAGCCATGCGCCGCCGACCTGGCGAAGACCCCGTTACCTAACCTCCAAACGCTCTCCCACAGAAAGGATAGCATGACAGACACCTCCTTCCCTGTCAAGGCTATCAACGGTCCCGATCTCTCTCGGACTTCGTTCGCGGCTGCGTATCCGTCACGACAATTACATTATCATGCTCCCGCTGAGATCGGGATTCCCGAAGACGACGGCCAGATTAGCTGTATCTGTGGCTTTGCCGACGACGACGGCTGGACGGTCGCGTGCGATTTATGCAATAAATGGCAGCATCAATCATGCTATTACCCGCAGTACGACGAGCTCACGCTACCGGAAGAGGTGCAGCATTACTGTGTCGAGTGCCGGCCACGACCAGTCGACTCTCACCGGGCGCGTCAGCGTCAGGTGCAAAAACGAGAACATACCGAACAACTTGCAAACGGCGTGAAGCGCGTGTCGACGAAAAGCCACAAGAAGAAGGTAAAGGATCCTCCGCCTCAGACGAATGGGTGGCCTGTCGACAAATTACGGCACGATCGCAACAGCGCGAGTCCACGGGATCAACCACCACCGGCCAAGCGACCAAAGACCAATCGTCGTGCGTCTGATTCGACGACGACGACGACAAACACGACTACAAAGGGCCATTCGCGGAAGCGTAACGCTTCCAATGTCAACCACCGCCGCAGTCTCTCACGTTCGCCGGATTCGCCCATCGAGCAGTACTCGGAAGAGTTCCTTCAGTGTTACCAGGACGACGACTGGAAAGTTACTGACGCCAATCTCTACAACAGTATAGCGGTCACAAACTCCCTTTCAGCGTGGCTCAACTGCCACGAAGACGAATTTCGTACTGCGCACAAACAAGAGAAGGGAGATGTGCTGATGCGTTGGGACGGAAATCTTGACGATATACCTGGCAAAGCACAAATTCAGATCGTCCAAAACCACGATGAGAGTGTGCAGTATCAGGGACTGTTTCCCGCCTGGAAAACCGTGACAGTGCAGGAGCCTGTACCGAGCGGCGCTTACATTGGCGAACTGAAGGGACACGTTGGATTCAAGAAGGAGTACCAGGACGAAAACCGCTGGTCCACCTTGAGACACCCGGAGCCATTCGTCTTCTTCCATCCCAAACTGCCCATCTTCATCGACGCCCGGAATGAGGGTACAGAATTGCGATATATACGTCGGAGCTGCATGCCCAACGCAAGGCTGCAGGCCCTCATTACCGAGAATGTCAACTACCACTTTTGCTTCATGGCAACGCAGCAGATCGAACCTGGCACCGAGGTCGCGGTCGGGTGGGATACTGCGGACGGCTTGCCCGAGCTGGCGTCAAGAAGCGGTTACTCTGACAATGAGCTGGAAATCCTCTCTGCATGGGTATCCACTGCGCTTGCTAACTGCGGCCCATGTGCATGCTCACTACCGGAGAAAGAATGCATGATGTCTCGGTTTGATCGACGGATAAAAGGCCTATCTGAGGAGTCGAGGCCGCCAAAGCCAAAGAAGCGAAAGGCCGGTCAGCACATTTCGCCTCTGAACACTCACGTCAACAGTCGATCAGGCAGTGAAGCGCGTAAGGTCGACGTTGAAGATGATGGCACCGATTCCCGCTCAACATCCGGCTCTGCTGGTAGAGGATCGGCAAGCCGGGACATTACTCCCAATACACATTACTCCACCAACGGACATTACTCCGGGAAGCCCGAACTCTCCGAGCGGGAACGCAAGAAGCTGGCCAAAGAGGAGGAGATTTTCAGACGGCAAGAGGAAGAGCAAGCCGGCAAACAGGCTAAGAAGAAGCGCAACAGCGGTGGATCGAACTTGAACACACCGAGTGCTACTACCTCGAAGCAGCTGGGCTTTCCGCCTAACAATGTATCGCGCTATGTTGACGCAGTCACGTCCCGGCAAGCTGGGCTTCCTGCTAAAGGCGGTCCAGGACGCAAGCCCAAAGCTCAGAAGGCACCCGCAAGGCCAGTCACCAGAGTTGTGAAACGTGCAAAGCCAGCCTATGTCAATGCCGAAGCACAATGTGACATGGATAAAGAAGACGCTGACCGACGTGCGGCGACGCCGTCAACTCGAAGACCCTTCATATCGACGAGACAGCGATTACTCAACCTCTGCGCACAGCGAAACGCCCAGCTCTTATCAACTCGACGCGCGCGCGAGGCCACTGCATCCCCTGTTTCAATCACGCAACCAGTGAAGATGGAAGTAGATCATCGTGCAGCTGTAGTGCTGGGAGATCCGCCATCGCCTGCTCCAGCACCGGCTATGCCAGCTGAGAACGCGCAGTCCCATCCATCGGAACACGAGGCCTTTAATGACGTTGAGATGGAAGATGCGCCTGCGTCAGAGGAGACCAAGACAGCGCCATCGACCTCGCAAGTTGATACGCCACCCAAAGAGGTCTCAGATCAGGCTAAAACTTCTCTTCCTGTGGAGCCTCCGGCACCTCCATGGCCGCAAGAGCCATCTTCCGCAGTTTCTGCAGAAGTGGAATTATCTGCAACAAGTCATAAGCCGGCCAACATGCACCTGCAAATGCCACCACCTCCGACAAACCCATTCACTCAGCCAGCTGCACCACTATCAAGTGGCACCACAGGATCAGCAAGCAACTCGATCGTACAATCTCCTGCGACACTCGGGCCCAACTCAATTTTCTCACCGTCAGTCAGCGCCGCTGTCGCGCCTAGTCCGGTTCGGAAAAAGCTCAGTCTCAGCGATTATACTCGACGGAAAGCTAAAGACAAAGATAATGAGGCCAAAGCGGAGAGAGAAAGCTCGCCAGCATCGACAACCTCAGGACCGGTCGTACCGCCACTTCAACCGTCCTCATCGTCGGAAGTGAGAGCGGCGCAGGATGGCTCTGCCATTGACGAGGATGTAAGGATGGAAGACGCCGGCGGCGAAGAAAACAAGCCATGACTTGATTTGCCACCCCTTTATGAGAATCCCGTGTGTTTTTTTGCTGCAAACTGTTCGTTCAAGCGAAGGCGCGCGGGTGTCAGTCTAACCTATACGATTCAAGTGGAAATTGCGGGATGGTTCAAGCGGGCGGGAACAAATATCTTTGGGATCGGCTGACTGAAACTTGGATCATGACGAAAGCACAGTAGAGCGAGATTGCTCTCGAGGCGATTATGTAGTTGTAGCACGCGAGGCAAAGAGTCCTCTAAGTATATTATAGCATGAAGCGAATCAACATGAAAGTCATCAGTAGCCCTTGAGGCACCTTGAGGCATCGGAGTATCGGAACCGAACTAGGTCGTGGAGGAGCGAAGATCGCAAGAAAATATCACGTGACCAAATGATATCTTGGCGCTCGATAGTTGCTGGGGCAACGACTGTTTGACAAGTGCGACACAACGCCAGCAAGCAAGCTCAAACAAGGCAACTTCACGACTTCAACGATACCCATCGCCACCAACAAAAGATACTGCCAATCTGATTATTCGTCCACCGCTCATATTCTTGAAACGAAAGCATGAACGCATAGTTGGCGAGAATATACCAGGCAGAACACCCGAGCATTGCTCGCGACTGCATTCCACACTCGTTGCACTTCACGACATCGGAATGGCCGCCCCGAATACGCCGCATGGCTATGGTCCGCCTCCAGAATATGACGAAGACACGACTCCGAACAATCATTCGCAGCATGGCGCGACGATGCGGCTGTTAACCAATGCAGACGACGAAGCTCCTCCTCAGTCAGTACCAAACCGGCCCTCCCCTCACGACCTGTTCATCCGCGCACAAGAACGGCTGCGAGGAGGAGCACAGTACCCTCAGGTCTCACCTACTGGCCCATCCCAGCACCCTCCACCTCGTCCCGCACCCTCACCCCTTGAGACCCAGACTCAGAGCCAAGAAGAACTCAATTCCCTGTTGCGTGATGTCGAGAGCGACCTGACCCAAAGCGCCAGATCTTCGGCCCCCAGAACGAAGAGATACAGAGTACATTTTCGCGACAAGAGCAGTGACAACATCAAAGATACCGTGAACGCTCCCACCGGCGACATTGGCTCATTACCATCTTACAACAGGCCACCCAGCCCAGTACAGCGATATTACCAGCAGTCTCCAACGAGGCCGCTTAGTAGACAGCCATCGATTCTGGACAACGCTCCAGGTATGCCGCCGCCAGTCGCTGCTGACTACGATCCGTTTCGGCCCTCTTCACGATCGTCGCAGAGTCCATCAAAGTCCTTTGGCACGCCGAGAGGTTCGAGGGAGTACGCTCGCCCACCAGCTACAAATGTGCCATACGAGCCGGCAGACATCAATGGAGGCCCGCGCCCTGGAACTCCATCCTCTCAGTACGCTGGATCGCCAAAGAGACCCCTCCCACCCGCTCCGCTGTTTGCTGCAGGACGACCCGCATCCATTAACACTGATGAGAAGGAGCCTAAGATGACAAGCATACCCATCAACGGACCTGATGATGTGTTTGGGCCTGCGACCGGAGAAAGCGAGGACCAGCGTCCAGGACTCGAGTCTCGTGATAGTTTCGTGTCTGAGTCGACACTCACCGACAGCGACGGCATGTATTCACACAAAATGGATGATGAGGACGACGATCTCTACGGACCGGCTCCAACCGGTAAACAGGAACGACGGGGTGCACGACAAGCTCAGATGGCGAAGAAAGAAGTCAAGCTCATCAACGGTGAGCTGATTCTGGAGTGCAAGATACCAACCATCTTGTACTCTTTCCTGCCGCGACGCGACGATGTTGAGTTCACACACATGCGATATACTGCCGTGACTTGCGATCCTGACGACTTCGTTGATCGAGGATACAAGCTGCGACAAAACATTGGATTCACCTCACGCGAGACGGAACTCTTGATTTGCATCACCATGTACAACGAAGACGAGATCGACTTTACTCGCACCATGCACGGCGTGATGCGGAACATTGCACATTTCTGTAGCCGCACAAAGTCTCGAACATGGGGCAAAGATGGGTGGCAGAAGATTGTGGTCTGTATCATTTCTGATGGACGAGCTAAGGTCAACCCGAGAACGCTGGACGCTCTGGCTGCAATGGGATGCTATCAATCGGGCATCGCGAAGAACTTGGTCAACCAGCGCGAGGTGACGGCACACGTGTACGAATACACCACACAAGTGTCTCTGGATTCTGACCTGAAGTTCAAGGGTGCAGAGAAAGGCATCGTGCCTTGTCAAATGATCTTTTGCCTGAAGGAGAAGAACGCGAAGAAGCTGAACAGCCATCGTTGGTTCTTCAACGCCATTGGAAAAGCGCTCAATCCTAACGTATGCATTCTTCTGGACGTTGGAACGAAGCCTGGTGACGATTCGCTATACCACCTCTGGAAGGCATTCGACAAGGACTCAAACGTGGCCGGGGCGGCTGGCGAGATCAAAGCCGCCAAGGGCAAAGCATGGCTGCAGCTGCTGAACCCTCTCGTTGCCAGTCAAAACTTTGAGTACAAGATGTCCAATATCTTGGACAAGCCGCTGGAGTCCGTGTTCGGATACATTACAGTGTTGCCCGGTGCATTGAGTGCATACCGATATCATGCGTTACAAAACGACGAAACTGGCCACGGACCATTAAGCCAATATTTCAAGGGAGAAACTCTACACGGTCAGGATGCAGATGTGTTCACAGCGAACATGTATCTCGCAGAGGATCGCATTCTCTGTTGGGAGTTGGTGGCAAAGCGCAGCGAGCGATGGGTGCTGAAATATGTACGGAACGCCACTGGAGAGACCGACGTACCTGACGCTGTCCCTGAATTCATCTCTCAGCGTCGAAGATGGCTGAACGGAGCGTTCTTCGCGGCCGTGTACTCTCTGCTGCATTTCAAGCAGATCTGGAAGACCGACCACACCATTGCGCGCAAGATCTTGCTGCACATCGAATTCGTCTACCAGTTCGTCCAGCTGCTCTTCACCTTCTTCTCACTCGGAAACTTCTACTTGACCTTCTACTTCATCGCTGGGTCGCTCGCAGACAAGAAAGTGGACCCGTTTGGACACGGGATTGGCAACTTCATCTTCATCGTTCTGCGATACTCCTGTGTCTTGCTCATCATGGTTCAATTCATCTTATCCATGGGTAACCGGCCTCAAGGAGCGAAAAAGATGTTTTTGGCATCCCTCATCGTATTCAGCGTCATCATGGTCTACAACACCTTCGCGGCAATCTACATTGTCGCTCGACAGCTCTCGCAAGGGAGTTCGATATCATTCGGCAACAACGTCTTCACGAATCTGATCGTCTCAACGCTGTCGACTGTGGGCTTGTACTTCCTGATGTCGTTCATGTACCTCGATCCATGGCACATGTTCACCTCATCGGCGCAATACTTCGCGCTCTTGCCATCCTACATCTGTACTCTGCAAGTGTACGCCTTCTGCAACGCGCATGACGTTACCTGGGGTACGAAAGGAGACAACGTCATCAACAAAGACCTTGGAGCGGCGAAGACGAATAAGGATGGCACGGTCGAGCTCGAAATGCCGAGCGAACAGCTCGACATCGACTCCGGGTACGATGAAGCCCTACGTAACCTCCGAGATCGTGTCGAAGTGCCCAAGCCGGGTATTCCGGAATCACAAATGCAGGAAGATTACTATCGCGCCGTGCGGACGTACGTCGTGATTGTCTGGATGGTCTGCAATGCCATTCTCGCCATGGGAGTCAGCGAGATCTACAGCAATACGCACGTGGCGGACAACTACTACCTCAAGTTCATCTTGTGGTCAGTAGCGTGTCTCGCGTTGTTCCGAGCCATCGGAAGCAGTGCGTTCTTGGTGATCAATGGGATCCATTCGATCGCGGATGGGAAGCTGAAATGGAGTCAGCAGGCCAGCAGTAGTATAGCCGGGAGCAAGAGGAGTATGGGGAGCAAGATGAGCCTGCCTAGTTGGATGAGCAGCAGTGGCAGTTGGGTCAGCAGTAAAGTGAGCAGTTGGACGCCGAGTAGTATTGGGAGTACATGGTCTGGGCGATGATGAGTGTCGTCCACTTGGGGAAGAAGAAGGTCGTGTTAGTTGCGTGCTCCAGGTCTCGAGAAACACATGATTGTTATGGAATGTAGCACTAGTGTAGCGCCATGCTTGAATGATAGAATGTATGATATGAGCATTTCTTTCATATAAGTAAGAGAGAGAGGGAGAAAGAGAGAGAGGAATAGGTTGGCGGTGGTTGACAGAAGTCTTGGAGCATTGGGAGATCTGCGCCAAAAGTCGCTTGCAAGGTTCAGACGACATCTCTTGATCGTGTACATTAATGAATATTTAGGTGCCGTCCCAGTCGCAGTCGCAGACATGGAAGCCATCAGCATCGGACAGCATGTCTTCTCCGACCAGCAAAGTCTTCCAGACCTACGAACTGCTGGAGCGCATCCTCCTCTTCCTCCCCTTCCATGACCGATTCGTAGTCCAGCGAACATGCCGGACATGGCGCTCACTCATCCATCGCTCCAAGATCATCCGGCAGGAGATGTATCTCGCGCCCGCCGGCTCACCCTTGAAACCCATCGAGGACGCGTACAACGTCTACGCGGGAAGAACGCGGTCCCTCTACCGCCCGACCCCAGTACGATTGAATCTGGCAGCAGAAGTTCTGGGTCTCATCAACGAACCGTCAGGCCGTGGACACCGGATCCCCCTCGCGACGTTCGGCGTCTCGGACCAGAATCTCTTCTTGCAATTCGATATCAAAGGCATGCCCGTCTACGAGACCAAGATCGCACATGAAGCAGCCTCCTGGAGACGGATGCTCCTCACTCAACCACCCATCACCGCCGTCAATTTCGAATTCATCCGACGAGATCCGCACGGTGGCGCCGTTACGGTGTACAATCCCAGCGGCGTGACGTTTGGGGATCTACATGAGATGTCCTTGAAGCTGGCTAGGGAATTTGAGCTGGTTACGGGTGAGGACTCGGAGCTCACTTTTGAGAATATGAGTTTTTGTCTTTTCCATCCATTCACCGAGGATGGGATGGAGGAGGCTTGGTGAAGGGAAGGGGCATGCGAGGATGTTGGGCTGGGTCCATATTCGGAATTGTGCCGATCCTGATGGCCCTGTCATCGCCCCTGAGTATTGCTCGATGCGCAAGTCTTGACGAAAGATTAGCTTGCGTCAAGCCAAGTCGTGGCGAGGAAGGAAAGGCATACGTGATCACCTCGGGTGGCACAGCGTCTTGGCGGCGCCTGCACGCTCTCCATCCTGAGCCAACGACTCATCCGTCGAGCAATCACTTAGGACTACAGCCTACGGCACCATCAGTCTGAGAGCTGTGCGGGCAAATATGACTATCAGGCTCTAGTCAGTCCAAGCACAGCTTTCGAGGCGTCTCAGGAATACTGTCTTATCTGCCCTCTGCCGAGATGCACACGGTGGCCAAGCAAGCAAGAGATTCGAGCGCCTGGTATTGGACTTGCATCAGAGACCAGTCATGGGAAAATGCAGATGTTCACATATTCTTCTGCGAATCCAAGCTGACCAACACAAAGCAGCGCTGCAGTTGGGCGGCATCATGACGGCTATGTGACGGCACTTATCAGGATATTGCTCTGATTGAAGGAGATGACTTCTACATATCTCTTCTTCGTCGATTGGGGACTGGTCCAATGAATCGTGGTCCGCGCCATCTTGGCTCGAACTGGGAGAAGTGGCAATATGCCAAGTCACAGACGCAGCGGCTCTTGAACAAGCTCCTTGGTCGTTCGGCTAGTCCAGAGACAGCGATCATCGCCAACATGGTGTGGGTGCTGCTGAATGCGACACAGACGCAGCTACGGGAAGATTAGCCCGTGACAGCAGCGGTGCTTAGCTCTCCGGTTAGCATTCGGCTGGAGATCAAAGACGAAGAGGTGAACGATGTCTTTAACTATTTGAAGCTGAGAAATCTATGGCCGAGACTGAGACACTTGAAGACCTGTATGCAACATCGCAGGATATGGGCAACGTCCGTGTTCCACTTACGCAGACGCATACGAGTGTGAACGCGAAAAATGGAACTTTCACCGCAGCGTGTGCTGCATATTGACTTTAATCATGAGAGACGGTATTGCGAATGCTGCTTTCATCGATCCTGATCTGGGCTACGTACGAGGGGAAATTCGGCTTGCCATCGACCCCCGATGCGACCGCGACCTATACTGGACTGCCGTCTCTGACCGCATCCGCGGGCTTGTCAGCTATCTCAAGCCTCACATTACCGAGCTCCTCTTGACTGGCACTTCGACAACGAATGCACGCTTCAAAGCGGCGCTTCGGGATGCACTTATTGATGTCGTTGAAGATAAGATCCTTGCCGCTGTCAACAATGATAGCAAGGAGGCGATAGATGTTTGAAAATGGAAAGCCTTATTCGATTTCGCCATTGCTCGAGGAGCCGCTGAGGTCGCGAAACGCAGACAGCAAAGCCCTTGCAGTGCGCTCAGACAGATGGGTGCAGACGACGCAGAGAAGGCGAGCAGCAGGTGACACTTCGGAAGCAACAGCCGGAGCTGTAGTCCTGCCGCCGCAAGAAGAGATGATCACATGGGACAGCTTCTCTTCGTTCCTTCCACCTACCTGGTCTTCGGCCCATACATTCTCCGGGGACCCCAACGAACCTAGGAAGCAACCTACAGAGAGCCGATGCCGGCGCGATCTCCGAACATGTGGCGTTTCGAGGATCGCGGCATTCTGTGGATGGGTGTGGAATACAAGGACTGCTGTTTCCTTTCGGAGGTACCTTTCGGGGTACCTTCACCGTCTATCAGGGGTGGCATCCTGCAGCTTACGATGCTCTCTCGATCTTCTCGCTGGCACCTTTGCCATGCTCTTCGGCGGATACACTGGTATTCCTCTCAAGCTCCATTTCCTTCACGTTGACGGCATGAGCTTGGTCGATATTCAAGGTCGTTGTTCTGTGCTCATCCAAGCTGTCACGCTTGAAAAGGTTGATGTAAATCTACAGAATGGGAGCACATTAGCTTTGGTCCTTGCCTTGCCGAAGAGGCCGCTTCTTTCAGACTCACCGGAAAGATCCATGCTAACACGTAGAATGCTGTGGGAATAGCCATCGCATGGTGAAACGCGCGTGGTGAGGAAGCGTTGCCGGTGGCAGCAGCACCGGTCATGGGAGGAATCACAGCTCCACCAGAAATCGCAGCAACCAGGAAAGATCCACCGCGCTTGGTATGCCTGCCCAAGCCTCGGAGAGCGAGGGTGAAAATGGTCGCAAAGCACGCGCTCTCGAAGCAAAGAACAATGATGAGCATCGCGACACTGCTGGCTCCTTGGGTCAGAGTTGCAGCCAATGCGAATATGAAGCAGAGGCCGAGATAACATCCCAAAATGTAACGAGGCTTGAAGATTGGGAATGTCATCAATCCGGCGGTGACAAACCTCATGAAGGCGTAGAGTCCTTGGCCCACGGCGAGAAGGTTGCTGGACATGGAAGCGCTGTATCCCGCTTCTTTACAGAAGTTGATGAAATAGTTTGCAACGGCGACTTGGGCGCCGATCTGCGCGTGCATCTTGTCAGTTGCTTGCCTTCGGCCTAGTCAGATGATTGACTCCTACTCACGTAGCAGAACTGGCTCCATATTCCCAAGAACAAGCTGTATTGCTTCCGAAGTGCACCTGGGTCTGAAGCACCAATCTCAGCCTACGCGCCAAGTCAGAACTCATGGTTCCGTCCCACGACAGTGTTGTATTTCTTCTCACCTCCTGGACGCCCATGTCGGCATCCGTGATCTCCGGAAAGGGTGCAATGTAGAACAGAAGGATCAGAAGAGCAACAAAGCATGCTACTCCTAGGTACACCCATTGCACATTCCTGAGTCCTTGCTTGTCATCGACAGTGTTCGCGAAGAAGACGCGAGAGGCGAGCAGAGGAGCGACGAAAGAGCCCACACCTTGGACACCTTGCGCGAGGTTGAGGCGGATCTCAGAGTATCGAGGAGGGCCGCAAATGGAGAGGAAGTTGTCTGCTCCGGTCTCGAGGGTCGAAAGGCCAGCACCTGAGCAGTCACAATCAGTGGCATGCTCCAAAGTGGAGAGCTCTCGCCACCATTTGACAAAAGATTACCACTCACCGACCACGAACATGCTCCCACAAAAGCCACCGAAGCTCGCCTTAATACCCGACGGCCAGAATAGCAGGCAGCCAACAGTCAACACTGCCAATCCGAACATGAAGGTTACTCGGAAACCATAGTGTCGCAAGATCCAGCCAGAGAATGTGAGCGGGCACAAGAAGTATGCTCCGAAGTAAGCAGCGCTCAGTCCGGAGGCCATGCTGGCAGAGATGTTGAGCTCCGTCTGGAAGTGCGAGTTTAGAACGTCGAGAAGGCCGTATGCGAAGCCCCAGAGGAAGAACAAGATCCTGGAACATCGCTCGTCAGCACCACAACGCCCCTGACGTGCCCGCGCTCACTCACGTAACCAGAGCATTAGGTATGAGCGACTGCTTCAGTGTAAGCGACGTGCCCTGTCCGATGGCAGCATCATCGGCTGTGATCTTCCTCTTCCAGATACCCATTTCTGCGGCAGTAAGAGACGTGCTTGTGAGACCGTGACCAAGGAATGCGAACGAGAGACCAAGCACCGGCCAGCAGCTCTATATCTACCCACCACCACGCTCCACACAATACCGGTCTGGGGAACCGAAGGCTGTGTGGAGTCCCCACAGAGCTAATGCGGAGAGAAAAGCGCCTCTCTACCTCGCTACTCCTCGAATCTGCAATCCAAAGGCGTTCTCATGTGCTGCTTGCCGCGTGTTCGGCCAACAATAAGCCGAGATGCATGAGCCGCACGCATTCTTTTGGAGCGAAGGCATGAAAGTGATTGTTCGCGCGGCTGGAAAGATGCATCTCTGTTGGCTGTGTGAAGCGTCGTCGACTACGAGATTGTCCTGGACTTGTTCTTCCACTGTCCTGAGCTGCAGGTGGCACATGGACGCTACGAGGTGCTCGGGGTAGCTTGGAGCGTGAGGCGAATTGCTTCAAAGGTCTTTCGCTGCCGTGTGGCGACGCTTGAACGGGCTCTGCGGCTGTTGCAAGCGGTATCGAACGGCAGACCTGTTTCTTCCTGATGCTCGTTGTCTCTCGACTCCTTTTCCAGCTCAAGTGGGCTGTCAGATGCAAAGCACGGCGTCCATTAGCAGCCAACCAACTTGCCTGGCAACCAGTAACCTCTGTATCAGGGCATCCCCCTTACTTTTCACATCATCTACGTCAGTAGCGCGAACAATACGAATGATCTTCTGGACTGGTCATACAAGCCATAGTACTTCAGCCTTTGGTGAACCATGAGCCGTGGACTTTTGTGTGAAAACTTCAAAAGGGTTCCGAATGGACCGCGAGACTCAAACGTATGTCCGTCTCTTCCTGTGGGTCACATAGGCATCAGACAACCGGAGCAGAGAGTCGATGTCATGGTGGAGTCGAGAAGCACTAGAAGGCAACCCTGAAGTTATACGATGCTATCCGGCCAAACAGACTTTGGGGTTCGCCGGGCCTATCGCACCTCCTCACTTTCACTCGATTGCTCTACGCAATGTAGGCTCTGCATTGATTTCTCTTCATTGATTGCAAACGAGACGCCAGACCATATCGAAGATTCGAAATGACACTATTCCCAGGCGTGGCTTTTGTGACTGGCGCAGCTTCTGGTACGGCATCTCTTACTCATTCCAGCCATCTTAAACGATCCGTTGACCGGGTTTGTAAGGTATCGGCCAAGCTGTCGCCGTGTCGTTTGCGCGAGAGGGATGTCGCCAGATTGCAATCGCAGACCGTAACGAAGAAGGACTCGTAGCGAGCAAAAAAGCAGCATTGCAAATCGCCGAGGACGCTCATGTTGTCTCTTATACCGTCGACGTCGCCGAGGAATCTCAGGTACAGAGGGTGATTGAAGCTGTGGTCAAAGACTTTGGTCGGATCGATTATGCTGTGAATGCCGCAGTGAGTCTGATTCATGGGTCTAGATGGAGGACCTGCGTACATTATTGATGGCGACATCAGGGCATCCTCAGCAACAATCAACGCTCCCACGACACAGCACTCTCGACGTTCGACAAGATCAACAGCGTCAACTATCGAGGCTGCTGGCTTACCTCTCGCGCGGAGATCGCGCAGATGCTCAAGCAAGATGCACTGCCGACTCACGATGGACGTCCTGGCAACAGGGGAAGCATCGTCAACTTTGCCAGTCAACTTGGGATTGTAGGCAGACCTGCTGCGGGTTCGCTTTCCCCATTCGCATCTGTTGGCGGAACTCTCAAACCAGGTAGGTAGAAGGCTGATGATGATGATTGTCCCGACAGCGCCGTACTGTGCCAGCAAAGCAGCAGTCATCAGCATGACCCAATGCGACGCAATCGATGTAAGACATCTGACCCTCCCCCCTTCTTCGTCCCATTCTCGCTGCTGAATCAGGGGCAGTACTCCAAAGATAGCATCCGGGTGAACTGGTTAGTGTCAGCTGTCAGCCAGGTAGCTTCCCAAGACTCTCCTTACTAGTCGGATTACTGAACACTGCTGGGGAACTCCTCATTGTAGTGTCTGCCCGGGCGTCATCGACACGCCCATGACCCGACCGACCATGGACGTCTTGGGCCCGGCAATCGCCATCGCACCCATGGCCCGTCCCGGGACGGCACAAGAAGTCGCGGACGCCGTCCTGTTCCTCTCCAGCTCCAAGGCGACGTTCGTGCAGGGCGCGGCAATGGTCGTCGATGGCGGTACGTCTCACTGCATGTCTCGGGCATCCCAACAACAACAAAAGACACACACACACACACACACACACACACACACATCCTTACTGACTCTCCTGTGATGAATTGAGGCTATACCATCAACTGACTGAGACGGCCAACTTTCTTGGCCAAGCCTCTCTGGACGGATCCAAAAACCATCCGATTGAGCAGGATATTAGGTCATCGGAATCCCAAAAATGTGCTTTCATGTGTTCACACTTGCTTGTCACATGTTTTCGCCTCTCCTCTCCCAAAACCGCACGCACCTTTCCTTTTCCTGATGCGATCTCAATCTCCTATCTCGGCCGAACACGACGACCAAAAAAAAAAAAAATCTCCCGCCGACCAGCAGCACACCACACCGGCTTAGCCAGCCAAGTCGCCAAGCCCCCCCCCCCCCCCGGCCAAATTCAGCCTCGCTTTTTTTCCATTTCCAATTTCTACTACGGAAGGGGGCCATGGGCCCAGATCCACCACCCAACATCGTCACGAGAACAGAGGACCAGACACGTCCGGGTCCCACTTGGCTCGAAAGAGTGTAGTAGAGCGTCCTGTACTGCCGGAAGGGTGGAGGAGGGAGGGCAAAGCAATAAAAGAATCCGCGTGGAGGGAGGGAGCATGTTGTGCGTTATCAGGCATTTACTAGGTGCTTGTTTGCCAAGTGGAGCGCGCGTCAATGTATAGTCATCGGCGCTCACATCAATCGCGCTATGCGTGGGACCTCCGTAAACATGATCCCTGCATCGCTCCCACACTGGTTCCACTCGTTAATGTCGGTTCTCGCGATTGGCCCCGGCGAGCCAAGATTGGTCTCCATGGTTCGCTGCCGCATCGAGATTGTCGTCGCATGGAAGATGCCAGATGCTCTCTGTGCGCACGGTGGTGCGCAAGTCCACACTGTCATCAGCGTTGCTGTGGCTCAGTGAAAGACATTACGACCATACCTTAGACGAGCAGATGGAAACCGCACCAAATATCAGTTCACTCTCTCGTTTAGACATCTACCAGAAGATTATGTACAGTGCTTCTCCAGAAGAAATACGGAGATTGGCACATTACTTCCTCTGTCGGTAGTAACACACTCCGTCTTGGTTATTCTGTTCCCAACTTATAATTCAACGCGTAAAAAGAAATGGTATCTCGACGAGCATCTAATCATCTTCCTCTTCTTCCGAAGTCTTTCCGACCAGTGTCCATCGTCCCTCGCCGTTCTCATCCTTCTCGTGCTTGAGAGCCAGCTTGCTAAGGTGACCTATGATGTTCTCCATTTGGGTGTCGTGAATGGATCGGTTCTTGCGGCCAAGATCTGCGAGGCCGGGAATCTTGTTGAGGAGGTAGTAACTGATGGCGATGAAGATGAGGACACCAATGGAGTAGGCCCAGATAACGACGACGGTGACAACGTCGGTGTGGCCGTTGACGGTCTCCTGGAAGGACGACATTGGGCTGGGGAGAGGCTGCTGGTAGATGTTGGGGTTCAACCAACCGAAGATACAGAAGAGGGTTGCGAGAGCGTCGACACCACCAATGGCACCAACGAGTTGCCACGACGGGAGGGTGTTGGCACCGCGGGTGACGAAGATGAGCCAGTTCTCAGTAAGTGCGACTTCGAGGAAGAGAATCTCCTGGATGTTACCCCAGTTCTGGACAATACCACCGTTTGGCAGGTAGAGGGTACCGCGGATGATCCAGGTGCCGATGGCAAGCTCGATACCGAGAATGACGGAGATGATCCAGATCTTGGGAAGCTGCCACTCGACGGGACGCTGCTCGGAGTGAGCATTGTCGTATGCGACGGCGACAGTGGCCAAATCGGCGAAGAGGGCAATGAACACAATGAGCTCAGAGCTGATGGTCTCGTTGATGATGATCATGGAGGTGACCAGGTAGATTTCCAGATGCAGACAGAGGGCGATACGGTACTGAATGTAGGACTTCATACGCTGGAAGATCTGGCGGGCAGTCTTGATGGCGAAGACGATGGTGGAAAGACCGGGAGCCAGGAACACGATATCAGCAGAAGCCTGGGCAGCCTCAGTGGCACCCTCGACGGCGATACCACAGTCGGACTTCTTGAGAGATGGAGCATCGTTGACACCGTCACCAGTCATGGCAGTCAAGTGACCACGCTGTTGCAGCATCTCGACGACCTGGTACTTGTGCTCGGGGAAGACCTCAGCGAAACCGTCGGCACGCTCGACAAGGTCGTGCTGAGTGGTGCCTGATAGACCACCGTGGATGAGCTTGGAAGAGTTGTAGACCTTGGTACCGAGAGCAAGCATCTTGCAAGTCTCCTTGGCAATAGCGATAGCGTCACCAGTAAGCATCTTGACCGGAACACCGAGCTGCTGGGCCTCGACGATGGTCTGGGCGGTATCCTCACGTGGGGGGTCGAACATGGAAAGCATACCGAGGAGGACCCATGGATCGTTGTTCTTCTGGTAGGCGACACCGAGAGAGCGGAATCCACGGCGAGCGAACTCAGACGCCTTCTCCTTGAAGAGGTCGGCGGTCTCCTTGGAGCACTCAGTCAGGTTAAGAATGGCCTTGGGGGCACCCTTGGCGCAAGTGAAACGGTCACCGCGGAGCGTGCAGACAGTGGTGATGCGCTTGGAGACAGGGTCGAAAGGAGTAAATTTCTCAGTCTTCCAGTCGTCCTTGAGGATGTCACGAGCCTTGGGGTAGCGCTTGAGGGTCAAGATGGTGACCTTGTCGATAGGGTCGAGAGACTTGATGTTGTGCGAGGAGGCAAGAGCAGCGCAGGCCATCATCCAGTTAACGTCCTCGCCCTCAGCGACGTAAGGCTCACGGATAGAGAGCTGGTTAGCAGTGAGGGTACCAGTCTTGTCAGAGCAGAGAACATCGACACCAGCGAGCGACTCGATGGCGGTGAGCTTCTGGACAATAGCTTGCTGCTTGGCGAGGTAGGCGGCACCGACGGCCAGAGTGGTGGTAGTGACGACAGGAAGACCGACCGGAACACCGATGATGAAGAGGATCAGGACGTACTTGAGGAGCGTGTTGTCGGAGTCCTCGGGAGTTGCGAGCTTCAAGTGGCGGAAGAAACCACCAATCCAGGCTGCGAGAATCCAGAACATGACGAGAACGAGAAGCGCCGTACCGATGCTGTTCATGATAGCCTTGAAATGACCCTGGTCCTTGGCGCCTTGCACGAGGGAGGCAGTACGACCGACGAAAGAGAACCTGGCAGAGGTCTGGCAAACAGCGTAGGCCTTTCCACGCTTGCAACCGGTGGTGTAGTAGACGATGTCTCCCATGAATTTGTCGACAGCGAGCGATTCACCAGTGATGGCGGACTGGTCAGTAGCAACGATAGAATGGCCCTGGTGCTGGATACCCTCACCCTCGGCGTCGGGTTCCTCTTCAGATCCGGCCGGGTCATCCTCTGGGTCGAGAGCATGTTGCTCGCGCAGCTCCTTGTACTTCTCGAAATCTTCTGGGTGGTCGTAGTCGCAGATGAGACGAGCGTCGGCTGGGACAGTCTGGCCTTCCTCGATGACAACAATGTCACCGGGCACCAGCTCACGGGCCTTGATATCCTGTTCCTGACCATCGCGAATAACCGTAGCCTTCATGGCAATGTCACCCTTCAACGAAGCGACGACATCGGCGGCCTGCTTTTCCTGGTACCAACCGACAGCGGCGTTGAGCATGAGGATACCGATAATGACACCCAAATCGATCCAGTCACGCAGACCGGCGGCGAGGAGGACAGCGAGTTCCATGACTGCGACGAATTATTAGCTCCATGTCAGGCGGCGATCGTGTTGTGCAGCAGTGCGATCGGGACCGACGCAGGCCAAGCCTCGGCGGCCGAAGGAAGCTCTAGCTAGAGAGCTCCAAGCGCACAGCTACCCGCAGAGCTTGCGGAAAAAAGCAACTCGAGCTGGCCACCTCGAAATGCGGGCAGGCATTGCAGCCGCGCTTCGTCCCAATTCTGCATGCTGCTGCCGTGGGAAGCTGAGGGGAGACATACCGTAGAGGATAGGACCGGTGAAGAAGGACAGAAACTTCAGGAACAAGTTCTCCTTCTCGGTGGTGAGTTCGTTCCAGCCGAAGCGCTTGCGGCGGCTCTCGACATCATTGTGCGAGATACCCTGCTTGATGTCGGCGGTGAGCCACTCGTCGGGGACGTGTCCGCCCTCATCGGTGGGCTGGTCGGAGCCAGACTTCTTCCAGAACTGCAGAATGTGGTCAGCAATAGGCACGTCGTTGGTGAGTGACGCGGTGAACGACGGACCTGCCACGACTTCTTCTTCTGGCCTTCTGTACCCTTCTCAGCGGCCTCTTCTTCTTGGGCGGCCTTGGGATCCCGGTAGGTGGAGATGTACTTCTGGAGTGCGGTGTACTCGTCTAGTTGGTAGTCCATGTCAGTAATGCAGATGGAAAAATCGCTACATCGCGAGCGCATGGGCGCGGTGGTGAGGGTCATGATTACCTAGATCATCGATGTTGCCGGGTGCCTGAGACCATTTTCGAGACCTGTAGTTGCCATTGTCAGCCATGGAGTGCTCGTCGACATGTGCGGAAAGCGCCGCCCGTCAGAAGCATGAGGCGCGGCGGGTGTGGTGGTGTGCAATAATTGTTGGTGCGCAGCAGCAGCGGCGGCGACAACAACAACAGCGCGCGAACAGCCGCCCACAGGGCCGAGGGGAGGAGGATGAGGAGAGGTCGTACCTGTCGGCTGCACCCTCGCCGTTTTCCAAGTCCTTGTCGGAGAAGCTCACACGCGGAGCCGCCATCTCGAAGTAGCGATGTCCAAGTTAATGGTTGTCGCTGGTGAAGATGGAAAGCAGAGAGGGAGTGCGCGTGTAGCAGAAGAAGAAGCTTAGGCTGGGTGGGCTGGGGGTAATAAGAGGAAGCGGGAGGCTCCGCGCTTGCCGAGAAGTCGTCGGCGGCACGGCAGGTCAGCAGTGGGAGACTCGACCGCCTCCGGCTGGGCTTGGGAACAGCCTGCCCTTGCCATTGATCGCTTTGGACAGAGGTCACCACCGGTCCACGGTCACCTCTTGCACGGACCGCCCCAATGTGCCAATAACGTCAGGCGCAATCGCCGCCGATACTGTGAGAGTTGAGGCATTTAGTTTCGCACTAGCCCGGCGGCAGACGGATCCACACCAGCTGCAGGTTACGCCGAAATATTCGCCCGCGCACTGACCTGCCCAGGTGGGTGCAGCGCGGGAACGGGTCTCACGAGGCTCACTAGCCTATCAGCCAATCGCCGGCCCCAATTTGCTTCTGCTGATTGTACACTTGCGAGTCTCTGGCTGAGGACAACAATGGCGACGGCGACGGCGACGGCGACAGCGGCAGCGGCAGCGGCAGCGGCAGCAAGAAGCAAGCAAGTCCCCTCCATCACCTCACCAAGCCGTCACGGTGTGTCGTGCGTCGTGCGTCGTGGGTCGTGCGTCGCCCGCGGTAAATACATGTAATGTGCTTTTCCACACCGGGAAGCTCCTTCCAGAATCCTCCCACGCGCCGCCTGCTGCTGCTGCTTCCTTCTGGTGTCTCCTTCCACTCGGACGGTGCAGGAGATGCACGATCAATGCGCGTCGTGACGTAGCAGCAGCAGCATGCATCTACATGTATCGACTCCTCGCACCAGATTGTCCTCCGAACAGCGGCTACCAACAGGCGGACTTTGCTTGAACGTTGATGACACCCGGGCGTGGCGTGGCGTACTATACAGCCCAGCTTCTTGTCTGCAACGGTGGGCGCTGGGGGTAGTCCACCGCGTCGATATCAATTACCAGCAAGCCTTGGCCAATTTCGGCACCTCTCGTCCACGGTCCTGCACACTGCGCGACGACCGTTCGAATCGTTCGAATCAAACGAAGCTACTGCATGCCATGAGCCAAGCTCCGAAATGACCACATCCATTCCATCCCATGCCGGGGCAACGCCCGAGACCAAAACAAACACACACTCCCCAAATCCCTCGCACCGTCTTGCATTGAGAGTCCGCCCAATCTTGATTGAGATTTGATTCATGTCCCACTCAATGCGTGGGCTGTCTCTCCCGCGGCCAAGATACGATACACGCAATAGCACTTCCTCTCCTCTGCCTTCACTATCATTCATCTTCGTATCCTACACACGCAAGGGTACGTGTCGTACCCGATGTGACGACCGGTGTGAAGCTCATCCTCCGTCTCCGTCGGGAGCTTGGCCTTCTCTTGGAAGGTAGGGTCTGAGTACGTGCGCCCGGCGGCTGGCGCATGAACATTGGTGGCAGAAGGCGGATAATGTGTCCTGGTCGCCCAGGGCTATCCTCTCATGCTGCAAGGCGATGCCAGACCGAATGCGCGTGCGTTGGAGAACATGGCTTTTCGGTGCCGCGTTGTCATCGCGTGCGCTGCAGCAGCGGAGAGCAAACTCTCCCGAGTCTCACAACGGCTAGATACCCGTGGGTTGCCGATGGAGGGAGAGGAGCCGCATCGCTGCTCGTGTGTGAGAGGAGAGATGCCACACCTTGCAGAAAATTTTGACCGCTAGAAACGTCGAGAACGGCCATAGTGTGAGGCATTTTCGACAACTACTTGTATCCCTCTGTGCCGTCGGAGCCGTCAAGGCGCTGCCGACCGCGCCGACCTCCAAGTGGACGCAGGCCATCCTGCAAACGATTTGCCAATGCACTCAACCCGGCCCTTTCACGTCCACGCACGTACTTCCTACAGCGACATCCCGATCCGAAACCGCTTCTTCACTGTGTGACGGACGGACGGTCTCTGTCACAGTTGTGCCTCGCCCTCCTGCCACGCCCGACTTTCGTTTCACAGCCTGCTTGGCCTTTCTTGCCTGCACCGCCAGCACACCTCTCGCACCCCGCCCTCGGAAGGACGCGCTGCGACGCCTGGCCTTGCAATCCTACACCGCAACGCATGATGGCCGTACGGAGAGCGAAACGCCAACATCCTGCCAAACCTATGCTACCCTAGGCCATGAAATCCCAAGCATCCAACGCTGCACGTTGCCCTCTGTGCATTGGGTGCTTGGTCGACGTGGGCATCTCACGACATGGCAAACATCCGAGAGCATTGCCCGGTTTACGCAAGAGTTGAGGCGCGGACGGAGCGCGGAATTGTCACAAGCCCCGGGATCATGGGATTTCACCTCAGTTGTCCATTACTCCCCGACAGCCCTGGCCGAGCGGAAGAGTTGGGAAGCCACCCGGAAGTGCTTGGGATATCGTTGGGATGATTCTTGCCCAGAAGTGCTACTCTCAACTTTCAAGCAGAAGCAGAGGCTCTCTCGGTGCCTTGCTTACTGACCAGCCAGGCGGGGAGTCTATGTCAGCAGGAAACTAGTAAACTTCCGTGGATGCTTCCGCCAGCTTCCGCACCGCAAGAACCACAATCACCGTGCAGCTGATGAGCTTCTGCACCGCCTTTCCATTGGGAAGCTTGCGCTGCAATATCAGCTTACACATCTCCGGGAACCATGACTCAGAAATCTCTCACCTCGGTCAAATCCGAAGCAGTCCGCTCCCGTCCTTTGCAGTGGAAAATGGATGAGAGAGCCAGAGGGAGCGCGGCGAGGTCACGCCATTGAACCTGTACACATTTGGATGCTTTGCTGCGGTGCGCTCGGGGAGGGCAGGTAGACTCAAGTCGCTCTTGCCACTTGCGGAATGGAAAGAGCTGGGCGTAGTTGAAGCAGGAGGAACACAATGTGCGCAGGTGCGATCACATACAGGTAAGTTCGAGGCAGGCACCATAACTCTTTCAATACTTTCAAATTCCAAACCCAGTTATCCTTGTTGCCGCGGCAGCGTGCTACATTCCACATACCAGATCATTCATAACCGAAATGGAGTGCGTGCATCACCAGCAGGACCACCCACCGACTATTACACCACAAACACGTGCCAGGAATCCAGGGCCACGAGTCCTGAACCATCCACCGGCGCCGCAATCGCGAACACGATCCAAGCCCGGCGTTCTATCAACTTTGAGAACCATTATATGCAAGGACTGGCCGGCTTGGACACAGGAAGCTTCACCGCCTCAAAGCGCAGAGGTCTTGCGCCGGCCAAGCATGCGAATGAAGGACAGCGACGACTACATCACTGCGAGAGGCGCCAACCCTCGCACTGGTCTGATATCACCGAGCGTCGGCACGAGGACTCCTTGCACACCGGACTCTCCGGGCGAGGCTCTGAGGCTTCGCGACCACCACCAAGTTTCGCCAACTCGACATCCTCGTACAAGACCGCCGATTAGCAGAGTCTACGAGGGCAGAAAGACTAGCGGTGGGAAGGCTCGCAAATGGGGTGTGAATGAAGATGGATGGTATATCGAGAGCTTGGACTCTTCTCCTGCTCAACAGCCCTCCAATCAAGACACGCAGGCACGACCCTCGAGCTCGTGCTCCTCACATCTGAGAGATGATGACTTTGTGGTGCACATGCCGTCTGCTCGAGAGCCACAGCCTTTCGCTTATCCTGGCTACTCCGCGGAGCAAATCGAAGCATATGAGCATTACATGGATAAGAGCAGGCGCGTATCAAACGAGGGATACGATCGGCGCTTGTTACATGCCTCAAACTTCTCTAGCGATTCCCCTACATCTGATGCAGCACATGGCAGTCTGGGCTTCGTTGAGGCCGGAGATGGTCTGGTTGTTTGCCCCATCACCGGCCAATATTTCAGAGCATATCGAGACATCAGTAATGGCGACATTGCGGATCCACCTAGCATCGCCGTACGCAAGAGACATGCTAAAGTAGACCGGATCAAGCAGCAAGATAAAGATGAAGCTCATAAGCATATCGATGGAGCCAAGTCCGGTGTGCTATTCGCTCCTTTTGCATCTCCCAAGACCCCGGCTACTGGGAGGCCCTTCAAGAAGCAAGTCGAAGGCTTTCCCAAATCCTCACCGGATGCTTACCCAGACACCAAGCATGCCCAGATATGCTCGGCAACGGGAGCTATATCGGGAGACAAAGTGGTGGGCTCGGCGCCGAGCGCCAGGAGCGTTGCCAACGGCGATCACTACCATGAGCTCATTGACTGCAAGAGAAAGAAGACATTGCCCAGACTCCCTCCTGATTCGGATCCATCGTCAGAGGTTTCGTCGGATCTGCGCAAGCTGCCGCGCGTACGCTTGGTGCGCCCAGAATGCGCTGCATTACCCCAATGCCATCATCAAGACGAACGGCGACGTAGCAACGACGGTGGCAGACAATGCGCCCTTGGATGCGAGCGAGAGGCAAGCAACGGCGAGTGTGTCGGGAAGAGGAACTCATCGACAAGCACGGTACGGAGAATCTCGCCGCTCGAGAACGAACCGTCGACACCGCCACCGAAAGAGCAGGCAGCAGCATCGAGTCCTCACAGTGATGCCGAAATAGCTCTCAGCATCTTTGAGGCTCTGCTGAGGTTCATCATGCACATCGAGATTCCTAAAAGTGGCCAGATGGGGACATTGATGTCCTCAGATGTGCCGACCAAGGATCGTGTCGAAGCGCTCAAGGCTGTAGTGTCAGTTGCAGCTCATGCCTTGGCTATCTGCACCATACTGGCGATGCTATGGAAGCTTGGCTCGGCGGCTATGCATTTGCTCGAAGTGCTGCTGTGGCCTCTGGAGGTACCTTTCAGAGTATTCAGATGGCTTACAGGCTGTGGATAGAGGGAGAATAATATGCGCGCTCGGGACCGGGAGAGATGCCATATCATCAGCGACTCGCCAGCGGCCTCAAAACCTAATGAACGTTACTTCCACTTGAAATTCGCACGCATCGCCCTACTAGCCTGGGATCGATCCTCGCCAGATGAGTGGCTGTTTGTTGCCCTCTGTGGCTGGTTTGTTACCTATCTACCCTTCGAGACAGAATCCTAAGCAATCCAAACCACACCTCTCCCATCAAATCTTGACTTGCTCACCCATGCTTTCCAGCAGACGTCTGCCTTGCACATGCACATACTGGCTGAGCCTGGGCCTGAGAAGAAGACGTCTATCTACACCGCTGATCTTCGACTGCACAGCCGCCTCGATCTGGAAGAATCGGGCGGGACTGGCGCGGAGACCTCTCGTTCATCTCGGTTTGGATTTGACGAAGGTTAACGGATTACTCGCTAATAGGGCTATACTATACCAAGCGTGAATATATGCTCCCTCAAGGAAAATGCGATGTTTTTCCAGGGTGAACGTCAAAACCTTAGTCTTCCCTTTTGGGAAGCTGGAGCAAAGGTGAATATTCCGTACGTTGATTGAAGCACGTACCTAGCTATTGTTGACATTTAGTCATTCGTTCTCAGCTGTGCGATAGAAGTTGTGTAGCACGTGGCTATTATTGAGTATGGGCATGTGTCCTTAGCTTTACAATAGTAAACGTGGAGATGAATTTCTTGTGGGCTTCTTATTTTCCTACTGCAGCGATCTGGATTCTAGGACCAGGACGCTTCACAACATTCGAATCTGCTGCTACGACTACCTGGAATTCAAGGTCGAGGACAACTATCGACACTTTTTCCAAGGGCGGCCTACCTTTACTTCTTTTCTACACCTAGACGGGTCTTTAAGACGGAAATCATGCTATAACACTTTCTCTCGTGGTGCCTACCTTTGCATTTGCTCTATACGAACCGAGTTTCTTAAGAAGACAGACGACGGACAATAATAGCAACATCTAAGCGACGTGACCAAGTACCACTTAAGAAATAGTAGTAACGACTATGGACAGTGTTGCCAAGATTCCACCGGTCTGTGGATAGCCGCTTCCGGAAACGCAACCGCCAAAAAATCTCGTCAAAGAAGCTCACATCGGCTTCTCATATGCAACGACATGTTCATGGCTGTACCTCAAAGACCAGTTCCCACTGTCGGTGTACGACAACCGCCGCGGGCGAGATTATCTGTCTGGTACATTTTCAGACCCAGACTGCGTGCACAAAGTTCGGGTGTGGGTTCTGGAGGATTGCTCACGCCTTTTGTCTGAACGCATTGCTGGGAACGACTGAAGAACTGAGGATACTTATAGCTCTTGAGGCATATGTGTCAAGAGCACGACGCAGCAAGCCACCTACCCTCGGAAGTACCGGGGCAAGGAGGTCAAAATGAAGTTGGCAGCCATGAATTGGGACCAGATGTCTTGGAAGCAGACAGTTGATGTACTTGCGCACATGAGATATGCGATGGTGGATGTAGCCCAGTTTATGATGCACCATTTCCATGGTCATTAGCTTGAGCTACGGGGGAAAGGAGTGCCGAAGGTTGCAACGAAACCATCCTTTCGGGGTCGTGGAGATGTCAACATCTGTACCTGTTGAGAATCAGCATCGAGAATAAGGATCCAAGACAAAAGAGGATGTGTCTGTATCACCGGGGTCTGAGCTAGAACATGTGACAATAAAGTCCGTGCGCTTTCCGCATGGGCATTGTCCAAAACATAGAGGTGGCGCGGCGGCCCGAGCTTCTCCAACGCGCCTTCCAGAATACCATTGCTGTAGATTCGTTAGCAATTGGTAAACAAACCAAACTCTCGACCCTGACCTTCCTCATAGATCTCAAACCAGCTTCAACCAGCCGACTGCTCTCGCAACATTTGCACTCATCGCATCGGTAACAAGACTAGTAGCAACTATGTCTACCAACAACAACGAAGATACCCTCAACCAGACCCCAGCACCACCACCACCACCACCACCACCACCACCACCACCACCACCTCAAGCCTACGACACCACCCAACACGCCGCCAACGCAGAGCAGTGCAAGCTGCTCGAAACCCTCCACAGCCGCCTAAGCCACAACCTGACCTCGATCCCCCTCACAGAAATCGCAACCCAGGTCCCCGCCAACATCAGCCTTCTCCACCACATCTTCACCCAAATAGACACAAACAAGGCCCTCGAAACCTTCAGCGCCCCCTTCAGCGGGAAACTTTTCCACTACGCACAACAGGCCCTCACGCTCCTGTTCCGTAGCCTACGGGCGCGACTCGGCGTCTGCCTCAAGAACAGAGGCTCCTCGCCTCCGCCTGCGCGGTTGAGGAAGCCGGAGGATGAGGGCGATGCCAAGGGGATGCGGAGGTGGGTGGTTGTGGAGCAGCTCCACTGCGCGTTCACGGTGGCCGAGGAGGGCAAGAAGAATCTGAAGGCGGCGGAGCTGGCGCTGCAGCATTGTTTTGTGGGCAATGCGATTGTGACAGTCGCAGGGGAGCAATATGCGCTGCCGGCGATTGGGGAGGGCGACGAGGAGTGGAAGAATGAAGTGGTGGGCTTCGTGGAGTGTACACTCTGTTCGCTGGCGGTGTATCTGTCGCATCGGTTCTCGAAACGTCCTGTGAACCTGGGGGGCGTGGAGATTGGGTGCCGTTGCGCGGTGTGTAATGGCTGAGAGCCATATGGAGACGGATGGTTTCGAGCCTGCAGACTATCGTCTATGCACCTCGTTCTACGGGTTCGGCAGAAAGAGTTCCTGTGGCCGAGGCCTGATATGTAAGCTATGCTTAATATTCAATGCTGTTCTAACTAAGTAATCCCGCAACTACCATCATACCCTTCCATGATACTCATCAGTCTCATATGCAGCAATGACCCCGGCCTATGCAAGAGAGAACAAACACCACGCCATGCAACAAGAATAAGAACAAAGACGGAACTCGATCGTTTATTTCCACGCACTCAAACCAGCCCAAGGATCGCCAGACGCGCCGTTTTGCTGCGGCTGTCCATTCCGCCTCGGATCATGAGCGTACCCACCCGGTCCAGCAGAATACTGACTCGCCTGCATCGCGCCATAGTCCTGATTAGGCGGCGGAGGCCCAGGCGGAGGTGGCGGCGGTTGCCACCCAGCTGGCATATTACCATACTGCTGTGGCTGCTGCGCGTGTTGACTGTACTGTGTCGTGGAAGGCTGTTGGTAATTGCTATACTGTTGGTTTGGAGGCGGTGAGAAGTATTGCTGATGAGCAGGTGGAGAGATGGCGCCATACAGGTTGGGATTGTAGACCGGTGACTGCATGCCATTTTGACGGTATGCTGGTGTGATGGGAGGGCTCGCCGCAGGGTTGTAGGGAGCTTGCTGGCCATAGCCAGTCTGTTGTTGGAGAGGTGGAGGTCGGTTACTTGACCGTTGCGCATCGAAGCTAGGCACAGGGGAGTGACTTTGTTGGCTAGACGGGCTCATGCTCATGCGCTCCATGAGCTCCTTCAATCGCGCCTGTTCGCGATCTGCTCCGCTGCCCTTTGAGGCTTCGATAGAACTGAGCAGTTGACCTCCTTCTGATCGGCGGTTCTCAACGAAAGAGTCGACGTTCTTTTTCAGACTGTCCACGGTGTCCGTCATCTCGTCGTAGAATTGCTGCGCACGCGAAAGTCCCGCAGTCAGGTCCCTGTAGGCCTGATGGACCTTCTTGTATTTGTTGAGCACTGAGTTACGCTGCCGTGAGAAAGCTTCGTATTTGTTCTGCTCTCCACGGACGCGCTTGTCCTGCAGAAGCTCGCTGTATGTCTTGGTGAGCTCCTTCATCAACGAAGACTGCTTATGGACGGCTTGCAGAATGCGGTTTTGATGAGGCCTGAACTTTTCCAACTCGGATTTGAACAGCTGTGCTTCTTGGTTGGTGATCGCTTTCTTGTTCAGAATGAGCACATTGCTGATGTCATCTTCGTGGATCTGTGATTCTCAAGTTAGCACCAAATGCTCGCAAGAAACAACGTAAGCGACTTACCATTTCCTTCAAGTCCTTGAGTACTCCCGCTCTCTCTCGCTTCACCAACTGCAGTTTGTTGATCAGAGCCTCCACCCGTTCTATCTGCTGGGCCACAGAGTGTCTTGAATCGTCCGCGAAATCGTCATCGAGTAGATTGCCCTCTACCGCTGCTCCTGGACTATGCACACTCTTCTTTCCTGCGCCAGCTTTGATCATGGCCCGCTGATACAGCACGTCTGCCTCATCAGTCTCGCCAGCCGATCTCATTTCATCCAGATCCGATTCATACTGGCGGAAAGTGCTGTATAGCTGCGCATCGCTTGTTGAGGCCTCCTCCACCGCTGACCTGTAGCTGCGCGCGTCCGTTCGCAATGTCTGCGTAAGTCGACTTGAAGGCTGCTGTGTCCACTCGCCGCCGTACTTGCTTCGCATCTTCTCGCATACCGACTCTTCCATGTCGAGCTGCTTCATGCTAGTCTCTAACGTAGACATGATGTTCTGTTTATCATCTCTTAACTGGTCGAACACTGGCCCGAATGGACTGTGCCCTGCAAGCTCTGCACACCAATTGCGAAATTCCTCATCAACGCTCATTGAGTCCTGGTCTGCGGCACCCTTGAGGATATTGAGACTACCCGGCAGCTTCAAGTAGTCCAGTGATGTCGCAAGCTCGTCGTCTGCTGTCTCTACTCGCTCGCCCTCTGCTCGAATGAGCTTCGCTTTCTCCTCATCGTACAGACTCGCGCTCTCCGTCACTGACATTGGCACGATCCTCTGGAAGATGTCTGGACCAATTATTCTCTGAATGTCTTGACCTTGGTATAGCTCAGAAACCGGGATCGCTTTTGCTGCAGGCAGCTTTGGGATGCTTGATAGATTCGTTTCCGAAGGTACCGGCTGATGGTAGATCATGTCGTTGTCTCGATTGTATTCCGCTAGCAGTTCTTGTATTGATGAAGTCTGTTTCTTCGTCATGTCAGCAAGGATCGAGCCAGTCTCCGCCTGTAGATTGCTACTTGACGGCACGCTCCCGGGGAAGGCGTTTGCTAGTCGGCTCGCTTCTTTGCTCGCAGTCAGGGCTGCATTCAGTCGGCTAATCGAGTCGCCGTACTTGTTGGCCTCGTAATCAGCCACGGCTTGGTAGTACTGGGCGACGCTAGCCATGTGATGCTGCTTGATCTGTGTCACCAGCAACCACACTCGCTCAAAGACCGCTTTCGAGACATTCTCCTGGGTTCCCTCCACAGCCTGCGCATACAGATATGCTGCTTGTGCCGCGAGCTTCGCAATCAGACCAGGCTTCTTCTTGTCGACCACTTGCTTCTCGATGAATACCTCTTGCCCCTGGGCCAGCATAATGCTTATCAACGTCTTGACCGTCTCCCGACTCAAGTCCGTCGATGGGGCATGCAAGAAGTTCTCGTTGATGTATGTGAACATCCCCGCCGAGGCCTGGAAAGAGTGGTATGCCGTCTTCAACCCGGTATCCTCATGTCTGTTCTGGTTTGCCGCATGACAACTCAACACCGCCGAGATATTGAAGATGATGCTCGCCTTCTCAAACGCCAGGCTATACTGGCTCGTGGGCTTGTGCGTGAAGGCATCGAACCAAGTAAAGCTGATCTTGATATGGTTCTCATCCACCGGGAACCGCAGATCTAGGTATTCCAGCTGTCCATAGTATCTGTACAACAGATCCCTCCCAGCCGCACTATCTTTCCCTGCTCCTCGCATGTCCTGCCGTAACCGGTTGAGCTGCCCGCATTCTTCATTGTATCTCTCCGGGTCGTCGCCGTAGGCAGCGCGAATGTGGTGTTTGATGGGCTGAATCCAGTCGATTTCGTTGGTCTGCTTGAGCGGACACGATAGCATCGGTACCTGCATGCTGGCTGCACTCAGCTGGCGTGAGAGCCCGGGTCGGATGGGGAGCATGGAGAGGACGACGGCGAGGCAAAGAGGAGCTCTTCTCGCAACGGATAAGGTGTGAGAGGTATCGCGGCCGGGGACGAGGTTGTATCTTCGAGGCGGGCGAGCAATCGGAAGCTTCCACGTCCCGTGTGAGTCGTCTGCTCTTCAACCTGCCATATGCATCCCCAAGGCAGCCGCAATTTGCAGTGGGATGTTCGGTGTAACAACGCCTTTCCTTTCCCTTCTCTTCTTACAATAGGTGACAATTCTTTGCCTCCACCTTGCGTGCGCCTGTCTGCTCCAACGACGTCTCCAGTAGATAGCTCGGGAACGAGTCACGACTGTCTGGGATCCGGGAGTTGCTGTCCAGCGCAGTCCAGAAACCGTCGAACAGGATGACGTCTCCGCGGCTGGCGGGCCTCGAAAGCGGCCGCGATTCTCCCACAAGACAGCAGCACGGGTGACGGAAGAAGAACGACTTGTACTCGAGTCTATATACCTCACCCGGGTGCCCTCCACTACACCGTCTGATCTACGAGGCGCTCGAGGCTGACTCGCGGGCGCGAAGGAGCATGAAATCTTCACGTGCTCGTCGACAAGGCCGGCCAGTCAAATGGCAGAGCCCGGGTGTTGGCCTCTTACCGTAGCCGCCCATTCCAATACGAGTGCGAACTCGCGCAGCGCTCCGGCGGAAAGCGCCTGTAGCCGCGCTAGACGAGCTAAGGCGACGTCTACCAGCAAATGGATTCGATAGCTGGGAACATGAGGCATCTTGGGATACGGCCCTACTGAGTCGAGATCGTCTTGACTATCAGACAAACACAACGGCAATGCGAATCTATACACGTACTGTACAACATCTTGCGATTCCCCTTCCAGCTTTCTTCTGTACAATCCGTTTCATAGCTCGCGAGCTGTAAATGCAAAGCCGCCGCACACTGCCCTCTCCCGAACTCCGCTATTGGTATAGTGATTTTGTACACGTTCTCCCACGACGGCCACAAGACAGCAAAGAAGAGATCTCAACCGGAACCGGACCCCGAAGCCTTCTTCGAGTCACCATCCTGCTGATCATTGCTCTTCGATTGCTGCTTTCCATCTTGGTACGAATTGTCATGTTGGCCGGTCAAATTATGCCACATGTTCTTGATGAAGCCTTCGCTCTTGTGCTCTTCAGGGTTGGAGCTCTTGTTCGCCGGATCGTGTTTGAGATTGTTCAGGTTCATGATCCGCTTGGCAGATTTGTCGCCCATCTCGTCTGCCAGCATTTCCACAATTGTTCGCTGGTTGACGGACAGGTATTTAGGCATCTGGACCTTGAACTCAACGCGTAGATCGCCGTTGTTGCCGCGGCGTGAACTGAGCTTCTTCATACCCATGCCGGACATTGTGATCTTGTCACCGGTTCCAGTTCCAGTGGCGACCTTAACTTTCACTTCGCCGTCGAGAGTAGGCACAGTGATTTCGCCTCCGAGAATCGCAGTGGTCAAGGGTATGCTGGCCGTGTACAGAATGTCGGACCCGCTGCGAGAGAACTTTGAATCTGGAGCGACTCGGATAAAGACGTAGAGGTCTCCCTTCTGAACGTTCGCGTTCGGGTTTGTCGCTTGTCCAGTAGGCGGATGATCGCCCTCTCCCATCACTCGTAGTCTCATGCCATCTTCTACGCCACCTGGGATGTCGACAGTGACAGTCCTTCTTTCTCTTGTGGCGCCATTTCCTCGGCATGTTCCACATTCGCTGCCCGTTGGTACAGTCTGACCAGTTCCACCACAAGTTCCGCAAGTGCTTGCCATCTGGAATCCACCCTGCATGAAATGCACTCTCGTACCTGTCCCGTCGCAAGTCTTACACTGACTCCTGTTCATACCCTTCTTCAGTCCACTGCCAGAACATGTCTTGCACTGCACCAGCGGTGTAATGACGATGTCCTTCTGTACGCCCTTCGCAGCGTCCATGAAGCTGATGTTCGTCTGCACCTCAATGTTCTCTCCCACCATGACCTCTTCTTGAAACGGTCCGCCTCCTCTCCTTCCTCGTCTAGCGCCTCCTCCAGCTCCAAATGCAGAGAACAAGTCCTCGAAATTGAACTCAGCACCGAAGCCACCTCCGCCTCCAAATCCTCCAAACCCGGCTCCAGCAAACGGATTACCACCATGTCCTCCACCGCCTCCGGCAGCGCCTGAAGGATCAAATCCACCCGACTGATCGAAAGCAGCAGGGCCATACTGATCATACATCTCCTTCTTTTTGGAATCGCTCAAAATCTCATATGCCGATTGCGCCTCTGCGAACTTCTCCTTCGCTTTCGGATCCTTGTTGGTATCTGGATGATACTTCTTTGCGAGTCCATAATAAGCTTTCTTGATCTCTCCTGCTGATGCGCTCTTGTTGACTCCCAGAGCTGCATACGGGTCTTTCGTTGCGAATGACGTAGGGGAAGAATGGAACGTCCGTCGTTGTTGTATCCGTTCATGATTGGTGCGTGTATGAGGCGATAGTCTTGGGCGATGCTGGTTTGAAGACGTTGTAGATGAATCAGGGCGATGGTGATATGCGCATGATTGCTGGCGATCTTTTTGGTATAGACATGTTGCAGGTCGGCTCCCGGCGAGGACACGCAGAGGGGCTGCGGCCTTTGGGATGAGCGCTGGCAATGCTAGACTCATCGCAAGTACTGTTCAAACGTCTGAACACATGTAGTGGCTGATGGGCGGTGGTAGAGGAGATAGTAAGAAACAATCTGAAATCATTGAAAGATCTCGCGCGGCAAATTCTCGGCAGTGGATTTGTGGTCGAACCGGGGAAGCTTCGAGATCAGAATGGAAGCGGGAGATCAGGAGGTATTGTTAGGGCTTCCTGATATTTCCAAAATTGCACTGACGAAACAAGTTGTCTTGAACAGAAGTTTTGAACCACAATGTAGATGTCAAGGTACTGTCCGGACTGCAATTCGTCCTTCTTGAACGCTGCTGACCACCCTGAAGAGATAGGGAAGGAAACAACGAAGGCAGACAATAGTTCGACCGTATTTCTAGACTGAGTCGAGATAAGCCTTACCAAGTTCTTGGTTGAGTATCAACAATTAACGTCTCTGTGCAGTAGCCAAATAATAATCAGCACAACCCACAAGCGTGCGAGAATACGCCAAACGCCGGTCCATCCTGCATCCCGTTCCACCTTCCGTGTATATGGACAGATCCAATTATTCCGGGCTCATTATCCGAATGGCACGCCGGCCTGCCTTTGGGGTATATGAATAGATAGTCATTACTTCTTCGTCACTCCAGCCATTGAGCGCATCCGAAATGCTTTGTCTGATTAAAGCGTCAGTACTTCTCCTCATTGTATGCGCAGCGTTAACGGAAGTTCTCACTGCTGAGTCGACGCACTTACCCTGGTTTCTCACTTTGTACACCAAGTCCACTACGACGTCAATCTCGTTCACAGCCGCACCGTTGAAATTCTTTCTGACAGCCAGGGCCAGCTGCTCCTTCGATATCCGCCTCTTCTCTTTCTTCCGCGCCATTGTGGGAGACTGTCGTCCGATGCCAGCGTTTGTGAGTTGCGCTTGGCGGAGGGGACTGGTGAATGCGGCTGGAGAGGGTATGTTGTGAGCAACTCGGTAGGTATTGAGGAGCTCTAGCGGAGCAGTGTTCCAGGACATCTTGCGTTCAACCATGTTAGCGTCTCCTTCGTAGAGTGCTGTCACATACAGAACACGCTGGTGGTGATGTAAACTCCAGCACTTACTCCGGTTCCCTGACCAGGAGCGGAAATTTGCCCAGAGTCGGTATTTACAAGGGCCAGCTCTTTCAGACTGCTTCCCCCATTATTCTGTTGAGCCGCTGCCGCTGCCTGTTGTTTCTTGCTCCTCGCGTGGGCTGCTGCAGCGATCTGTCGTTCTCGTACGGTTTGGGCATCTGCTCTCGCGTCTTGCGATTTGGGCGGCATTGTAGAAGGTATCGTCCCTTTCTGGAGGCTATCCCTGAGCGTGTCGAAAGGTGAGAGTACGCGTCCGGAGTTCGTATATCATTGCGAACGGGATTGAGAATAACAATCTGTGATCTATTGAACTGGTGCTGACAGTGCCAAAGAAAGAAAGCTATCTAGCTAGACGCATCCCCTCCCAGACACGCGAGGCCACGAGCTCGGCTTTTCACACGCCGACGATGACAGAGGCCAAGCTTTGAGGTGTCGGCAGGGCGGGGGCGGGCCGTACCTAGCTCAGGTGAAGCCGCACCACACTTCGCGACTCCCGTCACTGCTGGATTCTCCTGAGATCTCTCGTTGCTAGCTTTTTTACTGATCAACTGAGCACGAAATCTTCCGAAACGCTCATTGCTCCTCGGCCACCGAACTCCAAAACTGCGTTCGGCCGACAGAGCAACGATAATGCATAGAGGAGGTCAACGAACATGCGAATTACGAAGGATACATGATACCAGAAAACACCGTGGCTCTAGCTTCTATGCGTCGATATAAGCGTCCACCAAAAGTGAATGTCATCTGATACCAGGTCGCTGAACAGATTATACGGTGCCGTATGATTTATTCATATGATAAGCTCTACAAACTGGATTTCAATACCACGAGGAGCTCCTTATCAACTTATTGCTAAAAAGTAGTGGACGCTCGTTGGCAGTGAATCGAAGTGACGGTGTGTCGCCTTTTATTCACATGCACTTTCACCTGCTGGAGCCTCGCAGGCTTCATGGCTCGTGCGTGCCTAGATGCCCCACCAACATTTACTATATATTCATTCTCGTGTTCTTCCTCTTTTCTCTCAATCCGCAACTTGCGACAACACCGTTCAACATCGACTTAACCTTAGTCGACACATCTGCTGCCCACTGGAGCGAGAGTCTGCGATAGTTCCACCACCACGCTCTACAGCGGAGCCGCTGCGCAGTTCACATAAATTCTTGGCGCCGGACAGGCAGAATCTTTCCGGTAGGCAATTGGATTGGATCTCTGGATCTGCCTCACTCAGAGGCTCCACGCAGCTCGGGGACGCTTGTAATTGGCCTTTCCATTGGAGGCCTCAAGTGCCCATACTGACACGACCTCCATTCGAGCGCCAGCCAACTACATCCTTGCAACTTCGCTTCGACAACGACACGAAATGGAATCCAACAACAGAAGCTTGGCAGCGCAAAAGCAAGGCAGCTTTCCGTACGAAATAAGCAACCTGAAATTCATGGGTACTCTATCCGACTCTCAATGGGCGCCCGCAGACCTTCAGCCAGAGCGCCAGCAGTCGTGCACTCCAATCTTCCACCCAGCTACCGCGAACTTCCAGCCGCAGGCTATTCAGCCGACCGGCACCGATGCGCCGCGCTACAATGAGCCGAGATCGGTCCCACGCCAGGACCAGCACTATCTTCAGCAACAAATTTACGACATGCGAGCCGCTGAGTTGCAGACCCGTCACAACGCAGAGTACCGTATGATGACGCTAGAGAATGCCACGCGAGAGAATGCATGGCAGCACGCCGATCTCAAGGAGATTATCAAGAAGGATGTTCGGGCTCTGCAGCAGAGGATCGATCACATGGACTCGACTAATTCTGAGATCGAATCCAACAAAGACTACACACATGGACGTAAGATCTCCGAAGACATGTTCAAACACCTTTCGGATCAAGAGGTCACCAAGGTCTTCATCGAACTTGCCAAGGAGAAGGAAGCCCATGCAGCTCGACTTCGCAAGGCTGCGACAGCTTTCTCAAATCAAGAAGACGATGATATCATGGGAAACGACAAGTCAGGAGGAAAACTCAAGGCGATTGAGTATCATGAAGCAGGCATGACGGAGTCAGAAGCTCCGCCTCTTCCGGGAGACGAGGTCGTCGGTTTCGCATGCTGTGGCACTGCTTTCGGTTCTCTTGAGGAGATCAAGAGCCACTTCAACAGTGCACATGCTCTTGCGACTGTCGTAGTCACGGAATTCGATGATCTGCAACCCACTCAGAACAGCTCTGCCCGTCGCGAAATGTCCCGTCCGCATCCACATGCTATCGAGATAAAGGCCCCAGAGTCTGCGAAGGCGGCCGATGAGGAGCCCAAGAAGGAAAATCTCAAGAAAGAAGAGTTCAAGGAGGACGTTCCCGAGGAAGAGGAGCCCAAAAAGGAGGCTTCGACTCCTGAGGCCGTGAAGCAGGGTCCAATTGAGAATACAGCTTCTGCTAAGCAGGCTTGGATTCCATACGCAGTGCGTCAAATGCCTCAACCTCCCTCTGGTATCCCTGCGTCCAGTGAGACCTTCTCCTTCGAACACATTCAGGACGTCCTGGAGGGCAAAGAATGGTCGGACGGATTCTACTTCATCACAAAGGACGTCAAGGCGCCAAAGCTTGAGTCTAGAGCCTACTGGATCCTCGAAGAAGACCACGAGCCATATCTTCCCAAGCAGCCCGGAGAGCACGGGGCAAAGCTTACTGCGGTCCTCAACAACTCGCCAGCCGACTCTGGTCATTTTCCAATGGCCAAGAACTACTTGAACTGCCCGGTATTCATCCGTGCAAAGGGCGAGTCTGAATATCGCTACTACGGACAATACAGCCAGAACCGCTTCTCTGACAAGCTCGATTATGACCATCTCATGGGTAAGACACGCTCATCTCTTTTTGCTTGAGAAACTTGCTAATTCGCGGCAGACGAAGTTCCAGACCACGTCTTGCGTTATTGGGCAGATCAGCTTGGTGCCGTCGGCCGCCCTGAATGGGTGACTCGTGAACTGATGGTTGCTATCTTCGACCCTCCCAAGTACCAAGGCGCCGTGCCGACCGACTCCGCTGTCAACACGCCGGATACTCTCGCCACGGCTGACAACAGCGCCGGAGCTCTTGAGCGCTGCGTCCTCCAGGACCTCGAAAACTATGCCTGGCAATTGAAGGACTGGGAGAAGGATGCCCGCATCAAGGCCGAGCTCCTCGATGCCGACGCCATCTATAAGAGTTTCACTTACTGCGACATGGGTTGGCAAACCGGTCTTCGCCTCCACTGGGAGTATCTCGAATGCATCGAATACTCAAGCAAGTTCGAGAACATGATGGTCGGCTTCAAGAAGACCAACAGCAAGTTCAAGGCGAACCTCTTCGGCATGACCGCTTTCTCTCAGTCCCACGCTACCATCGCTACCATCGCATCGAAGCTCAGCGACCCTGCTGCCGCCGCCAAAGCCAACGCCGCCGCAGCCGAGAAGAACAAGCGGGCCAAGGCGGAGGCGGCCAAGCAAGCAGAAGAACAGGCCAATAGGCGTACTATATTCCACAAACTGGACTTCGACGACGAGACGCGTAAGCCGGTTGCGAACGCTTGGGGTAATGATTCCAACGTCGGCCGTACCTCTCGCCCTGCTGCCAAGAAGCCTGCTGCCTCTGTCACTGAGGGCAAGGATGAGAGCAAGAACGCGTTTGGCATGGGCGACCTGGCCGAGGCTGCTCGTATCGCCGACCAGCACAAGCAGAGCACGGGCAAGGTCCTCCCGCCACACCTCCGCGGACGTCCTGGTGGTAAATAGGCCATCACACACACTTACCCACGAAAGAGCATCAGCTCTGAATAATGAAAAGGGGAATCCGGGCGGTATCAGATGCAGACGGAAGTGGAGAGAAGCGAGAAAGTCATACGAATCATAGTTATTAGCACATTTCATTAAGATCTGAGTGTCCTGCCTATCCTGAGGTTGGACACAGATTCAGGCATGCCACTAATGACAATACGAATGCTTGACACACAATTTCCTTTCCCTTCGACGTCGTCCACTCCATGCTTCATGCAACCCTTATTGCGCCATAACCATATAAACGCCTCAAACGGCCGTTTCCCATGCTTGCATCGCTAATTTGCACACACACAATTCGCGTTGCACTCATTTTCTGTATTTTATCAAGGTTCTGTTTGTGGGACGTGTTGCCATGCTCTCACAGCCGCAGGCCCAGTCTCCGTGGTCCAAAGTACAGCAAGCCGCCAATGCCAGTGAATCCAAGGCCGACCCACCAGAGCCTGTCCGCATTGATGCGCTGAACCATTTGGCGGGTTTCGTGGTCCTCGAATTTGAGCTTCCAGTTCAGCGGCACCTCGCGGTCAAGACTTCGCTTTGCTTTTCCGGTTGCTGTTGCACTTGCCGTGTTAGTAGGGTTGAGGGTTGTGGTGGGCAACATCTCCGGTGGCTTGTAGACCTGGTACATGGGTGCCATGGGCGAACCATCAAATTGGTAGAGATTCAGTCGGGGGATGTTGTGGTACGGGTCTTGGAGGACCTCGTATTTCTGTCCTCTAATGTCAATACTTCCTCATCGTTCACTTCTCAGTGTTTCTTCCTACCTCAAAGAGTTCCGACTGGTTATACCGCGTGTAGATTCCCTTACTGTACTTGCATGGCTCACTGAGTAATTGTCTCCCATCCACCCCTATCGGCGTCAAGCTCAAGCTATTATTCGAGTTCATGATCCATGTCCCGTGCTGCCACTGCATGATTCCTGATGGACATGATGGATCCTGTGGATTTGCGATCGCTCGGTAGTATGCCTCCTCGAAGTGGCCATCTGCGGTGAAGGAGTATGAGATTCCTGTTCGGTCTGGCTCTGTGAACTTATCATTGAGCGGGTCGTAGAAGGACTGCGATCGCACCTGCATTAGCACGTGGCTCAAAAGACAGCGTCCAGCCGCAGTGTACGTACAGGGCCAGTTATAGTCTTATTTGACTTTGTCGTCCATGTACCGACGAGATCTGTGGGTAGTGTTTGGGCGGCAGAGAGGGCCGGGAGCGCAAGAGCGGCAGCGAGCGAGTGGTAGAGCAGCATCTTGGGCAGTGAGAATCGTGTCGAGCTGCTCAGCAGCGGTGCATGGTATGGTGTTGCGTTCAGAAGCGAGTGTGGGTGAGTGAATCGTGGGCGTGGGAAAAGAGAGTGTGGTCGTGTGGTCGCTGGGTTGTTTGCGTGCGACAAAGGTGAAGTCGCATTCGTGTTTCGTCCCTGGAAAGCGCTGCCGTCGACTCGTTGCTCCCTTACGCTTGGCGCCGGCTAAACTTGTCTCAGCCGGCCCGCCTCACATGCGCAACGACCCACTCCAGTGTTACTTACGAATTCAGGGCAATTTCTCGGAATTCGAACACAGCGACAATGGAATCATGCCTTAAGCTTCTGGCGTGGGAGAATTATTGAGTACCATGCAATGCCACACTGTTTGGACTCTCAGACAATCTTTGTTCACGCCTGAACTACCGCTCATCTCTGCCCTACGAAGAAGCATGGCATCCGAAGCACGACAAGAAGCGAAGAAGCAACTGCGCTCAGACATCAAGGAGCGTTTATCAGGGATAAGCGAGGCTTCAGTCACGGAGCAATCGAGGAAAGCACAAGATATTGTTCGCAAGCTTCCGCAGTACCAAGAAGCGAGCCGTGTTGGGATCTATCTCTCAATGCCAAAAGCCGAAGCACAGACTGACCTGCTCGTACGCGATGCCTTGCAAACTGGTAAAGCTGTCTTCGTGCCACACATTTATGCCGTCGGATCAGAGAGGCCCAAGCGAAAAGTCATGGATATGCTCCGTCTAGCCTCCTTGGACGAGTATGACGGCTTGGAGCGAGATGCCTGGGAAATTCCGAAGCTGTCACGGGAAGGGCGAGAGAGTAGAGAAAACGCCATGGGCGGCCTTGGGTTGTCGCTAAATACTGAGGACGGCTCGTCCAAGGAAATAGAGGGTGCGAGCGGGCTCGACCTGATTGTTGTGCCTGGAGTGGCGTTCGATCCGCAGATGAATAGAACGGGTCACGGAGCGGCGTTCTACGACACTTTTCTGACCAGGTTCTGCGAAGGAGACAAGCGGAGAAAGCCACATCTAGGTATGCATTTCCATCGCTTGTGCCAGAGCATTTCACACTGACCTCTGCCAGTCGGGCTGTGTCTTGCAGAACAAATATGCCCGTCCGGTCAATTGGTCATGCAGGACTGGGACTGGAAAGTAGACGCGGTTGCGGTGGGAGATGGAAGCTTGCTGACTTCAGAGAACATTCAATGAGCTTTTCGTATTGTTGCTAGTTGCATGCTCTGAATCACTCACATTCGCGCTTTCTCCATCTCAAGAAGAGCTCTGCACAGCGATGCTTGTGTTGGTGACTCCGTGGCAGTTCTCGCTGCAGTTTCCTCTTTTCCCAACGGACTTTTCGAATCTCAGCTTGTCCGCTTGGTCATCCTTCGTGACATGGTGTGGGTTCGAGTATCCCCCTAGAAGCGGTGTTCCTCCAGTCTGAAGTCTGTTCTCCTAGTCTAGGCTCTGGATGAGAGACACGTTGTCTCCCTTGAGCAGTATTTGACCTGGATTTCAGTCAGCACATCCACTCCCTGCGTCTCACCCATTTCAAACAATCCACTCACCCAACTGCCGTCTCTGGTCCTTCACATCTTCCGCCTTCTGGCCCTTTCCAGGCTGCTTCACCTCAACCGCGTCATCAATCACCAGATTCATGAACTCGTCGAAACCGCGAATCTTGCCCTCTATTCTGATCCCGACCTGCTCAAATAGCCAAATCGACACGGTGTTGTGCTGCTGGAGTAGCTTGAAGATGAAGTTGATAGGTGGGAGTAGGACTCTGCGCCCGCCGCCTCCGCCGCCGCGACCAGTCATGTTGGTTGTGTGGTGGTGATCGTCCTAGGTCCTGAAGGAGTCGCGTGCTTGTCGCGCAAGCTTTGACGCGGCTTTGGGAACGGTCGCGTGATTTTGATTGCTCGTGAACGTGGAGTTCGGGTTGGTAACCACAGTTTCAAGGTGACCAGGTGGTTGATGCGATGTTGCGCAGTCCGCTGGATGTGTGTAGCCGCCTTGAATTTGAGATCTCCAGGGCAAGGATGCTGCATTTAGAGTTTTGGAGACCGAAGCAGGGACGGCTCTACCCGCGATCCGGCCGACGGTAGTGGGGTGGCCTCCAACTTCTTTCATGTGTTTGGTCCGAAAACACATCCGCCAAACACTCCTCTCCAACTTTCCAGTTTGTCCTCTCACCCGCTATCCATTGCTATCACTCAAATGATTGAGCGGGCAGCGAACGGCGAGCGCGACTATTAGACACTATTCCCGACACCTTCCAAGCCGAAGCGCTCGACTATACACGAACAAACGGCCCAAAGCCCCATCGGCGAAGACGACTCGACTTCGCGCAGAGAACAGTTTTCAACACCTCCAAACAACGGCCAACTAAAGACAGCGAGAGTTGAACAGCGTGGTGGGAATCTGGGTGGGACAAATATTCGATCGTCAACATGGCGACGGCAGCAACGATGAACGGGTCACAGCAGGCTTTTGCGCCTGTACTCTCTGCGCTCGCGACCATGTCGAGCAACGTAGACCGATCGCAAAAGAGTCAGGCGCATACTTATTTGGAGCAGTTTCAGAAGTCTTCCGAAGCCTGGACCTCGACCTTTGCAATGTTACAATCCGCTCAGGCCACAGACGAGGCGAAGCTATTCGCAGCGACAACGTTGAAGGGAAAGGTATGGTAAGCTGAAAGCGCTACATACGTCAGGACTATACTGACTTCAGCAGATTGTATTCGACTTTCACCAACTACCCAAGGAGGCTTTACCGCAACTACGAGAAACTCTCCTCCAGGTTGTTGCGCAATATGCCAAAGGCCCAAAGCCCATACGCACACAATTATGTGTTTGCTTAGCCAACCTCGCGATTCTCATGCTGGATTGGAAGGATGTGCTGCAAATGGTGGTTACCACTTTGGGCAGTGATCAGGCAGGCATCTCATGCGTGCTTGAGTTCCTGCATGTGCTACCGGAGGAGGTAACAGAGGGACGAAAGATCAATCTGGCTGAAGACGAGTTAAGAGACCGACAAGTGGAGCTGCTCGAGCAGAATGGACAGCATGTCTTGCAATTGCTCGTTCAATACGCGCAATCGTCACCTGAGGCGCCAAAGAACCCCCAACTAATGGAGTGCATCACCTCCTGGATCAGAGAGGTGCCGTTGAACGACATTGTTAACTCACCGCTCATGGATGTGGTGATGACCGCAGTACAATCCGACGCATCTTTTGATGCTGCCGTGGAGACGCTCTGCGCCATTTTTAAGGAGACCCGAGAAGTCGACGAGAATATGGAGACCATCAAATCATTATATCCAAGGCTTGCGGCGCTCAAGCCCCGAATACAGAGTTGTGCGGATGAAGAAGATTGGGAGACTTTCAAGGGTGTCACTCGAGTCTTCGCAGAGGCAGGAGAGGCCTGGGTTGTCTTGATTGCGAGACAGCCTGTTGACTTCCGCGCTCTTGTTGAGTGCGTGCTCGAATGCTGTCTGCGCGACACAGACCGAGAAGCAGTCTCTCAGACTTTCAACTTTTGGTTCGAGCTCAAGCAATACATCACCCTTGAGCGATACATGGAGGCGCGGTTACAATATGTCGACGTCTATTCGACACTGGTCGACATCATGATCAAGCACCTTCAGTATCCACAGGCAGAAGGTGGAAACGAGGCTGATCTTTTTGATGGCGATCGTGAGGCGGAGGACCGATTCCGTGAATTCAGGCACCAGCTGGGCGACGTCTTAAAAGATTGCTGCGAAGTCATCGGAGTCACTGACTGCTTGCAGAAGAGCTATCTACTGGTCGAGAAGTGGGTTGCTCAGTATGCATCTCAAGCGAGCGCAGGCAATGTCCCGCACTGGCAGGAACTTGAGGCTCCTCTCTTCAGCATGCGCGCGATGGGACGACAAGTTCCACCGGACGAAAACATTATGCTACCACGGCTGATTCCACTCATCGTCCAGATTCCAGACCAAGAGAAGGTACGCTTCCAAGCAGTCATGGCTCTAGGGCGATACACCGAATGGACTGCGCAGCATCCCGATAGCCTCCAAGATCAGCTCAACTTCATCATGGCATCATTCCAGCATCCTTCGAAAGAGGTTGTTCGCGCAGCTGCTCTTAGCTTCAAATTCTTTTGCAACGATTGCGCAGATCTCCTGAAGGGCTATATGCCGCAGCTCCAGCAGTTCTACGAGGCCAATCTGGACAAGCTACCTACGACAAGTCAAGAAGAAACGACCGAAGGAGTTGCGTCTGTTCTGGCCAAGCAGCCACTGGATACCTTGTACCAGTCATTGAAGCTTTGTTGCGACCCGATTGTCAAACGGTTAATGAGCATGGCTCAAGCTGCGACGGAGAAGGAGCAGAAGCTTGCCATCGCCGACCACCTCAACCTCCTCACCGTCTTCGTCCAATGGGTGACGCCTTACGTGGAACCTGCCAAAGAGCATCCTGCAGTGCAGTACTGCGCTGAGATCTTTGGTACACTGGCGACCATCTGCGAGCACTTCATCAACTTCGTTCCCATCGTTGAACGGGTCTGCAGGTGTTGGCGGTACATGGTCCTGTCGTACCGAATCCACACAGCGCCAATGCTGCCGCAGCTCGCAGACAAGCTCTCTTCAGGTTTCACGGCGAGCAGACAGGGCTGTTTCTTGTGGGCGACTGACAGTATAGTGCGCGAATTCTCAGACGTCTCCGAGTATGTCTCCCGTGAGGTCACTGATCAAATCTATGTGTTCTACGAACAACAAGCGACGGCGTTCCTGCGCGCCCTGAATGATCTACCTCCCGAAGACCTACCCGATGTGATCGAGGACTTCTTCCGGCTCACTACGGACGTGTTGCTGTACCATCCCAACAAGATCGTGGCTTCCGAACTCATGCCATCTATTCTCTCGGCTGCATCGACTTCGTTGACGCTACTGAAGGAGGAGCCTCTCATTGCCACGCTGCATTTCCTGCGTGATTTCCTCGCATATGGAGGTGAAAATGCACCCTCATCAACGTTTGATGCCCATGATGGGACTTACAACAACCGACCGAATCCTCCTCAGATCCAGAATACCGTCAAGCAGCTTGTTGCAGACGAAGGCGAGAATATCGTGCAACGCTGCATGACCGGCATGATGTACACCTTCCCGCCGGACTGTTTCCCCGACGCTTCTGGAGTTTTGCTGGCCATGTTCCAGCTCATGCCGACTCAGGTTGCTCAGTGGACTGGCAAGACAGTGTCCATGTTGCCGCAAGGAAGCATTGCACCACAGGAGCAGGAGCGGTTACTGCGGAACATTCAGCAGCGCATCGATGGTGGAGAACTCCGCAAGATCAGAGGTCTACTGCAGGATTTCACAAATAGCTATCGTCGGAGAAACGTAGCGCCGCGTGAGGGACTGGGACGGTTGGAGGCGACGAGATTCAGGTTCTCGGGGTGATTGAAGTTGAAGTGAGGTATCGAGATGTAGAACGTACAGGACACGCGAGAATGGGGTGGCTGGAGTCTAGGCGGCATGAGCGAATGAAGAAGCATGAGGTACGAGTGACAATTTGCAAGACGATTATAGCGTATGGAAAAAGAAAAGCTTGTGTGCATTTTTTGTGGCTGGGCTGGTGCTATTGCATTTGATACCTCGCTGGCGGAGATCGCATTGCATTTCATGGCAGCCAAATGTGCCTGGAGGAGGATATCCACGAGCGCGGTTGAGGGTCAGAGGATCCTTGTGCTGTTATAGATTAGAGAAGGAGTTCAGAATGAGCTCAGGTGAATATCGCCGGGATATGGAATAGTTATAAGCTGGTTAACGCATCTTTATGAGCAGGGAATAAGCTCATATCAATGAATTCACATCACGGTATCTTGTGTAGTGGAGATTCCTCCTTCAACGAAACGGGCTATGCAACACGGGCTCACAGAGAATGGCATCGCAGCAGAGCAGCGTTTCTATCCCTTTTGAGATGATCTGACGGAATATCAGGTCAATTATTATACCATTCGTCATCATAAACTTCCTCAAAACTAACATCCCTCATCGCCTGCTTTCCACCTCCAGTATCCAGCTACCAGATCAGGAAGATGGCATTGTGCATACAAAAGCCCCCCCCCCCCCCACCAGCAATATGAGAGAGTGAGAGTGAGCGCAACAATTGTAGTCGATCTCTCCCAAATGTCATGTCATATGCAGGTCCAAGTTTCAACAATGACGGTCCGCTAGAGAGAGAACTAGCGCGAAGCACATGTCGTCTGCCCATCCATCCACACCTTCTCCCTCTCACAGCACCTCGTCCCGGTCATTGTGTGCACTTTCTCTCGCAGAATGCTCAACGTAGATTATGGATTCAAAGTCTACAGGCACGCGAAGCAAGTGCTGTTTGTCGTGTACAACCTCTCACACAGTCCTGTACTCCTTTTTTCTCCTTGACAGCCGATATATATAGCCTACCTTTACCCAGATGCAATCCATTAGCAACGTCCAAAACCCAATCAAACCCTACCTTACCTTACCCTACCTACATCCATTCATTCCCTTTCTGCGCGATTTAGAATCGAGAGAGTACCAAAAAAAAAAAAAAAGTAACAACGGCGAGAAACAAACCAACATCTTCTTTACACACAACAATTCTCATCACAAATTCTACGCACGCATCTAACTAGATAATGACTTCGTACAAATAAATAAGGTGATCGCCCACAGAAATCCAGCAGCCATCGCTGGCCCAGCAGAGTAGTAGATAGTAGGGCTCACATAACACACCAGTACCACCACCAGTAAAAGTAACTAAGTAAGAATACTTATGAAAAGAAAAAAAAAACTCCATCCACTATGATTGATCGATCCGATCGGATGGATCCCCCTTCCATTCCATTTGCACCCGCCGCCCACAAAACCTCCCTCCCAACTGAACCAACCAACCAACTGAACCAACCAGCCAGGCTTCTCCAACACCGACTTATAGCAAAGAGGGTGAGGAAACAAGAAGAGCCGCACGCGGAAGGAGGGGGCAAAACATTTTGCGATCCTCTTCATAAAATGCGCAAAGTAACTCATCCGTATTGTTTGTCTTTTCGCCGTCAAGATGCGCCAAAAAAAAAAAAAAAAAAAATTTCGGCCAGGCAAAAAGCTTCCAGAGGAACCTCCCAAAAAACACACACACACACACACACACACACAGGCAGACAGGCAAAAAATCCAGAATGATCCCACCCAAGACGAGGATGTGAAGAGGATGATGACTTCCAGAAGTATCTTCCTGCGTTTCTTCTTCTTCTTCTTCCTGCCATCCCCACCCCAAAAAAGAAGCGCCAAAACATCCCAGAATCACACACGCGCGCGCGAAGGGTATCCCATGAGTATCATCCATCCCAACCGTCAATCCATCCGTCATACCGCACTGCTGTAGCTTTCTGCATCTCCCCTTCCCTCCTCCTCTCCGCTCGTGTCAACCCACAACAAGTCGGAAGCCCCCTTGCTTTACGAATCGGCAGCCCGGACCGCCAACGTAAGTTTTGCGTTCCTCTCCACCGCAATATCCAAGTCCTCATCACCTTCCAGACGATAGTACTCGCCATCCTTCTCATCCCGATATTCTATATCGAGCTCCTCGTCGTTCTGATCTTGCGCCTTGTATTCCAGCCTTCGCCTTTCCACAATCTTGCGGCGCAAATCTTCAAATGAGAATTGTCCTCGGGCCGGCATCCGGATCACGACGCATGTGTCTCGGTCAAACCAGGCTTTTACTTTCACAGGTCCAGTCGTGCCGTTGGAGCCCGTGGTCGTGCTGGTCATAGACCTTTGCGCTGTTGGCATACCGCCGGCGTTGGGTGGTGATTGTGAGGTGAAACTGTTACTGGCTTGTGAAGGCTGCGCCCTTTGGTGACCAGGTGGCCCGCTTGAGCTTTGGGACTGGTTGTACTGGTGTGATGCGCCATTCGGGGGACCTCTCGGCTGTCCAGGCTGTTGGAAGGGCTGATTCTGGTACGACCCTTGCGAGGAAGCTGCCGAATACCGCTCTCTTCCACTCGAAGGTGCAGGTCGTGCATGCTCGTTCAGGTCCACCGCCGCCGCCGGATCCACTTCATAATCTCCCTCTCGTGGTGCGAAGAAATTTCGAACCAGCGAAGAGCACACAATATGCTGTGGCAATCGCAGAAGGTCGCGCAAGTACTCGTCCAGATTCGCTCTTCGTCCCTCGGTGATGTTATCGGTTACGTACTTGACGGGTCCGGGCATGTAAGGCAGTATCCGCTGTTTTCCGGCGACTTGGCCTGCCTCTTCAGGGAATGCATTTATCAGATTGATCTGCAGCTCGTAAAAGTCCTCATATATACGGGACAGGTCCCAGTGCGTCTCGTTCGAAAGCTTGCATTCCACCACAAATTGGAACTTCTCGTCTCCGAAAACGTACCTCGGTACGGATGCTCGCACCGGCGCAAAGAGGTTTTGCTGCTGCTGCGTTTGAAAGGAGTTGCTCGGTGGTGTTTGTTGTTGTTGTCCATTCGCCTGACCGTTCTGCAGGCTGAGTCGGTCGATTCCTTGTGGCAGGCTGCCCACTCCAGAAGTCGACACAGTGCCGAGAGGAATGCTCGTGTTCTTATATTCCGCAGCCATCTTCTTCCACTCCTCGACTCTCGGTATACCGGCGGCCTGTACTGCCGTGATGGGGTCTTCCACAGCCTTTCCCGTTGTCATATCCCGGATCTCAATAAATGAGACCGGGATCAACCCCGGGCCGCCAAGCCGCGTAATGGGCTTGGCCACGAACCACTCCGGATTCGACTGTGCGATTACGATAATGGCCTCACCCTCTTTCGCATCCAGCTCATCTTGCCTCTCAGCATGGAAATCATATGACACGATGCCGTAGATGCCGCCGGATTGCTTTGTCAGAGATCTCGTCGGTCGGTGTCCGGCCATGCCGGGCATGCCAGGCGGGCCGGCTGCGCTCATTCGCGGCGCAGAGGTGGTGGCGTTGGGAGGGGTTGAGCCCTCGGCATAACCGCTGTCGTGTGTGGTACTCGTGATTGACTTGGAGGAGTCGCCGCTGTCGCGCACCGTCTTGCCCACGTTCTCAAAGTATTTCACCGGCACCAATCCACGCTCATTCCGCAGGGGGTTGCACGCCTCGTACCAGTCCGTATCTTGTTCGCGGCCTACGACGTGAAGGAAATCGCCGGCGGAGAAGGAGAGGTACATGTCGGAGTCGGCGGGGGCAGTGTGGTCGTATATAGCCTTGATGACCTGGGAACACAAGTGGGTCAGTCTCTCTCCATGTCTTAGACTCGAGGCGGTGAGCGTACTTTCTTCGGCGGCTCGATCGCTATGGCGTCCTTCTGGGCCACGGAGACCTGCACGGGCTTGGCCGAGTCGTGCTTGTCGCTCTTCATGGACCGTCGAAACTTGTACATGTTAGTGGATTTCCCCGATGCGACCGGTGTATGGTGTGCGCTTGGGCTGCTCACCTTCATGGCGACGGTGGTGGTGTTGTGGTGGAGTAAGTGCGGCAGTTGGGTCGAGGTGCCTCAGGCGCGCAGGTGGGGCAAGGGGAATTCGCTCGTTTCCGAGTGAAGTGGATGAGCGGGGCGAGGGTCGGCACGTGAAAGAGAAGAGGTGAGTGAATGCGAGATGCGAGCGCGGAGGGCGATGCACGATCAGATCTGAATGCGCTCGGTGGGGAAGGAGGGAGGCAACGGAGGAGGCAGGTGCGCGGGGCGTGTGCGTGTGGCAGCGCGGTGGGCGTGGAAGGTGGAGGTCAGGTTTGTTTGTTGCGTGCGTGCGTGCGTGCGGTTGGTGGGTGGCAGTCGCGTGGCACGTGGCGAGGTAGATGTGTGCGCGGCAACAAAGAAATCGTCGTGGAGGCGAGTCGAGTCGAGTCGTAGGCGGATGATGAATGGCGAGTCGAGTCGAGTCGAGTCGAGCAGAGCGCAGTGTCGCTGCAGTAGTGACCGGGTGGGTGGTGTCGGTGGTGGTGGCAGTGGCAGTGGTGATGAGTCGTGTGCGCGCGCGCAGTGTGCTGCCCTTTCCTCTCCCACTCTACCTTACTCTCGGCGACGGGCTTGTCTGTGCTCTGGGCCCTCCGAAGCGCAGCCAACCTTCTTTCTGCCCCCGCCGAAACAAGCGATGATGGATGTCTGCCGACTCTTGCTAGCCTTTAGCCTTGGTCTGCTTCTCACGCTGGGCAAGCCTGCCACGAGGCACTTCGGCGCCAGAGCCCAACAATCAGATCCCGACCAGCAGATCCCAACAATGCGTGCCAGGGTCCGGGAGATGGCACGCTTGGCGGGTGCTGGTGCGGTGCGGTGCGGTGCTAAAAATGTCACGGAGCGCGCGGGCGGGCGGGCGGAGAGGGTAGTGGTAGTAGAAGGGACAGGTGTGTGATGATGGGGAGAGAAGTTTTTTGACAGCAGCAAGGACACGCAATAATAATATGTGTATCGACCGACGACATGTCGTGTCGTGTCGTGTCGTGTCGTGTCGTGTGGTGCGAAAAAAAAAGCTGCAGCGGGCGAAAAGGGAAAACGGCCGCGCATCCAAGCAATGGAATGCACCGCAGCTGTGAATGCAGCACTGCGCAAGGCTGCGCTGCGTCCCACTCCTCACGTCTCCCCGTCCCTCCTGATTCGTCCCGCATGCGCGAATCACAGACGCCTGACAACCGCCGCAACGGTAGCAGGTCTTGATATTGCCGGCTACATGTACACAACCACCACTCCAAAGTCCAGCATCTCTCGTGTCGGCTACTATTTCGACAGAACCGAGCGAGTCTGTCATCATATCCGATATGCTTTTCCACCACCTCGCACCATCCGTGATCCTCTCCTTCCCCACAACTCACCATCTTCTCACACACTCCCAACCGGGAACATCGCTTCTCCAGACCAGTCACCCGGTTTCATCGCACCAACAATACCTTACCGGCCGTGTCTTGACTCTTGAGAGGCAGGAAACGTCACCGGGCGCCGGGGGTCGAAGGCTGCATGAACGCGACCGACCACATGCAGGCACAGCTCCACGGAGAACCCATACAAGGACAGACTACACAGGCAGGTATCGGGTATCAGGTCTCACAGACACATCATCACTCGGAGCCTCGACTCTTTGCCGCCGGTCACGCGGTATCCATGGCCTTCTCACTTTGGACCGTCGACCATTTCAAATGTACATCTTCTCCGTCCCACACGCACAACAGCCTTGGATCTTCTCTTCTCCCAGTGCGGCGCATCGGATAGACGCATCCACCTTCTGCATCTCCGTGATAAAAGGGCATGCTTTGCGTCTCTCCTGTTCTACGTAATACTCACAACCCATCCACACGCCCCACCATCGACTCGGCTTGCGCGAATCATGGAGCATGCGACGTCTAGGCTTTCAGAGAAAGAAAACATCGCGATTCGGGAGACTGCGTGGCCGCATTGCATCGCTACGTGAAGTGTCTGCTGCCTCGCCCCTCCCTGTCCTCGCCATCTCCCCCACGGCCATAGTCAAAACATGCGAGCCGTCATCTCCCTCTCCCTGACTCCCTCCCAGGCCAATGCCTTTTCCCTTGCTCCGCCAAAGCTGCCCCATGCCGAGTAGATGCTGTAGATGCGTCAAAGAAGTGCTCCAGAGATGCTGGAGCAGATATGTCGAAATGTAAAACACGTGGAACCAATGCTGAACTCCCTGGATTGGCTCCATCCCTCCTCCTCGCCCCCAGAATGCAACCGCGGAAGCGAAGTCAGTGGTATAGCTCGGCCAATGCAACGAGTAAGAGAAGGTGTAAAGGTTGTGGGAGTCGGGGGAGGTATCATATCTGTCCTTTGATGTCCACCGAGCCAAAGGCTGCCTTCTTGGCGTCTTCGAAGATGTTGCCAGCTTTGCCGGTCAACACACGGATGTCGTCGTCCTTGGGTTGTATCAGTCGGTCGCCGCTATACCGCGCTACGAAGTCGAGGCACGCCTGATGTACATCGCCTTCGAACAGCTCCGCTTCCTCGCACTCAAAAGCGAGCTCCTGGGTAAGGAAGAGGCTGCTGACGTCGGGTTTGTATCTGCAACGTCGTCAGCAAGCATCCATCTTCTACATGCAAACGCAACAGCACTTACGCTCGGCACATTGCCGCCATTGCTCCCAGACGCTCCCGCTCAATGAACATGTCCATTAGGTAAGGAACCATGTTGCGGTTCTGCGACTGGCTGTAGAGCTGGAAGAATCTGTGATAGTTGCCCGAGGCCAAGGCTGCCCGCACCTTGAGTGCGAGCTGCACGAAGCTGCCCTTCTTGTCTGCTGTAGTTAGATCCGCCAACATGTTGTTCATGTCGGCCCGGCTGCGCGTATAAATCAAATACAGAATGCGATACGCGGTGAACTCATCCTGCCTGCCTCCACTGGTGCCATTCTCGCCCAATTTCAATCGGTACAACGCGCGGAGCTGCGTCTGACATTGATTGTACTCACCCAGGTCCTTCATCTCTAGTGCGATACGAGCGTGCATCTCGTATACTCGGATGGTGAATGGCGTTTTGATGCGTTGGACCGTGAGATCCTGACGCACAGACTTCAGCTGATCACAGACATACGTGTAGTCATGCTCCTCTTTCCATTTCTTCAGGATAGCCTCAAGTGCCTTCTCCAGTACGGCCGGCGGCCGGACGGTGCTGGGGTTGGGCGGTGCAGTCAATCTGAAATAGCTCTTTTCGAGAATCTGGCAAGTTCCGATGATCGGTCCAGCGTCGACATTGGCAGCTGGAGATTGGTCACGAGAAGAATGAAGAAAGGGGGATGGTTCAGGAGAAACGTGACCAAAACGTTGCCTCCGCCTCTCGAGTGCGTCCGAGCTGGTATCGAACCAACTGCCTTGCGCGGTGCCGTTCTCCTTGCGCTTCTTATCCTGGTCCTTACTCTTGCCGGTGATACGATCTGCTAGGCTCTTGGTGTTCTTCTTTTTCCACGGCGGGGTGACAGGCATCTCTCCGCTGCATTCTACTTCCTGGTCGGGGGACTTCCGTTTTCTGGAGTTTGAGCCGGGAGAAAGTGTGTGATTTGGGGTGGAATCCGATGATGCATTGATGTTAGCTAGGATGGCGTCTTGCTCTACTCGCAAGGCCGTGTTTGAACGCTCTTGAAGAAGCAATTCGTGTGGTAACGGGAAAAGCGACCAGTCTCTCGCGTATGCAGACCCGTCTGCGGCTGAGTTGTTGACTATGCTTGACAATTTGTCCCGGACGTGGTCATCGTTGATGCCCGCACAGGCTGGTGTACCCTTGATTTTATTAAACTCAAAGAACGCGCGCTGAACGTAATCAACGACTTCTGGCTGGAAATCCGTCTTGGTCGGAGCAGGCGCCGGCTCTTTCATGAGTGTGCGCCGTGCCGCGACGGGCGTGAATGCGGGTTGTGCTGGCATGGTTGGCACAGCCGGAGGAAATGCGACCGGAATTCGACGGACCTCGACGTGTGGCGGGCGCGCAGTTACGATGGAGGGAAATGGGGAAGACGAGGGAGAAGCGTATTTGCGGAGGTCCTTGTGAGAGCTGTCGTGCAAAGCTGGGATCGAGTGTCTCTGCGAAGAAGTTTTGTACCGTGCAGGAGGAGAAGGAAGGAAAAGGTGGTGGAAGTGAGGACGCTTTGACGCACGAGCCGCGTGACTATCCTTGCACTCACGTGACTCTTGGCACCACCGTCGGCTTCGGGTTGCCGTAGGCATTCGCCTTCGATATGGGAATTCGACATTGATAGGAATCACCCAGAAACATATTATAGCAACCACACCGCTGCTCTCGTATATCATCGCAGGGAACACTTCCATCGAACAAGCCTCCAAAGAATATACGCAGCCACCACGACCGCGACGAGCACCTCCCCCGTCTACGCGATAACGACCACTATTGTCTCCATGTCTGCGAATGTTTCTCCGCCAGCTGGATCTGACTACCGCGCTACGGCCATCTCTGTATCATGATGAGTCTTTACTGTTTGTACAGGACGGTGTGGGGCTATATGAGGGAAAATACAAGATTGAAAATCATCAGAACGGTCACGCCTACTTGACTTCACACCGCGTATGCTACGTCGACAACGAGGAGCCAAGAAAGTACTCTGTTGCGGTAGATTTGAAAGAAATCGATCGAAGCGAGTTCTACGCCGGTTTCTTGAAGTCGTCGCCAAAGGTCACCCTCTTCCCCAAAGCTACCAAGAAGCCGATCCCGGGTATCAAGAGCCCAGTCCCTCGCTATGCGACACCAAGCGATGCATTGGTTGGCGGGCCTGCATCTGCACATCGTTCAACAGCTCAGTCCCCGGCGCTAGTGAGAGATCTGCACGCGACATGGGTCTGCACCATCTGTGGTTTCTCGAATTCAGTACCTACCAATTTTGATCCGTCGACGGCGAACCAACATACGCCTCTTCCACCTTGCCAAGCATGTGGCATTAAGCCCGAGCTTGTTCACATGGTCAAGGCAGCGATTGCAGCAATGTCTAATCGACCTAGTGGTGCTACAGCAACTGCACCGCCTACCCAGCGGGATGTATCGGAAATCGTTACTGGCCATGGAACGTCTGATCAAACACAGCAGTCGCCCGTGCCACCAGGGCAGTGTCCAAGGTGCACATTTCAGAATTATCCGTCCCTCACAGCTTGTGAAGTTTGTGGGGCACCACTACCGGGTACGGCAGAAAAACGCTCGCATCTCATTGACAGAGCTGGACAGCGATCTGAATCGCCTGGTCCCACTCTTGGCGGGTACAGTATTGTCGGCGATGACAAAATCGAGACAATCAAGTTCTCGTTTCGAACGGGCGGAGCGCAGACGTTTCTGGACAAGCTCAAAAGTGCACTTACCCAGCGCAAATGGCTTCTCCAAAGTGCACCACCGGTACCAAGACCAACGGCTACTCCTCCGCATTTGAGCGGATCCCCAAGGCCTTCGAACGGCATGTCACCAACTCCAAGCACTCCTCAACGAGTCGTCGGCATAGCTGGCCTCGAGCAGCGAGGGGCCGAGCTGCGACAGAACAACCAGGCTGTCATTGGAACTGCATTTGAAGATCTCGAAGCTCTCATGACATCTGCGAAAGAAGTAATTAAGATGGCCGAGCAGTTTGCTGACAATTCAAATGGCGGCGCGGATGGTGACTCGGACGCGAGAAGACTGCTATCGGATTCGGCATCGGCCTTGGGGTTGGTGACTACCAAAGACATGCTGGGATCTGGATCATCTGCAGAGCAGCTTTACGTGACTGAGCTCTCGCGAGATCTGGCCGAATTTCTGACCGACGACAGGAAAGGCGTCTTACGTAAGGAGGGCGGGATCATGTCACTTGTAGACCTTTGGCAGGTCTTTAACCGGACTCGCAACGGCATCGAGCTGGTTTCCCCGTTGGATTTTGAAAAGGCCGCCAAAATGTGGGACGCCCTGAACCTTCCTGTGCGACTACGACGTTTCAAGAGCGGTCTTCTCGTTGTCCAGGAAAGAAGTAGGACCGACGAGAAGACCGTATCAAGCTTACTGAGCTGGGTACGCGAGAATTACAACAAGAATCTGTTGCCTGCCAGTCCCGAGTTTGGGCACGGCGTAACAGCCCAAGAGGCCGCAGAGCGCTTCGGCTGGAGTGTTGGTGTTGCGACCGAGGAGCTGGAAATGGCAGAAGAGACAGGAGCATTGTGTCGGGATCAATGCCTAGATGGGACGCGATTCTGGGAGAATCATTTTGCTCAAATTTCCCCAGAGAGCTTGAAGGCCGTCACCTGAGCATTGGTCTATCCATTGCGTGCGAAGATCGAGAGCGCTACTGGAATCTCGACCAGCTCATGCCTTCTTCAGAGACTATACATCAAGCCGTACCGCTCTTTAGCGCAGCGCTTGGAAGAGCATTAGCCAGTCTTCATGCCCTGATGCAAGGACACAATTCCATCGTACGAGATACTGCAAACACCGAGGAGAGCAGCCCAGTGCCTCTGCCAGCCATTGGTCGCGCAACATGCAGCGTTCTCGCGGCACCTGTCACAAGGAACGAGCCAGATCTGAGGTTTGTGCTAGAGCATGCGGTGATTACGAGCCTCTCACGATATTTACTCCTCCACCGAGGCTTGTCGTCTGCATCCCCACGCGCAACTTGGCTTTAAGCTTTGAACTACCACTTCGCAAACGTGATGGGATTGATGGCCCCTTGAATAAAGAATAACCGTGATTGGCCCGACTGGGATAGTACAGATAGTGTGTGTGTGTGTGTGGAGTCTGTGGCTACCGGGTCCAGCAATTTTCTCCTTTCTGCGAACTGGTTCACGCGGGCAACGATCCATGGATGGCCTTGGAACCAAGGCCGCGGTTGCCAATGCAACTTCCTGCAATGTGATTTCTACCGATATAACGTTCGACAGTCGACAAGAAATACATCTAATCTCCAGCAGCACTTTATTGGGTTTCTTGAACAGTTTGGTCTCGCCCTAAACAGCCTCCAAGATGCAGGTGCCGGCACCTTGGATACTGGCCTTGGCTGCTGCCGTATCGGCGACACCCCTTATCGACGAGCGGCAGCAACTCAGCTATGAATACATCGCAAGCGATTGGGAAAACATCGCTCAGATCACTGGTGACTCTTCTTGGTCTTCGTCCAACATGCGGCAGTATCTTCAAAAAGTGTATTAGTGGCAGCCCACGGCTCCAACAGATCCTGGTCTCCTATCGAACGACAACATGTTGGTCCAACATCGTGCTGGTGGCGCAGCTGTCGTAAGGCTTGGCCCAGATCCTCTGGTCGCGATGATAGGGACAGACTCCGCTGGTTGACCCCAACAATACGCCTGGGCGTGATAGTTTACAGGGCTTCTATCAAATAGCTTTGGTTCAGGTAGGTATTCACAGGTCCCGTGTATTGACATTACTGACATGAGTACAGCAAGGCGGTAGTTGCTACACGATACAGACCATAGGATCAGCGGCATTGGCACGGCTTAGGAGCTGCAAAGCCTTGGCATCAAAGTCATCAATGACAGTCCTGGTTCTGGGTCTTAGCGATCGGTGCGGATAGTGACCCCATGGCGGTGTTGGACAGCAAATTCCGGGTGAGGGGTGTCAATGAGCTGAAAGTTGTGGACGCGTGCATCTTCCCCAAGGGTTCGGATCTGTCTATACAGGCTCCCATTTTCGTGATCAGCGAGAATGCTGCGGATGTCATGTTGAACGGCTAGTACGGCAGGTGTTTGAAGATTAGCGATGGAGAAACAGGACTACGTTCAGCTAGACAAGAAACCACTACATGCACAGGGTGACAACTACCTCAAAATTCTTGATGATTCATTCAGAACTAAAGGGCTTTTCATCATGATCTCAAACCTGGTTTTTTTTTTTGGCCAGCATTCACTTCAAGTGATGGCGCTTGGGCCAATTAAAGTGGGTCCGCATGTGCCCCGCCGGGCCGCTGGCTAAGGTACCTAAATGATCGGACCTTTGAACCTCGATCACATCGCTATCAACAGCGCACCACCTCTCTTGCATTCAATCGCGGCATCACAATCCCGTTGGACGAAATGACGGATGCACAACAGCTAATCGACTACGTGCGTTCCTACTTACCACTCCACGCTCTCGACAGCTGAGAGCTCCTGCTAACCCGCAAACCCATCAGGCCCGCAACCAATTCAACGAAATCGCCGCCGACGTAGAACGACACTTCGACCTCGTAGCCGGAAACCTCCGCGAACGATTCGCGAAACCACTAGGCGTCGCTCCTCCCCCTCGTCGCTTACCGTCTCCTACCACATTCCAGGTCGTCCAGCGATGGATCCATCGACATAAAGCTCTTACGGCTGCTATTGTGGCCTTTTTCGTTACAGGATCTCTAGGGACGTTGGTGTATGTTTGGGGCAAAGATGCGAAGAGGAAGAGAAGAGCAAGGAAATCTGCTAGCGGCGCAAGGACGGATGTGGTGATTATCGCGGGTGCGGTCGCGAATCCACTTACCAGTGCGCTATACTTGGATCTGGAAAGGAGGGGGTTTGTGGTATATGTTGTTGCGAATACGGCGGAAGATGAGTACTATATCCGCTCGCAGAGTCGTGCGGATCTGCTTCCTTTGCCGCTGAACATGGTGGATCCGTTCACGGCGCAACAGCAGCGATCCCAGTTGCAGCATTACCTGGCAAAGGAACACCATGCTTTCGAAAGAGCTGAGCCACATAGAATGCGTCTGGCGGGATTGATCTTGGTTCCGGATACGCAGAGTGCGCCGGCGAAAGTCGAGGATATCAGTTCCGAGGAGTGGAGCGACGCGTTGAATGCGAAGGTGCTGAATACGATCGCAACGACACAATTACTGCTACCCATCGTCATCGAGCACAAGGCGAGAGTCCTACTCTTAACGCCATCGATGACGCCCGCGATCCGGCCGCCAACGCACGCGATGGAGAGCACTGTGTTTGGAGCTCTACAGGGCTTCAGCACATCGCTCGCGGCTGAACTCAAGCAGGAGGGAGTGTCAGTGTCACACCTCAAGCTTGGACATATCGACGTTCCAGCGAACAGACACCGGCGCAATGGAATGCCAGCACCTCGACTGAAGCCCACTCCCGTTCGAAGACTACACGATACCGTCTTCGACACACTGGTTACCAAGCGACCTCGGAGGACTTACTATGTTGGCCGCGGAAGCTTCACCTACGATGTGATTGGCAGCATTCTACCTCCCGATTTTGTTGCCTGGATGATGGGGGTGGGTAGGAAGCCGGCGATGGCAAAGCAGGCGAGCGAGGAAGATATGCATGGCAGTGCGGGCAGCTTGACTTGGGAGAAGATTGATGCTTGAGGGTTTCTGCTGCATCATGCCGGGTTTGGTATATGAAATCATGACTCTTTGGGCGCTTTTGGGAACGATACCCGACTCTTCTCTGTTGACAAGCTGAACCGATGATCTCCATTACGATTTGAAATCCGACAGAATTCCGGACTTGTGACGAATTCTTGTTCTGTACATCCATAGGCTGTCGATATCTACAATGTCTTGATCAAGAGAGCCCTTGGTACGTACTCGCCAGTCTTCCTTCTGACCAGACTCCACGTAGATTCAGGGTATGATCGATCTCCTCCAAGGGATTCCCCTCAACGAGCACCAGATCCGCCCTCAAACCCTCCTTGACCAGCCCTCGATCGGTAAACCCAAACCTCTTCGCGGGCAGCGCAGTCGCCGCCCTCAACGCCTCTTCGGGCGTGAAACCACACTGCTCCACAAACAGAGAGAGTTCCTGATGCGCCGTCAACCCCCAAGCAGTCCCCACGGCCGGACCCGCCGCATCCGAGCCCATGAGAATCGTCACCCCAGCCCTCTTCAACCGTCGAACGGTCTCAAAGGCATGCTCGCATGTGGCACCGGAGGTTTGCGCGAATTGCATGCACAGGCACATACTCGCCTTGGACTTGCCGTCCAGGAGATGCTGCACGCGCGGGTCGTGGGCGTATTTCTCCTGCGTGGCTCGCCCTTCCGTCGTGCCCGAGCCCATGCATGCCAAGGTGGGATTGCAGTGGGCGTCGTTCTTTTTGTAGGCTGCGATGAGTTCCGGGGTGGGTGGCTGGTCGATGAAGGTGTGTGTCAGGCCGTCGACGCCCGCGTGCAGGACTTCCAGTGTGTCCGGGAGACAGGTGGCGTGCGCGACGACGAGGAGGTTGTTCCTGTGCGCTTCTGCGATCACGGCGCGCTGGAGTTCCAGGGTTGGCTTGGGGAATTTCTGGCCCATGACGGTGCCGGACTCGTGCATGAGCTTGATGTAATCTACTCCTTCTGCCACGCGGTCTTGTACATATTGGCGTCCGCTGTGGGCGTCGGTCAATTTGGGCCAGGTGGCGATTTCGGCTCTGTTCTTTGCACATTGGTCAGTATAAATTTATCTCTCCTTCCACCTGTTAGGATGGTCTACCTCGGGCGTATCCGCATGCATCAAGACGATCGGCGCCGGCCATCCACCGTCAATGGTCGCAGCAAAGCTCGTCGTCTTGACATCGGCACAGTCACCGCCTTCTCGCTGCCTTCTCAATTTCTGGATATTGTACCATTCATTGTGCATGTCGCACACCGTCGTCACACCAAACCGCAAGCTCTGAGGCAGCGCGACTTCATTGCCGCTGTCCGCATGGATATGGGTGTCGATCATTCCCGGAAAGAGAGTGTGTCCAGGCTTGGAATACGTCTTCCCATCAAATGCAACGGGGCCGGAGGAGACCTGGGAGATGTTGCCGTCTTCCACCAGCACGGAGCCATTGTCGATGGTCTTCTCGCCGTCGAAGATCCGGACGTCTTGGATCAGGAAGGAAGCCATCCTGGAAGGTGAGATGGTGCAAGAAGACGAGCTCTTCTTACAGTATTAGTGGAAGAAGAATGTGGCTCTATCATACTTTCGGCTGCTGCATGCTGCAAATACGCTCGTCATATCGACTGCTGTTGTACTCCCATGCGCCGCCCCTCGCTTGGAATGCTGCTCATCCACCACCCCGGTCAGACTTGAAGTGCACAACCTCACCTTTGCATCCACCGGCAGCGGGTATCCGCGTCAACGGGACGACCTGCATCATCCGCGAAACAGGTGAGTGGAATCCACCGAGACCAACAGACTTTCGGACCAACCGGAAAGTACACCTCCTCCATCTCTCCCTCCTCCCCCTGGCTCTGTTCCCCATCTCTGTCCGTCCCCATTCGCAAGGACCGTATCAACATCATGGCCTCCCAAATGCCCCACAAGATCGATGTCCACTCTCACTTCCTTCCGCCATTCTATCAAGAAGCCTGCCGCCGGAGTGGCCACGCAAACCCAGACGGAATGCCCTATCTCCCCGACTGGAGCCCCGAACAACATCTCGAACTCATGGACACCCTCGGCATCTCCAAGTCCATCCTCTCCATTTCCTCCCCGGGAACCCACTTGGTCCCCGGCAACGACGAATCAGGCCGCAAACTGGCCCGAGACTGCAATGCCTACGCAGCAGATCTCAAATCTCGAACGCCCGACCGCTTTGGCTATTTCGCCTCGCTCCCCATTCCCGATGTCCAAGGCTGTCTGGAGGAGATGGCGCGAGCGTCCGCGGAGGGTTGCGACGGTTTCGTCCTCGAGACCAATTGTCACGGCCACTATCTCGGCGACGAGCTCTTCGACCCCATCTTCGATGAGCTGAATCTTCGACGGGCTTTGCTTTTCATCCATCCGACAACGCCCATGTGTCCTTGCTCGGCGGAGGAGCTGGCGGCCGGGAGACAACCCACCACGGCTGCGCCCTTCCATGGCAGGCTACCCAATCCGATGCTGGAATTCTTCTTCGACACGGCGCGCGTGGTCAGCAACTTGTTCATGTCGGGGACCATGAGACGATGTCCCGACCTTAAGATCATCTTGCCTCACTTGGGCGGGGCTTTCCCGCCACTCCTGTCTCGATGGACAGGATTTTCGGCTCTGGTGCCGGGGCCATGGCAAGGTGTGCCGGAAGAAGAAGTCAAAAAGGCTTTTGAGAGGCAAATCTGGTTCGACATGGCCGGATTCGTGATGCCGACTCAGATTCGGAGCCTCCTGTACGGTGTTGGCGTATCCCATTCGCGGCTGATGTACGGAAGCGATTTCCCGTTCACGAGGCCGAATGGCGTCGAACTGCTACTGGGCCAGATGGACAGCGGGGCGAAGGAGCTCTTCGATGAAGAGCAGATTCGGGATGTCTATCATCGGAACGCCCAGAATCTTTTGGGCATGGAATGATTTCCGCACACGACGCTTTTTCCGGCAACCGAGCCCCGGTTATGATTTCGACCTTTTCAGCTCGGAACGTCAATCTTCTTCCTCTCTTCGCCTGGCGTCTCTGTCGCAACCTATGCGCACAGCTGTCTGTGGAGTCCGCCAGTATGCTGATGCATCTCGACGCTCGGCGGGAGTGTGCCTAGACACGCATCATCCTCCTCTTTTCCGGAGGTTCTACAAGACAAAGCTCATAGATATGATCCCGCAGCTCTCTTGGCAGGTCCAGTAAATTAACAGGCTTCGGTCCCTTCTCAAGCCCCTGAACCAGCTCGTCGCCCACGCGTCGTTCTTCTGCATTTCCTCTTCCCCAATCATCTCCAAGCTGCAGACGCGCAAGATCCGGATCCTTGACGTAGACCGAGAGGTCGAGCTTGTGAAGCAGCTGTGCTATTGTGATAGACCATTCCTCGAAGCTGCAGGTATGTAGGATTTTCGAGCCACTGCTTTGTGGCTATCACAGTCCAGGGCTCGATGCAGTCCGTGACGAATAAATTGCCGCCTAGCGGTACGGATCGGGCTCTTGGTCAGGCGAAGAGAGCTCTCGGTGACGTTGACAGGTTTTCGGCTTTGTATGTCGTCGACTCCATGTTGCGAGATGGCACTGATTGCGGCAGGTTGCGGTATGCGGATGGTTGGATGAGAGTGTTTGTGTGATTTCGCGTCAAGCTTCTAGTCAGAAAGTCCTCCCTCTGTCCGTGGCGGCACTAGCGAGTGGCTCGCTTGAAAGCCGACGTTCACATGCAAACGGCAGTTGCGACCATAGACGACCTACATCTTTCTCGGTGGCTCCATGGTCTACAGCACGAGCATGACCTTCAAGACTGTTGCGGTGCTCGTGTGCACGTGCATACCGCTGACGGTAGCTGAATGAAGGGGTGAAACAGCGCCGGACAGAAGTGGCAACTACTGGGAATGAGCTCTAAGGACATGGAGGAGATATAGGTATCTTTGCATTCACCGACGACGGAAGTCCTGTGGAGATTCAGGTCCTGTAGGCACTAAGCTCGACGCTACAACGAGGCTGTTCGTCCTCCTTCTTACGGCCGACCTGAGAACAGAAGCCTGAGCGCAATCTGTCTACGGCATAAGCACAGCGTCCCTCTGCCAACAAAGCTCTGAAAGTCTTCGCAGCGTTGTCATGTCTCTCAGCAAGACTGCGACTTTGGCTCCGCAGGAGATGGCGACGCTCCCTATTCGTGCAACATGGGATCGGCAAGCTTCACAGTCGACAGCTTGGCGCTTCTCCGCTGAACATCCCTTCTAGTGCTCAACAGAACGGAATGCATGCTCCTTCGATACCAGCAATGTAGCTTGCATATGCAACTAGGGTGACGACCGCGAATTTGGCAGGCGGCAGATACGCATTCAGTGTTCAGTAGTGGCAAATACCCCCTCAACTGGCACCTAAGTTGTTCAACGCTATTCTCAATTCCTTAACGGCTGTGTCGACGTCCTCAAAGTTGAGTGCGGAAATGGCCCATTTGGCATGTTTCTGTGCCGCCAGAATCGATTCATCGTCAGTTTTGTATCCACCAGGAGGTGGTCCAGTCAGGTTAATGGTGGCTTGAGCTGGTGGTGCTTGAACAGGCGGAGGGGCGACCACCGGGGGCTTAGGCGCCGGCATTGGAGCAGCAGCGGCAGCAGGTGGTTGCGGGACCATCTGGTGCGGAGTAGACCGATGGAGCCTGTCCGGACTGGCAATACCGAGATCGGATGGACCCGGTGCTGTGGGACCTTGCGGCTGCGCATCACTATAGAAGTCTGCTGGGTCGGCTGTCGCGAAAGTAGACATGGACGAGGGTGGTTGGCCTACAGGAGCCACGACATTGACGTTACTTGGTGCATCAGGTACAGAAGGGAAGTAGCCGCCGCCGACAGATCCTGCTCTGCTATTGATGTTGTCGGTTGGTTCGATAGGCGAGACGTCAGGCTCGGTGGGGTGAGTAGTGGTCGCGGAGACGTTGTTTGTTCCCGCAAGTGGATGCTGCAATGGATCCGTCTGGAATGTCGACTGAGGTCTTGATGGCTGCTGGTTATCAGGCGCACTCTCAACTGTAGGCTTCTTGTAGGCTCCGGTATCGTTCTCCATATCCTTCAATTCGGCTTCAATGCCATCATCCACTTCCCCGTCAGGTTTTGGCTCTGGCTCGACTGCTGGATTTGTCGCATTCGGATCCTCCCCAGCCTTGATTGCCTTGGCTATCCTCAGAGCATGATATTTTGCGAACCTGAGCTTGGCCTGAATCTCTGGCTCAAGTGGTCCCCATATGCTCAGCAAGTCCATAAAGGTGGCCGATGCTTGAAATGTGTCCGCCGTCTGTTTTGTGACCTTATTATTCCTCTGCGCTTCGTCGCCTCTACTGAATGTGTCCAATGCAAAGTTCTCAATGTATGCTTTTGCTGCAACGTCGTCTATTACTGCGTCGTTCGAAGCGTTGGTCGCCTTGTAGGCTTCCATTTTATCCATCAATTGCATGGCGTATTGCGTGCATTCCTCGTCTTGGGTGTGCAGTTGTCGATTGAGGATCTGCTGAAGGACGAAGTATTCGCCTGCAATTCAATCATCTTAGCAAAGCAATACGGATGGTGGAAGCTGGCTGCGTACACCAGTAAGAGACTATCGGCCGGAACTTTTCCAGCTGCGCAGCTCTTGTGACGAATCTCTGCACGTCTGGTGCGGCGGCCTTGAGCTTGGCCGGGACTGCTGAGGCCATGGCGAGCCGTCGAGAGGGAGACGTCGATTTGTCTAAGTGCACAGAGTTTGGCTCGAGGTGAGTGAATGTTTTGAAGCTGCCTAAGCTGTGTCGAACGATGTCATTTGTTCACATGGTAGACCCACTTATTTCTAGCCTTTGACGCTAGCCCCCGCAGCACTTGACGCAGGGGCCACGAGGTGGAGCTTTGACAACAAGAACATCGCCAAAGGACAACTGTTCGTCAACGACATCCATCTACAAGAACATGTAATCGTCTTCCAATCGACTCAGCCACCTGAGCAGACACTTCCTCTTCAACATGGTCAAGTCAGAAACGATCGCTGCCGCCGCAGCCTCCCTCCTTCTCCTTCCAGGCGTCAATGGCATATATGCCAAGAACTCGCCTGTTCTTCAAATCGATGGCAGATCCTACGACACCCTGATCGCAAAGTCGAACTACACCTCGATCGTCGAATTCTATGCGCCATGGTGTGGTCACTGCAAGAATCTCAAACCGGCATACGAGAAGGCAGCCAAGTCTCTTGCCGGATTGGCCAAAGTCGCTGCGGTGGACTGCGATGATGAGTCCAACAAGCCTTTCTGTGGCAGCATGGGCGTGCAAGGCTTCCCAACACTGAAGATTGTGAAGCCTGGAAAGAAGCCGGGAAAGCCTATTGTCGAGGAGTACAATGGTGCACGGAGTGCCAAGGCTATCGTCGATACTGTCATTGACAAGATCCCGAATCACGTCAAGAGGCTGAAGAACTCGGACTACGCTGGATGGACGAAGGAAGCTGGACCCAAGGCTATCTTGTTCTCGGATAAAGGCACTGTGAGCGCACTGCTCAAATCAGTCGCTATTGAGTTCTTGGGTGGGCTCGAGGTTGCCCAAATCCGGGACAAAGAAACAGAGGCCGTTGAAGCATTTGGTGTCGAGAAGTTCCCTACGCTCGTCTTGCTCCCTGGAGACGGCAAGGAACCTATGATATACGACGGTGAGCTGAAGAAAGATGGTATCGTCAAGTTCCTCTCCCAAGTTGCTGCACCAAATCCGGATCCGGCACCTAAGGCCAAGAAAGAGAAGTCATCAAGCTCCAACAAGAGCAAGGCTTCCAAATCCTCCTCCAAATTCGCCGAAGCATCTGCCTCTCATGCCTCCAAGGAAGCTCAGACCGACGCTGCTTCCCAGACCGACGAAGCGCTCGAGAATGACCCAACTGAATCTCCAGATCCAAAGGTCCAAGCAGAAAAGCCAGCTAAGATGCCCACTGATGGTCTGGCGAAACCCATCACTTCTCTACAGGATGGTCTGTCTCTTCAGCAGCAATGCTTGAACGACAAGGCTGGTACCTGCATCCTCTGCGTCCTACCAGAAGAAGAAACGCCTTCGGAAAAGACGATCCAGGCCATCCGCGCTCTCAGTGAGCTTCACAAGAAGCACGAGGCAGCCAAGCGCAATCTCTTCCCCTTCTATCAGCTTCCCGGCTCGAACTCCCAAGCTGCAGCACTTCGCAAGAAATTGGACCTATCTGCTGGTGACGTGGAAATCATCGCGGTCAACGGAAAACGCAGCTGGTGGAGACACTACACCGGGGGATCTTTCACACTCGAGAAAGTGGAAGACTGGGTCGACGCCATTAGGATGGGAGACGGAAAGAAGTCAGACATACCGAGCGGCATCATTGCCAAGAAATCCGAGCTTCCAGAGGCTCAGGTCAGGCCTGAGACTGGTGACGAGACGCCTGACCTTGAAGCTTTGAGGGAGCAACTGAAGGGCCAGACCCCAGAGGGAATGGAATACGTGCTCGAAGAGATTACTGACGAGGAATACGAGAAATTGATGAACCAAGGTGGAACGGGAGAGCCAGGCACGCCTTTGGAAGAAGCCAAAGCGCCGGTCGAAGACCATGACGAATTGTGATGAGATGTGGATGCCATCTTTTTTCTGCTTTAATAAGTGTACACAACGAGAAAAAATCAACCACAGTGAACTTGTTCTTTCCGTATCAGAAATTTGCCCTTGATTATTGTCGCTTCTCAGTTGCCAAACTAAGAGCATGTGGCCAGAGCAGAGGATATGAGGGGGAATCAATAATAATGCACACTCACTCGATGCGCCCCATCAGATCCTCACATGAAATCATAGGATGCATCATCCTTGAGCATTGGACAAAAAAAAATTTCCAAAAAGTCTTTTCTTTTGGGGTCCTGTTCATCAGGATCCTGCCGCCGCGGCAATATAATAATGGCTTGCTTCATCAGGAGGCCTTTTTTTTTTTTTTTTGAACGAGCGCTCTTTTTTCCCCCCCGATCTTTGCCGTCGAATGATTTCCCTTGCTCGTCGAGTTCAAACAAGCAGCAGCCAGCCAGCCAGCAGTGGAATAAAGAAAATCTTTAGATCCGAGTTCCTTCATGAGCGTGAGCAAGAGTGAAGAAACGCTACATGTATTTCGCAACTTCTTCCCAACGCAGCCTCTACCACCACACAACAACGTGGGCAGAGAGCTGTCGCAATTCCCCAAGCTCGGTAGGTAGATATCGCAACAAGTGTACCGTCCAGAAAGAGTTTCGAGTCTCGGCCACGTGTCTCCGGTCTGGAGAGGTTTTGCGGAGCAGCACAAGCACAGACAGGGGGTTACATGTACGATCATGTTATTCTTTTTGTGCATGTTGATGATGATGATGATGAGGTCATTGGAAAGATAAGGAAGGATTGGAACTTGGAAGGAGGTGTTCGGAAAGTCTAATAATCCTTTTAATAAATTTTCCCCCGTCGGAGGAGTGTGGAGGAACGGTTTCGCGTGTTTTCGGCTAGGTGTTTAGAGTTTGCGTTGACAAGTGATTTGGCGGACCGTGCTTGCGGGCCTGTATCTGTATCTGTAAGCAATCTCACGAGGCGTCGGTCGGGGCTGTTTCGTAGTCGAGATGTGGAGGGCAAATTTTTCTTATCGTGGCGAAGGAATTTGCAATTCGCGTGAACTGCGGGAATTGTTCTTGTGTTTTCAGTGGGAAGAGGCCGATGAAGTGCCTGCCGACAACCGGTCTGCAAAGAAAATTGATATCATCAGAGAGGGTCGTGGTCGGTGATCGGCGCTCTTTCGGCAAAGGCAAGAAGAAAAAAGGTACTCGGTCCAGCGCGCAAATTGGGGTGATGAAGTGAAAGGTCCACACGTCCAAGGAGACTTCCGAGCGCTGCGTGCGTGCGGCTTCCCAACATGGAACTCCACAGAAAGTCGGGAGGGATCGGGTTTGGGTGTTCCTGTTCGTTGCCTCGTACCGAAAATGAGAGTCAGTGCGACCGAGGTCGACCGGAAATGATGATGATGATAGGAAATGCGAACTTTGGTGGATGTTGGCAATTGCTCGAGTTGTCGCGTGATTCTTCCCCATGCGTAGCCTCCATGATGTGGGCGTGCGGTTGCACCAAAGAGGGGATTGCTACCTTACTGCTGTGCGCGGTGAGAGCTGTTGTTGTGACGGCTCCGCAAAACTTACTCCACATTCAACCACGTCCCCAAGTCGACCGTGAAGTCCTGCAAAGACCCGACGCCGATTCATACGAATACAATGATTTCGTGTGGTTCCGCTCCGCAGTCCGCCATCACATACTCCTCACACGGGCAGGCACATGAGGTGCATTTCTCCGTGTCTCCTGGGCAAGATTGAGTCGGCGAGTCGGCCTATGGACGTCGTGAAAGAGGCCACGTTGGACCCGTGACGCCGTGGGGGTGGACTCTTGGCTTCTTCTGACTTTGTTCCAGAACGCTGTCAAGCCACCGGACTCCACTGCTCGCCTCTCACCATTGTGGCTTGCTCATCCGCGTTATTTCCGGTCGTTCACGAAGACGGCATCAGATTGGTCGATGTATCGTGAGACCACTGTGACCGACTCTGCGGTCGTTTGCTCCAAATCCTCTGCAGAGATGCGCAAGCAGCAGTGCGGGATGTTGTGGTCGCACAGAGTTCTCCACGGACAGCAATGTTTCTCCTTGAAGCGACATGTGCTGGGTACCTGCGATACCACACTGATCGGCGGCCCCGGAGCGACGGGCCCGCATATTGGCTTGCAGGATGCATACAGATGCAATCTAATTCTTCATATGTGAAGATTGGAACCACTACTACCGCTCGAGCCCGTTTGACGAGGCGCGCAACGCAGCAGGCTGGGCGGACTTGAACAGGCCGAATGTCTTGCTTACCGATAAAGCGACAACGCCACCCATAGCCAGGCATCTTAGCCAGGCATTTGAAGAAGCCGTCCTTCTTGCCATCTTCCAGATTGCTTGACTTCACGACTGCGTATGTTGGACGGGGCGACTGGCCAGACGGACGATGCAAAGCTGTCTTGAATGAGGCGTCACCGGCGTGAGAAGCCACTCGTATCCAAATATACACGATCGCGCCATGCTCGGGTTTGGTGATTAGTGGAATCCCTGCTCTGAGGTGAAGGCTGCGGGACGAGACAGGCGGTCAACCGCTTCCTTTATTGCGGCAGCTGATCGCCCGCAGCGCACAAGACCAACGGTCATGGGAGCAGAACGGTGTACTGCGCGTGATAGACGCGGTGGGATATAGTGGTTGCCGTTATGTGCTATCCGTCCGCATGATCTGCGAAGAACGTGCGAAGGGAGCGGCGATGGTCAGCGGAGTGATGCGCGCAAAGCTAAGAAGATGGGACATGGCGGGCAGACGGACCAATCCGCAGAGCCTCCTGTCTCCGTGCGAAGAGGTGCCTGTGGTGCTGTGGGTGTGAAAGAATCTTCGTCGCCGGACCGAAGCAGAGTGCGACGACCCACTCGCCGCGTCGCGCCATGCATTGCGGCGTAGAAAGGGAGCGCTACACCACCTGGACGCGACGAGGGCGAGGGCGCGAGTGTCGCCGTACAAGCTCCGCGAGACGAGACGAGGCGAGACGGCAGGTGAAGTTGGCATCACGATGTGTGGTGGCTGACACGGGCGCAGGGCGGGCGCCGACGGCAGTTGATGGTTGGCAGTCTGGGCGAGATCTCTCCTCCACACGCCGAACTCTGGAGCCCCGGACGCAACTTAAGCACAGCAAGGCAGGCAGGCGAGGGAGGGGAGGGGGGGGGGGGGGGAGAGCAGGGCAGATTTGGCCGGAAGCGGTAGGCCGGCGGCGCAGGAGTGGCTGCCAGATTATATTTCAGTCGCGTGTCAGGTCAGGTCAGGTCAGGTCAGGTCTTGACAGTAGTCTGTGAGATGCTGTCCGCAGAGGTGCCTGGAGGCAGTCCCATTGGGTGCGAGACGATAGGCAACGGCCTCCCGTCGTCGTCACCCTGCCACCTGCCACCTGCGTGGGCCCCACAGCTCCACCCTGCACACTGCCCTGGCGGGGGGGGGGGGCGGAAACGGCGCCGGTGGAGACTTCCGAGACACTCTTTTTTCTCCCACGCCCTTTCCCTTCCCACACATGTGCCTTCGCCCTCGCCCTCGCCCTCGCCCTCGCCTCGCCCGCAGTTCTTCTCTAGTCACAAACACTGGCATCCCTCCTTTCCGCTCCTCGTCATTCCGACCGCCGTCCGCCGCTGCAGCAATTCTTCCCTCTCCTTCCCTTCCCTTCCCTTCCCTTCCCTTCCCTTCCCCTCCCCTCGGACGCGCACCACTCCAAACCCTAGCGCGCCGCCCGCTGGAACGCTGCCCGCCCGGCCTGCACCGCACTGCACCACTGTGCTGCGCTGCACTGCACTGCACTGCACTGCACCTGCCACTGGGCTCGTATCCCGCCAACGCTGCTTCCTCACTCCTCTCTTCCGCCCTTGCAGCTGGCTCGCCTCACGTCACTCGCACCCCCGGATCAGCATCCCGCGTAGCGCTCTGCATCATCCAACCAACCAACATACCTTAACCACTCCCACGCCGCCGACTCAGCCAGGCCACGCCGTGGCTGCCCTTTTCACATGCTCTCGCAGCTGCTGAACCCCGAGACCCAGCCCTCTCAGGTTCAGCAACCTCATCAGCACCCGCCGCCTCCGCCCACCTCCTCCTCCTCTTCCACCTCCGCCGCGCCTGCTCAGCCCAACACTCCCTCGCAGTTGCCCGACTCTTCCTCCCCCTCCCAGCCCGCGACACCCTCGCCGCACACTCCCATGGCCGGCGCTGCCATGACCATGCCGATGGGCGTCGCCATGCAGAATAACGACGAGCATCGACCAGACCTGCCGCGCCCCTACAAGTGCCCGCTCTGCGATAAGGCATTCCACCGATTAGAACACCAAACACGACACATCCGTACCCATACCGGAGAGAAGCCTCACGCCTGCCAGTTCCCAGGATGCACGAAGCGCTTCAGCCGGTCCGACGAGCTCACCAGGCATTCTCGCATCCACAACAACCCCAACTCTCGCCGCGGCAACAAGCAACACGTCGCCGCCGCCGCCGCCGCCGCCATGTACGACAACCAGACTATTCATCAGCAGCTGAACCAGTTGAATCAGCTCAACCATATGAACCAGATGAATCAGCTTAATCAAATCAACCAGATGAATCAGCTTAATCAGATCAATCAGATGAACCACATGAATCACATGGGACAGATGGGCCAGGGACAGATGGGGCAGATGGGACAATGCAATCAGATGAGCCAGCCGGCTGCCAACCAGATGACTTCGATGATGCCGCCGCCTCCTCAGCAACAACAGCAGCATCAGCAACCAACCCAGCAGCCGCCTCCGCAACAGCAACAACCGCATCAACCTCCGCAATCACAGATCGCCCTGTCGCCACCGCCAGTGCCCATGCCAACCGCGACTCAGTCGGCGCCTGTATCTCAACTGAGCTCGCCAAATGTCTCCCCTCCTCATCACTACGCGACGTACACTAGCACCCCTGGCTCGTACATGACGCGGAATACCAGTGGAGACTTGAGCCCAGCAGCGGGCAATGGATATGGTCACAGACCCATGGACATCAACCTGCTCGCAACCGCAGCTTCGCAAGTTGAACGCGAGAACAACTCTCAGGTCCCCAACCAGCATCTGTCTCTGCCTACGAGGCACAATTACTCTTCGCATCCATACCACCATCCTTATCATGCTGGACGGATGCCGTCTCTATCATCGTATCACTACTCGTCAAATCCAACTTCGCAGCCGATGTCGAGATCGCACTCACACGATGACGACGACCACCGCCCAACGAAGAAGTCAAGACCTGGTTCTCCGCAATCTACGGCGCCGCCATCGCCATCATTCTCGCATGCGTCAGCATCACCCACTCCTGACCACACGCCCCTCGCGACACCCTCGCACTCGCCGCGTCTGAGACCCCAATTCTTCCACAATGGTGTTCAGCTACCAACACTGCACTCTCTTTCACTTCAGCACCAGCCACCGCCCGCTCTCGCTCCAGTGGAGCCGTCAGCGGACGGCTCGCAGCCTTACGTTCCGGCCCAACACAGCGGTCTCAGAATCAGCGAGATCATGGAGGCAGGCGATGGCGCCCAGCGCAAATTGCCCGTGCCAATGGTCGCGGGTCCCAAGGATACTGGATATACCGTGAAGGAGTTGCGAAATCCGGATAGCGGAGTCAGCAGCGGTCAGAGCAGTGCGAGAGCAAGTGAAGCTGGAAACGATCTTCACGAACGATTCTAAACTTGTGCACCTAATTTGCGACATTCGGGCGTTTCAGTGGGCACGGACAGCACAAGCCATTTGATACATTATGGGGAACTTGAATGACACAGAGTGACGGCCAAGGAATAGACTGATAAATGGGGAAATTCGGGGGCGATTTGGGATTGCGGCGCGGTGTTCAGCGATAGATGGAAAAAGGCGAATTTCAAGGCGAATGGCAAAGCGGATGCAGTCGCGAGACTGGCTGGTATGGTTGCTTGGAATGATAGAAGGGCGATGGGGATCTCTTTTGGAAGCTCCCATGATACCAAGCGGTCGACCTGAGGAAGGAGCGACCGGCACTTTTTTGACTTTACCAATGTGGTGATGCTTCTCTACTCAGCTCAGCAGAAGATTGAGAGCGCCGGGCAGTATCGGTAGCTTATGGCGCTATAACAAGAATGGCTTCAAATACAGATCTTCACATGTCGGCCCCAACTACGATGAGAAATCATTCACTGGCGCCCGTTGCTTGAGTAGTAGTCTCGACTAATCATCCGGATCGTACCGTTCGTTCACATGCCAGCGAAAGCGGATTGCTTCCGCCGATGGCGTGGCTATAGCGTCGTCGTCATCAATCATATGCAAATGATTAAAACATTGGGAGGTATACATGTAATCAGCCGCGGAAGCTCGGTCCTGGGGAAGATTGGGTGGGCGGAAATGCCGCCTCGGCCGTGGAGTGCATATAGGGAAATCCCGGGGAAGACGAGATGGACGGAAAGTTTATTTTTCTCTTTCTTCCTTATCGATTTGCATGTGCCACGGGCCACGGAGAGGGGGGGGGGGGGAATGGTTGAGAGGTCTTACTTGTTCTTTTCCATCCTTCTTCTTGTTATCTGTTGGGAGGGAGAGGAGACAGAGAGGGAGGAAAATAGAGATATGGAGAGAGAGAGAGAGAGAGGCTAGATAGGCAGGTGTGTGTGTGTCTGTGTGTGTGTGTGTGTGTGTGTCGTTCCTTGTCGTTCCTTGTTCCGCGCCGTTTCGAGTTTCCAAGTTTTGCAGGAACGTCGGGAAAGGCTAATATAATCAGGGTAAGGCATAATCAGGTATAAAGGTAAGAGGTCAGGGGGGGGGGGGCATGCACGAATTGGTTCTGTGGACTGGATTGTGGATCTCGATTGTTCTTCCCAATTTTTTCCAACATTTTGATGGTCGTTTCGCTTTGCTGGAAAGGGGGAAATAAAGTTGAAGGGAAAAGTCCAAGTGAATGGAAACAATAAAACGTAGGTGGTGGACTGGAAAGGGTGGTTCATCAAATGTGGATGGACTGCAGTGGCTTCATCAGAGACCCCTCCCTCCTCCATCGGCTTCCCCAAACAAGTAACCGCAATCAATCTTCTCCACGGTATCTCAGGAGGGAAGTTGCACCCCAGACTTTCTTTCTCCACCTCGCTATCCATCCATTTGATCTGGAGAAATTCCGGGGTGGGCTTTCTTTTTATTATCAGATCAAATAATAGCACAATTCATTCATTGGACGAAGGGGATTGGGGATGGAGAAGAGGCAGGCAGGCAGGCAGGGCAGGGCATGTGACGAGTTTTGGAAAAATTTTTCCCACTCCCGAAAAGGATTGCGTGATTCACGACTATGATATCGCGAACGTGTTCTCTTTATTATCATCATCATCATTATCATCATATAATCTCTTCTTCAAAAAAAGAACGTGATCCGAGAGAGGCAAGGGCGGCTGTCAGCCCCGAGCGGAGCGCAGATAGCTTGTTGATGATGATCAGACATCATCAACGATAACAACACGCAGGAATTGTCGTTGAGAATTTCGAATCCGTCAGATCCCGCAGCCCGCCGTTCTCGTGATTTTAAACTTTGCCTTCCTTGTCGTGGAAGATTTGTGGCACCTGGAGATTGGTCTGAGGTTGGTGGGTGGAGACTGGAGTCTCCCCACGCCCGTGGTGTGGAGTGCATGTGGAGACGCGAATGCTTGTCGGGATTACGAATTAAGCGTGATCAAGGTGCAATTTTGGTATGGGGCACGATACGAGGATCGAAGACGAGGCGGTCGCTGTGGAGGTGTGGATGGACACACCGTCTCAACAGCGGAGACATGGCAACAACAGAAATGCCGACTTAATAAGAAGCAACTCGGCTATGTGGGATTTACATATCTACACTGTACATCTGGTAATGGGTATCGTCGTCCGTCAGCAATGCAGTCGTAGTCATATCTTCGTCAAGTGTCCATCATTAAGCTCGTACGCCGCGTAGCAGCCATCGTCGCATTGGTCCAAGAAAAACACCTCCAGCGCCACTCTTCGTTAGGCAACTTGTAGTAGGGCAAAGCAGCGTTTCATCTCTCATCGTCATTGTAGAATCACTTCTGCTTTCGCGACTTCTTCGGTGTGCCTTGGAGCACCTTTCCTCCGCTTTCCTTCATCTCACCCAAGGCATCTTCGGTCATCTTCCGCTTCTTCGAGACCGAGTTGTGTCTCTCCGAGATTTCTTCTTCCAACTCCTGCACAGCCTTGCGCTTCTCCTGTCGACCAGCCCTGAACTTGTTCGTAGTCTCGGCGAATCGTTGCAGGAACCAGTCACCCGCTTCCTCCCACTCATCAATGCCCAGGGACTGGAAGAAGCGAGACTTGTCTTCGTGAGAGAGCGTCATCAGCATCTTGAGCTTCTCTGGTAGAGGCGCGTCCTTGTACTCATCACAAAAGGCAATCTCCGCAGCATTTGGGTCGACGTCGAAAGACTGAGCCCTGAGGTCTTGGTAGCCCATGTCAAATAGCTGTGGCGGCTCATAGTCCAGAGCAGATTCGTAGACTATCGGAGGCTCTTCCACGTAAGGACCTGCGTTTGGAACGGGCAAGTCATTGTGAAAGTGTTCTGTATCGTTTCGATCCTCTGCTTCGCTCTCGTCTTCATCCTCGTCTCCATCGCCGTCGGAAGGGCCATCCGTCGAGTGATCGTGCCGCTGTGGTTGATTTGGTGCCTGATGATGTAAAACATACCCCGGCTGAGGTCCTGACGGAATGTGCAGTGCAGGGCTAGCAACATTTCGTGTGCGGGTGTGGTTGTCCTTTCTCTGCAAGTGAGTCGGACGATTCGACAGTCCAGACTCGCCTTGCGTCTGTCGATGCTGTGCACCGCGTCGCTCGCGCTCTCGAAAGCTGTCTGCTGGTGGTGAGTGGCCTCGAGGAGCGTCTTCAGTTGCAGCTGGTTGGTTTGAGGCGCTGGCAGTCTTGGCCGGTCGCGTGGCTGATTTTACTGGCGGATGCCGGGGCTCGAACGAGAATCCGGCCAGCACATTCTGTATCACGTCGTTCTGGCCATTCATTGAAGCTGGCGCGTTCTGTGGTGGAGCTTGCTGATAAGCAGGAGCTCGTTGGCCAGGCTTAGCGCCCGCTGTAGCAAGTTGCACACGCCTAGCTAGGCCTCGCTGAGGTAAGTTAGTTGCTCGTGGTTGGATACCAGTCATTTGTGGATGTGGTCGACGTTCATCGACGTCAGTAGTCGAAGGGTTTCCTGAGGTCGTCGGGGGATAGCTGTCGCCAGCAACGATCGGGAAGCCGCTATCTTCGGTCTTGACCCCATTATCAGGAACTTCTGGTCGATAGTAACTTGGCTGAGGCGCCCGAGATTGATGATCGATAGGCTGTTGAGCAAAGGCATTGGGCACGTTGGCTGAGGTATACTGGGTGCCCTGCTGGTCTTCCGGAAACGGACGCTCGAGCTTGACGGCGCGGTCAACATCTTGAAATGGTTGACGTTGATCATCGACAGCGGGTAAGCCACGTTGGGTGCCCGAGCCGACGGTAGTACTGTCAATGTTGCTTGCGTCAGTGTCCCAAAATGCCTTGTCTCGCTGGCCTTGATTCGCATTGTTGGGATATGAGTTGGAGCGAGTCGCTTTCTTCTGCTCAGCATTTGACTCTGCTATCATCGCCCGAGGGGCGCGTGAGTTTGGTGTTTGTGGTCTGCCAGACACTGGCACTTTCAAGTCCGTGTAGAATTGCTTGCTGTCTTTGGCTCGGTCTTCAACATCGTCGTTGGCACGCGCGTAGTTGGTCATGTTCTTGTTGCGACCCTTATCCTTCCGGTGGGCCATCTTCCAGTCTCCAAAGGTGCAGCTTCACTGCCGCACGAGAGCTGCGTAGCAAGTTGAGAGACGATGTGTCTGTGGATGGAGTGAAGTCGTGAAGCTTGACGTGAAGTCGAACGTACTCGAGATCGACAGTCCGTGCCCTTCCGCGCTAGTGCCACCAGCTCACGTGCCTTCCAGGATGACGAGATAAAGTGTGACAGAGCATCCCTATGTCCGGAAAAGATACATGCGAGATAGCAGACAACAGAATCAATCCTACCTATCATTCATACACAGGCTTTCAATCCTCCAAAGATCGATATGGAAGCAACCGCAATCGAAGGTGCCCCGCGGGGAATCTTCGCCTTGCCAAACGAAGTACAGCATTGACCCGGACTAGACCGCTTGCATTGGCTTACCAGTGCTGTGGTAGATTCTGCTCAACATCTTCGCCCTCTTCGCGACAAGAGACGTCGTATCCTTCGCGCCGACCTGTCGTCGCGTAAACTCGCTCGTCATTCGGATACTCCAGCAACGCCTTCAAGTCGCAACCGGCCTCGATGGCCATACGCTCTACCTCGAATGTGGACATCCATCGGAGAGATGGACGACCTCCAAAGTTTTCTGCACACCTCTGGGCACACATGGCCTTGAAGAGCTAGTAAGCGACGTCCAATCAACAGGCGGGATACCTGGTCAGATCGGCCAGATGGGCAAGCTATACACACGCTTTCGTCCTGTGAACAAAGAGCCGGATTTCAGATCTGTCCCTCGGCCTCACCCCGCGGGTGACATTCCGGGGTCGCGAACGTACAGGACTCCGGAGCAAGATGCCGCTGCGTGGAAAGCGTATACCCAAGAGGCCGTCAGCCGCCCCGTCAACATCGATGCACACTTCCTGTTCACGCAGCTCGAGACCTTTGCGTACCTCGGAAGACGAGAGAGTACTCGCGGTCTACTGTTTAGCATCCAGGACCTGTGCGAAGGAACAATCCGAGTCTGGCGAGATTGGCTGTCCAAGCAATGCGAGAACAAGCGATGGTCAGATGGTGAGATTATCGCAGTCCATCACGAAGAGTCGTCGAACACTCTGAACGACGCACAACTACGCAACAGGACCGATATGCTGAAGAATCCTCATCTCGACCCCAGTGTGCTTTGGCTAAATACCAGGCGCGAGAATGTCGGTATTAAATTTCGCGTCACGGAGAAGAAATGGAGACGTGACAACAATCCCGTGCTTTTTGAGAGCGAGGTCGAAGTGCCCGTGTCATACAATGTTGAGTTACAAGGTGAGCGCTTCTTCAACGGGAATTCCGAACTCTCAGCTGATGTAACTTGTAGAGGTCATCGTGCGCACGACCGAGCTGGTGTTCAAACTAGAAGAGTCGAAGAAGCAGATTCTAAACCAGACGGGCAAGGCTATGATATTCGGATCTTACATCGAATAGTACGAATTGTGAATGAATCAATCAATGTCTCCCATTACCTATGAAGTCAAACCTTGAATGTCCGTCGGTCGCCATTCCACCGAAGGCACATGCCGCATCCACGCGTCAGCAACATTAAAAGAGCTCCCCATGGCAGCAGCAGCATCGAAGACCAAAAGAGCAGCTCCCGCAACAACATCCCCCTCCCTCTCCGCCCAACCCACCTCCCACCTCCCACCTCCCACCTCCCAACCATGCCGCAAACCCGCCGCATCGCCCAAATCATCAAGCTCAAGAAAGACTCCATCCCCGAGTACAAAGAATGCCACGCAGCCGTCTAGCCCGCCGTCCTGCAGCAGATCAGCGCCTGCAACATCACCGACTATTCCATCTTCCTCGACGAGCCTTCCCGCACGCTCTTCGCGGCGATGAAATACACCGGCGAGGACTATGAAGCCGACATGGCCAAAATGAGAGCCAATCCGGACGTGAGGAGATGGTGGGGGGGGGGGGGGGGGGGCGGGGTGGGGCGTGGGGGGGGGGGGGGGGGGGGGGGGGGGCGGGGGTGTGTGGGGGTCTAACA